GCCGCTGAAGCAGCCCGTGCAGCGGCACTTGCAGCTGCCGAGGTTTGTTGCTCTTCATACTCTAGTCAATGTAGTGGGAAATATTACTGCTTTTCTCATTTGCAAATCTCTCTCTCTGTCTCTCTCTCTCTTCCTTCCCTCCTTCCTCTCCCTCTACCTCTTGCTTCTCTTTGTTCATTTTGTTCCATAGGAATTCAGTTGTTGACGTATTGTTGTACATTGTAGGCATATGCATCTTCAGAAGCCAAGAGCAGTACGTTGCTTCAGCTTCCTAAGATCCCCTCATTTCATAAGTTTGCTCGAAGAGATCAGTACCCTCAAATAGATGAGTATGATTTTAGGAGGAAGTGGTCTGGCGGTGATTTGGGTAGACAAGACTGTATATCAGAAATAGACTCAAGGAACTGCAAAGTTAGGAACTGGTCTGTTGATTTCTCCGCTGCTTGTGTCAATCTTGATAGTTCAAGAATGTCAGTCGATAACCTCTCCCAGCGGAGCCATCCAAATGAGACTGCTAGTCAATTGAATTTCAGAGAGCACTCAGGGGAGAGTGCTGCTGTCGACAGCAGTATTTATACAAAAGCATGGGTTGATACAGCTGGAAGTGTCGGGATAAAGGACTATCATGCCATTGAGATGTGGCAATCTCAAGCAGCTGCAGCGGACCCTGATTTCTTCCATCCCGCACCGTATATAAATGATGAGGAAGATTCAAATACGACTTCAAAAAAACTCAGCTGGAAGCATGAAGGGATGGTAAACGAGAGCTCTGTTTCGCAAGTTACTGTAAACAAGGAGTCATTAAAAAATCATCATCGGGGAGCAGACCATATTAAACAGGCCGTTGTTGATTATGTTGCATCATTGCTTATGCCCCTTTATAAAGCTAAAAAGATAGATAGAGATGGATACAAGTCAATCATGAAGAAAAGTGCTACCAAGGTTAGTTATTTTCCATCACTTCTACGTCAATTTCCTTCCTGTTCGCAACTATTCCCCTTTCTTTTTTTATAGTCTTGACATTTTAGGGAATTCAATTTTCAGGTCATGGAGCAGGCCACAGACGCAGAGAAAGCCATGGCTGTTTCTGGGTTTCTTGATTTCAAGCGCAGAAACAAGGTACTCTTCCATTAGTTTGTTGTTAAACATCATATTTGTCTATCCATATAATCCAATGAGTTTTTTTCAATAATTTCTATCGGTGACTAAAGCAGTCATCCACATGGGCTTTATCTGTCACTAAAGTGAATTTCCTGGCTGAGATTTGAAACCTTTTCCAACTGAGATTGGGTTGCTTCACCCAGAAGAGAAAAGAACAAATAAATATCATTGGCACCTTAATATTTTAATTGAAATTTTTGTACATCAACTTTTTGGCAAACAAACAAAGTTTTTTCTATAAGTAATGTTGCTGCTATCATCTTTTCATGGTATCTTGTGATGTTTTATCATTGGCTTCTTCTTACCAAGTTTTCTTCAATGCCTTAAAACATATGCAGATTCGTGCATTTGTGGACAAATTGATCGAGAGGCACATGGCAGTGAAGCCCGCTGCGAAATCTTGATTGTCCTTTGGGATTGACCTGTGTTTTTGCATGGACTTCTGTACAACACATGCAGAAGTCTTTCTGTTGTTCCTGGATGAATTCACAGCATAAGCAGGCGGTGGTGGGGCACAGATGGTATCGAATCGGTTTGTTATTCAAACTGCCAATAAGCTTTTTAATGATTTTGAAGGTGCAATGGAAGAAAGGGCATGGTTTGTTGCCTTTCAAATCAAATTTGGTGGATTCTTGAAATTCACTTATAATTGGCCAGTGCAACAGGGGTAACCATTTTTTGGTGCAAACGGGAGTATAGCTCGAAGCAAGTTGCTTTGTACATTTCAGTTTCGGGCATCAATGTGGTATGGAGATGATAGCAGATTGCTCTCAGAAATTGGCTTGTCATACATCGAGGATGTATTTATAGGGCTGGAAATTTAAGACCTAAGACCCTATTTTTCATTCAGCGATCCCTCCACGAGGAGACTAATTATTCCTGACTTTTTTTTAATCAATTTTTCCAATGTGTACAGTGTAGGATTGTGTTAGTGCAACAAGAATACAGAACATTTTTCCATGGTAGCCAAAGTACTTTGATATGTTATGATTACTCTTTCACTCTAACAGAATCTCTAACTTGACTTTTTTTCTCCATTAAATTGAGCAAAGGAGTTGCATGTTGCATTTTAGCAGCCTTTCTGGGCTGAAATCTCTGCTTTATGAACTTTGTCCTCACTGAGTGTATACTTCAACCTGGCTGGGGAGGCTTGTCTATGCATAATGTATGCTATATTAATTCAACCTGTCTTTTCCAACTTCCAAAGTAGTGATTAATTTAAAAGCATACATATGATTGGGGTATTACATGGACATCCAGAAAATAAGTGGAGGTATTTTGTGATAGATGTTCTGTTATCATCTAAGAATATGCATGTATACAGAGGCTGTATTCAGTTTTAGCTTCAATTATGTTTGGGATTTGCACAATGGAATGCCAGGTCTCATATATCATATATTGCATGAACATCTCACAATCAGAAGGTAGTTGAGCATCTCTACACTTTTATCGATTTTGTTATTTTAAGTCTCTCTGATTACACCTCTTTTTGTGGTTGTTGCTAGGCTGGGAAAAATATTTTTGGTTCTTCAGAGGAAGACAGAGGTATGCCCTCTGTATCTCCATATATGTTGATGCTAATATATTTTGGTATAAAACTATATGTTTGACATTTCTCTGATCAATCCAGTCCCTGATTTATGTCTAATATGCCTAGCTGTTGGCAGATGACCATGGCCTGGATGTTCTTGTTTCACACATTAGATGTTCTTTTTCCAGGAGATTCAGGTTTAGTTTCTCTCAATTAGGAGTCCTAATATCTATATGACATTACTGGAGCTAGCATAGTCATGGAATGCATGTATGTGTTTTATACTATGTTGCTTTGACAATTGGCATGAGCTTTTTCTTCAATGGCTTCAACCCAATTTTCAAAAGTTGGTAATGGGATCTATTTCATTTGTGTCGTTACCAAGCGGTGGAAGACATCACATATAAATATAATGATCCTCTCTTCCTGTGCAACTGGGATGAGATTGAAATTTGTCATTCTATATGCAGCCCCAATGATTTGAAGATAGCTAGTTAGTGCCTTTTTAAAAAAAGATTACTCTTTGGTGACTGTCTTCTGATGATCGTCCTATTGCAATTTTATTTTCAGGGAGCATATTGTAATCTTATAATACTGTTAGGTGAAACATGTTCTTTGCTGTTTCCTAGCATGTGACTCAAAAACCTTTTTCTCCCGGAATTATCATCATTTCATTCTTCAATTGTGTAATGCCATTTCTTCACTTAAAAACCTTCATTTGCTCCTCTGTTGGTCTCACAACTAGTGCTGCTGACGGATAGCAAATCATTTGGTGCTTTGTGTGGAATAACTCGTACGGATGCTATGTTAGGGTGCAGGAGTCTTCCAGTAGCCATGTAATTTGTAATAAATGAATTCTCGTGAAAATCAACCGTAAATTGAAAAAAAATGGAGCTGAGTTTTAAAATAATAAACATGTTTTGCATAAAAATATTATATAAGGTTTAAGGATTTCATTTGAAATGTGCATCTGAAGTGTCCAAAAATTGGAAAAGGAATGTTAAAAGTTTTTTCAGAATCCAAAAAGTGTTGCAGCGGTGGGTTAGGCTAGTTCATTAGGGTAGTGCTTACCTTCTTATACCCAAGTTCGAATCACTCTCTCCGTCAATTAGTGTAATTTAGAATATTAATTTTGTCAAAAAAATAATTATTAATAATAAAATATGGAAAAATAAAAATCCCAAAAATTGGGCCCAAGTAAGCATTCTTGTAACTTTTAAGATGGTAAATCTTAACTCGTCTAGGGCCGTTGACAAAGCCTATCTTTGAGTCATACTGTTAATGCCTTTAGAGCATCTCCACCCATAAGGGCTAAGTTTAGGGTAAGGGCAAGCAAGGGCTGCCACTATTCATGTGAATAGTGTCAGCCTTGCCATTTGTGGTTCCACCTATGAGGGCTAAGTCCAGAGCAAGTTTAAGGCAATTACTATTCACTTAAATTTATTTTTTATTTTTTATACTTAAACCATTGATTTTGATAAGATTTTCAATTCCCAAGTGTTAATATTTATCGTAAAGTCCTCACCTAAAAATCAAGATAACATTTTCAGATAAAATTTTGAAATTAAATTGGTGTGGAAAGTGAATAATATTTGTAGGTATGTATAGAAAAAATTTCTAGAATTTTTTGATATTTTTTTTAGCCAAAAATTGGACAATCGTTGGATTGTGCAAGATTTTTTTATCGGAGGCTCCAGGAGAAGCCACATGGCTTGTAACCATTGGGCAATGTGGGCTAGTGGGTCCAACAGTAAAAAAAAATAAATTGAAAATCAGCTGCTGACGTCAGCAGCCCGATGGCAACAACCCAGTCAAGATCTGCCATTGGGCTTGCCCGGGCTGGTGGGACCTAGGGCTTGCCCAAGCTGCAGGTGCTGCGCTGGAGCCGCATTGGGCTTGCTAGGGTGGCCTTTTGCCCATTTTTATAGCAGCGCTGGAGCTGCTCTTAGGTGAGGTCTTATTTTTTAGCTGTTAGATTAAATTTGTTAGTCTAATTCAATGATTAAGAGATCGAATCTCACTTAAAGGCCATATATGAGGCGCTTACTATAGAATGACTCATTAATTACGCAAGAATTCTATATTGAGCCCAAAATTCTGGCCCAGAATGTTTTACACAGCCGCCTCTTCGCACGCGAGCCCTCTAACAGCAGGGGTAAAATCGTAATAACGTTACCTACCTACTTCTTTGAGGCTGAGAGCGGAACACATACGCTTAAAGGCATATGCGGAGAGGAGAGAAAAAAAGAATACAATCACTCCAGAGGTCAGATCCGATCAAGAATCTCTTGTCCGTAAATCGAGAAGAATGTCTTCTTCAACGTTCAGCGGCGATGAAACGGCACCGTTCTTTGGGTTCCTTGGCGCCGCTGCGGCCCTCGTCTTCTCATGTATGTTTTCATTTGGTTCAGATCTAGCCATCTAGGGTTTTTGTTGATGCGGACGCAGGGATTTGATCGAGTGCGTTCTTTGTATGTTCTACAGGTATGGGAGCAGCATACGGAACAGCGAAGAGCGGAGTAGGTGTGGCGTCGATGGGAGTGATGAGGCCGGAGCTGGTGATGAAGTCGATCGTGCCGGTGGTTATGGCTGGTGTGCTGGGTATCTACGGCCTTATCATCGCCGTCATCATCAGTACGGGCATCAACCCCAAGGCCAAATCCTATTACCTCTTCGATGGCTACGCCCATCTCTCCTCTGGTCTCGCTTGTGGCCTTGCTGGCCTCTCTGCTGGTATGGCTATTGGCATTGTCGGTGATGCTGGTGTTAGGTAAACTCTCTACATTTGCGCATACAAATCTCCATTATTAAAGGTTTTGTATTGGTTTAAGATGCTTGAGAGTGCGAATATCGATTTGATTGTCTGAGAACCGAGTTTGATGTGGTTTATTTTGCTTGAATTGTTCAGGATATTATCAGTTTGTTCGGTGCTAAGCGTAGTTTTTACTACCATGTTTTTAGTTTTGCACGAAATTTGTTTTGAAAGTATTGCGTTACCAATTTTGGTGTCTTGTCGCGTTTTGGTTGGAAGTTTCCTCTTCTTAATGTGTTTTTGTACTATGCAGAGCCAATGCCCAGCAGCCAAAGCTTTTTGTTGGGATGATCCTCATTCTCATTTTTGCTGAAGCACTTGCCCTGTACGGTCTCATTGTTGGCATCATTCTCTCTTCCCGATCGGGTCAGTCAAGAGCCGACTAGAAGGTGTGCTAGGTGGTTTTGTTGGGTTGCTGCTATTTATTAAGAGCTACTTTACTGTTTTGTTTGAAGTTGTAGTTTCTTTTTTGGGAGGTGCATTACAGATTCTTGTATGGTGTGAGTGATCCGTCGATGTCTACCAGGTGGATTGGTAGTAGTTATGCGCCAAAGGTAGATATAGGGCTAGCAATTAGTTGTACTTCTGAATAAGTTTGAATTGTGTTTCATGAGTCCATGCCTGTATTGAGAAATCAAATTGACATTAATTTGTTGGGAATTATATATACCGCCTGTATCATTGTGTTAATTTCATTTCTTCGTATTCTACCTCTCTAGATTTGTTGGGATTATGCTGAATCTAAAGTTCCATATGATGCAACTAACCTGATTAGTAAAATCTGAAACAGAATTTTGAAAATGAGAGGGAACTTTTAAGCGGGACTTGTATCCCAATCTTCGGTTCAATCTTCTGCCATTTTTGGGAGTTGAAGCTGCTCCTACATCCTTGATCTCAGATCTCGAGTGACCTTTTCTCCAAACTTAAATCTCGCATCCAAATTATTGAGATGCAAAATTGGATCGGGTGTCTTTGATTTATTGTTGAACATGATGGACTTTTCAAGGACTAATCAGAATTGAAGATTTGATTTTGTTCTTGTTTGGTTGTTGGATGGTTTTCTAAGGAATATGATGCTTCTATCTGAAGGTTTTTGTCTCTTTTGCGTCCCAGAACTAAGTTGCGCCCAACTAAATGCATCAACAAAACAGGATAGTTGACAAATTCCTTCACTTTGAAGTTGTTTGGAACTTGAAAGTAGTCCATCAAAACAAAACATAAGAGTGCATTAAAGTGGTGAAGTGAACGTAATATAATAATGATTATGGAGTTCTACGTGTTTGGATCGAGCCCAGCATTCAACTACTGCAAGATTTTGGGCTGCAAAAGAAAATAACTTTTGGAAAACAAAGACCAAATGATGGATCTTCAAGGACAGGAATCAGCAACCAAGATTATTGTTGTGTTCTTCTATAGTAGCACCCAATGGCATGGCTTCAACATTCAACAAATAGGTGGAATTTTGGTTTTATATTTTGGACCCAAAACATATTTTTACACATTTTCCGCAAATTTTTATTTTTTGGTGCTAAATTTTCCGCATTTCTTCGTTAACAAGCTAACTTGGTAAGTTCGTTTCTGTTGCCTACGGCATGGCCCCCCTCTGCCTCTTCTATTTGATTGAATTATAGTCACTGATTACGCAAGTGATCCTAACACGTGGCACTGCCCAAGCCGCCTTCGAAGAATCGAAGCTCTTCTATCCCGACTCCGTCGGAGTCTATAAAGCGCGAAAATTGGCAAAGAAGCAGGGGCATACATAAAAACAAGTAGTTGGTTATAATCGCAGACAAATCCAAATTACAAGGCATTTTGAAAGCGTATGAACCTGCGTAGACTGTCGTTGAGAATGGCCGACGAAATTAGCAGGTCCGCCCAACGAGAAACCTCCGCTGCTTCTTCTACTGCTGCTGTTGCTGCAGAAAATGCAAAATTAAAATCAAAATCCATCTGGCCTTCTGTCCTCCGTTGGATCCCCACCTCCACCGATAAGATCATTGCCGCCGAGAAGCGCCTCCTCTCTCTTGTCAAGTAATCTTAACCCACCTATGTTTCTCTCCTTTCAATCCCTCCATGTTCATTTGGTTGCAGATTTGTCTGTTTTTGGGTTGGAAATGTACTGAAATGGAAACTAGTGATTTTGTTAGTTTCATGGAATTTCTTTCCTAACAACCCTAATATGAAGTTGAAGTTGCCTAATTTCTCAATTTTCTTTCGAGTTTTGTTTGATCAAGCTCTGACGTTGCAACTTCTTCAATCTTTTGATCGGTTCAGAAGGTTGAATTTTGACAAATTATGCGAATTTCTTGAATTTTGCAGGACCCCTTACGTTCAAGAACGGGTGAATATCGGATCTGGACCGCCTGGCTCCAAAGTGAGGTGGTTTCGATCTGAAAGCAATGAAGAAAGGTGTATCAACACGGTTTCATTTGACAGCAAAGAGGGTTCTCCTACTCTTGTGATGATTCACGGATATGGTGCTTCTCAAGGTTTCTTCTTTAGAAATTTTGATGCCCTTGCCAGTCGGTTCAGGGTCATTGCCATTGATCAACTTGGGTGAGCTATTTTATCTTGATACTTGGAATTTATTCTATGTTCCCTTGTTTTGTTGTAACCCTTCTTTCAGAGCTGTTGTTAACGTTGTCATGCTTTAAGTTCATTCCGTAATTTGCAGCCGACCTTTTTTGTTCTCGGTTGTACTTTTAAAACTTAAAACATCTATGCCACCATGATGAGGGAACATAACTTTTACAATTCCAAGTTGTCAGTATCTACTATGGACTTTATTGGGATACAAATTGTTCTAGCTCTGTTGATGCTAGTATGTAAAAGACCTCCCTCCCTGATGTTCTGTTTGCAGGCTTTTAGTTTAGAGTTGCATCAAAATTAGCTACTCTGTTCCCTGCTTTGGTTTCTTTTCCTTCTGACGTCGAAAACTGCATGAATACGCACAGCTTCCCTTTAAGTTTACTGTTAAACATTATTAACCTTTTGTACCATGTTGGGTAGTGCTTTCTTGGGTTTATTTTATGAGACATTTTGTTCTAAAATCTTTGGTTTAATCTTCTTTACAGTTGGGGCGGTTCAAGCAGGCCTGATTTTACATGCAAAAGCACTGAAGGTAGTTTTACACTGTCATTAGATAATATTTGTGCCACAAGTTATAATGTTACTTACTTACTATGCCAATTGCCAAAAATTTATTTGATATAAGTTTGCAAGAATGCCAATGAAATACGTTCCATTTGTTTCTGAACTTGCAATTTGCAATGCAGAAACTGAGGCATGGTTCATTGATTCTTTTGAAGAATGGCGAAAAGCCAAGAACCTCAGCAACTTTATATTACTTGGGCATTCATTTGGTGGGTATGTTGCATCTAAGTATGCTTTGAAGGTATTTGTTATTCCATATTGATCTTTGAATCTAGGAATGATTGTGGCAGTTTCTGTATTTGTGATCTTGATTTATATTTATGTAATAGCATCCCGAGCACATTCAGCATTTGATTTTAGTGGGGCCCGCTGGGTTTTCATCCGAGTCAGACACAAAATCTCAGTGGGTTACCCAGTTCAAAGCAACATGGAAAGGAGCAATTTTCAACCATTTGTGGGAGTCTAATTTTACTCCTCAGAAGTTAGTCAGGTACATATTTTTGCCTTCCCTCTCCCAAATTTCAATACAATTTGCACAACGGTATTATGCATGGTAAGTATATCCATTTCATTCATTTAAGTTATCCATTTCGTGCACCTGTCTCTAGTTATGGATTCTGTCTCTTGTTCATCTGGTATTTGCACACTTTGAACATTTACAACACATGTTGCAAGCATTGGATGTGTGCAGACATACAATCAGTGTGTACATTTGCATCTATGTTAATGAATGCCCACCTTCCTTCAGAAGGTCTTAAGACCTTATATCTCATGCCTCCATTTCGTCCAAAGATTAGTGATGAGTTAGAGATAAAACAGGGAAACAGGTGGTTCATATTATTCCATCCCTAGATCTGAAGTTTGTATATGTTTACCATGCAGAGGGTTAGGGCCCTTGGGTCCAAATCTTGTTCGGAGTTACACCAGTACTAGATTCGGTTCTTATTCAACAGGGACCACGCTTACTGAAGAGGAATCCGGACTGTTAACAGGTTATTTTACATACAGTTGTTTGTGTGCAGAACATACATATCCTACTTCTAAGATTCTGATGGTTGCTTTTTTCCAATTGAAGATTATGTATACCATACTTTAGCAGCCAAAGCTAGTGGGGAGCTGTGCTTAAAGTATATATTTTCTTTTGGAGCGTTTGCTAGGAGTCCCCTTATTCACAGGTTCGATTCGATGATACTAATCTTTTCCGAATGTCATAGAAGAGTGGGAAGATTGTTGTAATAAAATTGCTTTTAGTGAAGGGTAAACGTGTATTCCACCTCTTTTATGTACAGTGCACCAGAGTGGAAAGTGCCAACTACTTTCATTTATGGCTATCTAGACTGGATGAACTACCAAGGGGCTCAAGAAGCTGGCAAGCATATGAAGGTTCCGTGTGAGATAATTAGGGTTCCTGAGGTGTGATTCTCTCTCACTTTCTCTTGCTCCTTCTCCCTCTCTTTTCTACTCTCTTGCTTCTTATTAATTCGATTACACGATAAACTGGCTTCAATTAATAACATGTTTCTGATAAATAACTGCAGGCTGGGCACTTTGTATTCATAGACCAACCGGATCGTTTCCATTCAGCTGTTTTGTACGCTTGCCGAAGATTTCTTTCTCCTGACCCTGACGTTGAATCGTTACCTGAAGGTTTGTCATCTGCCTGAAAAGAGTATTTAGTCGTTCTCTCCTTTTCTTTGTACAAAGTAAAGAGTCCCCGGTAGTCAATAGGAGTCATGGAAATTTCACAGATTAAATCCTTCAATTCTTTCAAGTGCATTTGTGATATTCGTGTATGCATAAATACCTACGGGTAATGTGAGTCTGTACATTAACAACGGCAGATTTACTTGTACCACTATTCTTTACACATTCTGTCAGTAGTATGTTATAGTTGATATACAAATATTTAAGTGGACAGCTGCCTTTTTGTGAGTAGTTATTGAGATGTTTGAAATGAAAAGATATAAATATAAATAGTGAAAACGACATGTCTTCCAATTGAACAGTGAGTGGTACTGCTGCCATTTCAATTGAATGAATGGCCCTGTTCGTTTTCATGACCCGACTGAATGCGCTATCGGTCTCAGTTATTGGGCACTTAAAGTCGCAAGGATTTTTACCCTGAAAAACTTCTCCACTTTCCACTTGCTGCTTTCTCATCACGTACTCTGCAACTTCCTATTATCATCTCTGAACTTCTGAGTTACTACTGACCGGTTCTCCTGATGCAGTGTGGGTGTGGGACCCACAACCCAGAACCCTTCAAGTTCCCGTGTACCATCAAATTATTTGCTTCCCCAAAACATACCCACCGCAAAGATTTTTATTTTAAAAGAAATAAAAAAGGTAGAAAAATAGTCTTGTTTCACATCAAGTGCTTTGGACTGGTCAGGGGCCACATGCTGGTCAACACTTTCCCCTAATCAATCCGACGTGCACGGCCCAAAGAATCTGACGCCTCGTTGCCTTTCCCGATAAAAGAGGCCGACGTCATATCTTAACGGCTACGTGCCCCTCTCTTTAGAACTTGACACGTGGCTCATCCCGATTAACCATTAGCGTTTTGGCGGGAAAAAAATAAATAAATAAATGGAAAATCTTAGTTTGACTATGGAGCGGAGCGGAGGGTCCCTCCCTTCTCCCTTGCCGCCGTCAGGTGAAAAGTTATGTAGTTTAGCAAAATTAGAAAAGAAATTGGAATTAATCAAACCTTTTAAATATTAATGCGTCATTCTTTTCCCCGAACATTAATATTCTAATAAATAAATAAGAATTAGACTGGTGAAGGCAGTGAGGTTGGATCGGCTGAGGACGGGATGTCAGGGCCGACTCTGCAACCTTCGAGCATGAAGACGACGTCAGCAATGGATGGTCTATCATGCGGATCAGGAGCCGTGCAGAGAAGCCCCACCTTCACTCCCAGCAAGAACTCTTCCCAGTCCGATGATTCAGGGTCTAGCTCAAGCAGCCCTGGCTCCAGCAGCTCTGAAACTTGACCTCTCTGCAATTGCCTCTTCACCCATTTCACAATATCTTCATCTTCCTCAGTAAACATCACCGGCTTCCTCCCAGTTAATATCTCCAACAACACAATCCCATAACTGTAGACATCGGCTTCTTTCGTCGCTTCACCGGTCAATGCAGCTTCAGGGGACACGTAGCCTAAGGACCCGATTGGTGTAGAAGATGAGGAGGCTTCTGCTGGTGTGGCTATGGTTAGCCGGTCTAGACCAAATTCAGACAAATGGGCTTCGAAATCAGCGTCGAAAAGAACGTTTTGCGGCTTCACATCACCATGTACGATTGAGACAGAATGCAGGAAAGCTAATCCACGAGCAATGCCAAGTGCAATGAGGTGACGCATTGGCCAATTTAGTACATGCCCATCTTGGTGAGAGGCCTCTTGAAGAAGAGTGCCTAGGTTTCCATTAGGCATGTAATCGTATACCAGGAGCCTCACATCAGGAGGGCCTGCATAATAGCCACGCAGAACTGTTAGGTTCCGATGCTTCACCTTGCCAAGAGCTTCAGCTTCTTTGCGGAAACCGCCTACATCAAGGAAACCATCAGGAAGGCGTCTAATCGAAAGCACCATTCCATCTTGGAATGTGGCCTTGAATACCAGCCCATATCTTCCCCTGCTTAACACATTTTCCTCATCGAATTGTCTTGTTGCTTCTAATGCCTCTGCATATGTGATCTTGCTATTGAACATCACAAGTTTCGGCCCCCCTCCATTTTCGCCACTTCCCCGACTCCTTTGGTCTCCTCCTGAGCTTGTTCGAGGGCTGTTGCGCTTCTTCTGCCCGCCACCCACCATTTCTCTAAGCTTTTTACGCCATCGCAAGAGGCTGTAGACATAGCCACAACAGCACAATGCCAGAAGGCAAGCTCCACCCACAGCCACCCCAATTAATAAAATCAACCTGTTCCTTTTTCTCCTCCTCACATCTGCACATTCTCTATCCAACGGCTTCCCACATAAATTCCTGTTCATTGCAAACACAGAAGGATCATTGAACTGAGACCCCAGTGGCTTCGGAATCTCACCAGCAAGGTTATTGTTAGACACATTCAAGTACTTCAAGTGAGGGATGATGAGCCAGAGATTTTCCGGGATGGCCCCACTCAACTTGTTAGAGGAAAGATCTAACACTGTAAGGTTCAATAACTTAGGTAACGAGTTTGGTATGTGACCTGAAAGTTGGTTCCCATCTAACAACAGAGAAGTTAGAGAAGAGCATTTGGAAATCTCCTCTGGGATTTCACCTGTCAATTTATTATCACCCAAATCCAGCTCTTTCAAATTAGATAGGCGAGAGATATCACCTGGAATTTTGCCCCTTAATTGATTCGAACGAAGTTCAAGTACTTGAAGACTCAAACTATCACCAAGCTCTTGTGGGATCGCACCGGAAATACGATTTTCGGACAAAGATAGAACACTTAATGACTTGAGAAATCCATAAGTTGCAGGAATATCACCAGCAAAGGCATTGGAGGAGAGGTTTAGATAGAGCAAACTAATCAAACTACTAAAACCTTGAGGAACATCCCCAGACAAGTGATTTTCTTGCAGAGCAACCACTTTTAAACTCGGCAACCCAAAAATCTCAATCGGCATCTCCCCATAAAGCTTTTGCTTACTCAAATCCAGTGTTTCAAGCTTCATCAAACCTCCAATAGTCGCAGGAACGCCTCCAGAAAACCCACAGTTGCTCAAATTTAAAATCTGCAAGCTCCTCATCTCCCCAACGTTAATCTCACCAGAAAACTTGTTATTGCTCAGGTTCAAAATAGTCAAGTTGGTTAGCTGCATCACGAGCTCATCTGGAACTTTGCCAGTCAGATTATTGTTGCTCAAATTCAACAATTCGAGCTCCGAAAGTGCCCCCAAACTCGACGGAATGGCACCGGCGAAAATATTCCCGCCCAAAGATAACACCTTCAAGCTTCTAATTCCTCCCAAAAAGGAAGGAACTTGACCCCAAAATCTGTTTCCTTCAACATCAAGAACCTGTAGCAAACTGCATTTTACAATCCCACCAGGAAGCTCACCACTCAGCGAGTTATTGGCCAACCTCACTTCTTCCAACCGCAAAAGATTGCCAATTTCAGCAGGAAATGCACCTGAAAACAAGTTTCCAGAAAGATCTAATACTCTTATAATTGTTGTCACGTTTGTTAACCAAGATGGAAATGGGCCCCGTATGCGATTAGATTTGAGGTCCAGGACCCCCAAAACGCTCGAGCACCTTGCGATATTTGGCGGCTTAGCAATGCTCGTGAGCGCATTGAAGCCAAGCTCCACGATTCTGAGCGAGGAGTCGTAGTTGGCAATATTGCACAGCAAAGACGCGGGGACCGACCCTGACAACTCGTTCCGTGACAGCGACACCACCTGAAGCTTCGGCATTGCTCCGATCGTCGTCGGAACCAAACCTCTAAGCTCGTTGTCGTCCGCGCTTAAATGTACGAGCGAGGAGCAGTTGGAAATCGCCGAGGGCAGCGTTCCGTACAACTGGTTCGAGTCCAGCCACAGGTATTGAAGGTTCTGAAGGGCTCCGATGTTCGCCGGAACTCCGCCGGAAAACTGATTGAATGAGAGATTGATGAGCTGGAGGTTCGAGTCGGCGGAGAAGTTGGACGGAATGTCGCCGGAGAATGTGTTCGACGAAAGGTCAATGTACCGGAGGGTTGCCGGAAGGTCGGAGGAGATTTTGCCGGAGAGGAAGTTGTGAGCGACATTGAGGATTTGGAGGTTCGTGAGGTTGAGAATCGCCGCGGGGAGAGTCCCGGAGAGCGAGTTGTCGTGCAAGTAAAGAGCGCGAAGGAGAGCGCATTGGGAGAGAGAGGCAGGTATGGAGCCGTTGAAGTTGTTGGTGTGGAGGCTTAGCTTGCGGAGGTCACGGAGGGTGGAGAGGTGGTGAGTGAGGCGGCCGCCGAGGTGGAGACGAGGCAAGCGGAGCTCGTGAACACGGTTGTTGTAACAGACGACGCCACGCCAGTCGCAGGGGGCCGATGGCGTGGACGCATCCCAGCCGTCGAGAGCGCCGAGCGGGTCGTGGAGGTTAAGCTTAAAGGACGTTAACGCTTGGATCTCCTCGGATTGTAGAGCGGACGTTAAGGCGGTGGTGGATGAGAAGCAAATAGCCATTGTTGTTATGATGAAGCAGACGAAGAAGAAGAAAGTAGCCGTTGCCATTAGAGAGACAGAGAAGAGGGAGAAAGAAAACGGGGAAGAAGTGAAAATGGCTGTAGGGAATTGCAATATATTTATTTATTGATTAATTTAGAAGCAGTGTGGGTTGAGTGGCGTTTTTGTCTGTGGTGGGGTTTTTGTGGTGGTGGGAGTTTGGGGGGAGCGTATGAAGAAGAAGTGGAAGGGAAAGAGGTTTTGAGAGAAACGACGCCATATCATACTGCTCCTCTGCGCCCAACTTCAGGTGTTGCTTTTGCCTTTTGGTTCTTCCCCTCTTTTCCCCAAAAGACTCTTTTCTATTTGTTTTCTTTTATTTTCTGGGACGAAACTCTTTTTATTTGTTTATGATATAACGAACGAAAAGAAAGAGAGTTTTTAATTTTCTGTCTGGTCTCTGCTGCGGCTTCTTAACTTGTGATGGGGTCCGGAATCACGAACTTGTCCGAGTTTTTGTCAATGTGGAGAGTTTGATAATGTCACCCTCAACCCCCAAAAGACATGTTGACTGGTTTCCTGGGAAATTGATTTTTCTTACTTTAGCTTTTTTATTTCCTTGTCTTGGACTATAATATGCCAATGGAATGGAACCCTCATCACTATTATAAAATAAAACAATGTGGGGTTCTGTTATCAGTTTATTATTATTATTATTTATTATTCTTCATAAAGTGATTAAGCTTGATCCAATTCCCCTTTAATAAATAATATGGATCTTCTTCGTTATTCATTGGTTAGGATGATTGAAATTTTTCTTTTAATCTCCTTTGCCTTGCCTAACTATAAAATATAATCCCAATACCCAATTATTGGCCCTTTGAATCATGATTTTCAGAAAAGCTGCAAATTGGTACACTTGGGCTGTTTTCTAGTGAATCATTTTTGGATGCTTCTTCTTTCTTCATCTCCTCATATAAGTAAAAACAAAAAAACAAGTAACACGCTCTAACCAAGCCTTATATGTTGGTTTATATCCTGATTCAACCGTTAAAAGATAAGACTTTATATATAAGGCCCTTACTATAAAATGACTCGCCCATGTAGAGACGTAATCGTTTGGTTATCTGGACCGGACGTGAGCATTTTCATTTTGGGCTACAGTGATTCATTTGTTGCCCAGAAAGAGCAGGCTGGGCCTTCAGCAAAAGTAGTAAGTGGCTAAAATTAAAAGAAAAAATTCGAATTCCGTTGCCGGGACTTGAACCCGGGTCTTTCGGGTGAGAGCCGAATATCCTGACCAACTAGACTACAACGGATTCGTGATATCAATCGGGGTCTGGAAATATATAACTCATATTGACCTTGCTGAGATAGGGTTTACCGCGTTATCGTACACCGTATGGTTACAAAATCATCTGACGTTTAAAACTGCAAACACTGAACAAAAAAAGAAAAAGGAAAACGGAAATAAAAAGTTGGATTTCAAACCCAGAAAAGAAGCTGAAGAGGGTTTAAGCGCAGTGAACACTCTCTGCAATGGAGACCTTGAAACACTTTGGCATTGGCTTCTCCACTCCAAGTCTTGTCCCTTTTCGACACCAAAGAAGACCTCAAAAGCTCAATCCCACCTGCTTCGCCAGCAAATGGGCGGAGCGCCTCCTCGCCGACTTTCAATTCCTCGGCGACTCCTCCTCCTCCTCCTCAGACCACCAAAACCACCATTCCCTATATTCAGCCACCGCCACTCTCGCTCCTCCTCATCTGCCTCCCCATATCGCTTCCCCCGAGCGCCACGTGTCCATCCCCATCGACTTCTACCAGGTTCTGGGCGCCCAGCAACATTTCCTCGGGGACGGTATAAGGAGAGCTTATGAGGCTAGGGCTTCTAAGCCACCGCAGTACGGCTTCACTCAAGAAGCATTGTTCAGCCGGAGGCAGATCCTTCTGGCCGCTTGCGAAACCCTAGCCGACCCTAGGTCCAGGAGAGAGTACAATCAAGGTCTTGCTGAAGACGAAGACGGAACCATCCTCACCCAAGTTCCTTGGGACAAGGTTTAATTTTGTTGTTAGCACTCCTATTTTCATTCCATAATTCACTTCTGCTTTGTTCTCTTTGGTTGCTGTGAGAATTTAGTGAAAAAATGAAAGAAATTGTTGAGAAATGAAATGGTTATCAAACGGGCCCTAAGAGAACGTGGTTTTAAAGTTAAATTTTTTGAATTTGTTTCATCCACATTACTGCGTTTTCTAAGTAAACAAACAGCAAAATGTGGTATTCACTCATGTTGAGCTATTTGTAGGTTCCCGGAGCTCTGTGCGTGTTGCAAGAAGCTGGAAAGACCGAGCTTGTTCTTCAAATTGGGGAGAGTTTGCTAAGGGAGAGGCTGCCCAAGTCGTTCAAGCAAGATGTCGTTTTGGTGATGGCACTTGCTTACGTTGACATGTCCAGGGATGCAATGGAATTATCCCCACCTGATTTTATTCGAGGTTGTGAAGTGCTGGAGAGGGCTTTGAAACTCTTGCAGGTGATTTCTTCATGAGCAAGTTCTCTACGTTCTTAATTTTTTGTACCTATTACTAAGTGGCTTTTTATGCACTATGAGGATAAGATGCATAAGATGATTGTTTCACTTCCATTACATCCTTTCATGCTTTATTAAGACTGATCTTCTACATGTAGGAGGAAGGTGCCAGTAGCCTTGCACCTGATCTTCAAGCACAAATTGACGAGACACTGGAAGAGATCACCCCACGCTGCATTTTGGAACTTCTAGCCTTACCCCTTGGTGATGAGTACCGATCAAGAAGGGAAGAGGGCCTCCACGGTGTGCGCAACATATTGTGGTCTGTTGGAGGAGGAGGAGCGGTTGCAATTGCTGGGGGATTCACTCGTGAAAATTTCATGAACGGGGCCTTCTTGCATATGACTGCAGCTGAGCAGGTAGCTTCCTTATTACTGTCAATTCCTATATGCTCAATCATCTAATCTCTTTTCTTTTTCTAACTTTTTTTCTGTGTTTTTTCTCTCGTAAAAGGTTGATTTATTTGTAGCTACCCCCAGTAATATCCCAGCAGAAAGCTTTGAAGTTTATGGGGTGGCTCTTGCGCTTGTTGCTCAAGCCTTTGTTGGTAAAAAACCTCATCACATTCAAGATGCTGATAACCTATTCCAGAAACTTCAGCAGTCTAAGGTAACAGCTGTAGGACATTCTCTTGACAACTATATAACCAAAGAAAACAGTGAGATAGACTTTGCTTTGGAGAGGGGACTCTGTTCACTTCTTCTAGGGGACCTTGATGACAGTCGTTCATGGTTGGGCCTTGACAGTAATGATTCACCATATAGAAATCCATCTGTTGTAGACTTTGTCTTGGAGAACTCAAAGGATGACGATGACAATGACAATGATCTTCCTGGACTTTGCAAGCTATTGGAGACGTGGTTGATGGAGGTGGTATTCCCCAGGTTTAGAGACACCAAAGACATAGAGTTCCGACTGGGAGACTACTATGATGATCCTACAGTCTTGAGATACTTAGAAAGGCTGGATGGCACTAATGGTTCACCCTTAGCTGCTGCTGCTGCCATAGTGAGGATTGGAGCTGAGGCTACTGCAGTTCTTGATAATTTCAAGGCCAGTGCACTTCAGGCATTGCAGAAGGTGTTTCCTCTGGGTTACAGGGATGAGAATGTGCAACGTCAAGAAGATCATGAGATGAATTATTCTCTTCTCCCTGTAGAAACTGGAGAGTCTCTGGAAGAATCTGATGGAGATGATTCTGTCCATGTAGCTGAGGTTTCTGGAAGAGATGATTCTGTTGTAATACGTGAAGAAGAATTGATTACTGACAAAATCAAAGATGCGAGTGTGAAGATTATGTGTGCTGGTGTGTTAATTGGACTAATGACGTTAGCTGGATTAAGGCATTTACCTGCTAGGAAGGGTTCATCCAATCTACAGAGAGAGCTTAGTTCAATGACTGCATCTGATGTCGCAAGTGCAGGTATGATTTTAACCATGCATTAGACTATTTATAAAACAACTAACAAAGCCTTCTTTCCACCTACTAAGGTCTGAAACATTGATATTTTTGGTCTCTTGGCTTTTTCTACTTCCACATGTTTGATTTTGATGAAACATGTTATTTCACTCGATCGAAAAAGTCCCTTGTAATATTTCACCAGCTTTTTGTTAAAGAGCTTTTATGAATCTTCTGATAGCTAGCAGTACTGGCATATTTCTGATTTCCTTTGGGTCAATCCATTTCACAGCATAAGCATACAGATTTACAGCTACTGCAAGATTGAGATGGAAAATTAATGCATATAACCATGCAGGGCTACCAGGTGTTGAGAAATCTGCAGAGGAATTACCCAAAATGGATGCAAGAATTGCAGAAGGTCTAGTTCGCAAATGGCAAAACATAAAATCTCAGGCTTTCGGGCCCAATCATTCTGTGGAAAGCCTGTCTGAGGTAAGAAATTCGGTAGTTTTGTGGATGAAAAACTATATCATCGAGCTGGTCACCAGCCATAATGCTTGTCCTGACATTGCAAAAACTGCCAGGTTTTGGACGGTGAGATGTTGAAGATATGGACAGATCGCGCGACCGAGATTGCACAGCTTAATTGGTCCTATGACTACACCCTGTTGAACTTGAGCATTGACAGTGTGACTGTATCGCTAGATGGGCAGCGTGCTGTGGTGGAAGCAACTCTGGAAGAGTTGGCCCAGTTAACTGATGTCCTTCATCCAGAGCACAATGCCTCAAACAACAGAACGTACACCACCAGATATGAGATGTCTTGTTCGAGCTCAGGATGGAAAATCAGTGAAGGAGCTGTCCTCCGATCATAAACAAATTATGTAAAATATGAAGATACTTGTGTAAATGCCGTCTTTATTTTTCCTGCCTTTACTTGTATTATGCCTGTTCTCATAGCGGATGAATATTTTTTAAACAAAAATTTTATGAGAATTATATAGCAAATGATCAATAGATTGTTTTTTAAAATTTCCTCCAACTTAGATTGCGCAAAAGACATTAACAATGGAAAGGTATCAAGGAATCATAGTAAAATTGCAGACTGCCGTTTAGTTTACAATGGAATATCAACATTCGAGCTGCGCTGAGCTGAAGTGAGGCACAATATGTACAAAAAATGGTTTCTACGGTCACCTTGTCTAACTGGAACACTCGCAAATTCTATAGAGTGGACATGGAGTCTCTCCAGATGGAGGATTTCTTATTTATGGGTCGGGATAAGAAGCTGAGTCCAAGAATCTCCTTGGGAGCCTCAAGTGGCTCAACAAGCCCCACCAACTTTGCAACAAGGGCTGCACTCTCCCTTATATGGCCTGTGTCCATTGTGCTCGTCCATAGCAAGTTCGCTAACTGCAGGCTCCTCTGCTTTGTGTTCAGCCTAATGCCCCACTTCTGGTAGAGCCTTTCTTTTTCCTTCTTTGATGTGAACCTCTTGTGCACTTTCTTACTCAGCATTTCTCTCTCCCGCTTAAGAACCTTCATACTGTTTGTTTCCCATTGAAAATCAAGAAAACCAAAATAAGTTAGGCGGCGTTTAATATCCTATTCAAGTGGGGAATTCAAAAACTTTGATTTTTTATTTTTTTAAAACGAGTTCAAAAATCCATTTTTTAAGATTCATATTTCCCTTGCATGTCCCTTGTGTGTTTGTGTGTTGTTGCAATCTGAAACACTACCTTGCAGCTGGTGTGAGAGCTTGACGAACTTTAAGATTGCTTCCCTCGGAGAAAGTGTCCTTCAGAATGGTCAACCTTCTGAGCTCTACCTCCAAGTAGAGAAAGTCAGAGGGATCGCCTTTGTAAAGGAGGAAGAAATGGGCTCTGTGAACCAATGGCACAAAGCAAGCATCCCAGAGTTCAATTATTAGTCCCCTCTGTGTCTCAAAATCAAGGCGCCAATTGGAATGGGTTCTCAAGGCACAATGCCCTGTATCCATACGACCATGCCTCCTCCGTGCTGCTCCTCTTTGTACCTGTCACCAATAACTACCCATGACAAAAGTTCGTGTCTTTGGGAGATAGAATGAGAGAGAAAGAGGGAGATTATTACCTCGTACTTGTCTTTATTTTGTTCCTCATCAAAATTGAGAACACTAACGTTATCCTCTATATCAGACTCTGAAACGTTGGGGATAACTTTCCAGGCCACTGGAGCACTCAAAACAGAAGCTAACTGAGAACTCGATCTGGATGAGCTACCTACTTCGGAAGTTTGCTTTGATTTATGAAATAGCTTCCACCTCAAGCCTCTTGAACTTCTAGGCAAGTCTTCAACAATGCCCTCTGCACCAGTTGCCTCCCTGCTTTCCTCTGTCTCCATGTGAACACTCAACAGAGAATCTTGATCAGAATCTTTTCTGGGTAACTTTCCACCGTGGCCACCATACTTGGATCGAGAAGTATCCCCCCGATGGACTTTTGGCTTTTTGTTAGGAAAGTCCTGCTCTATAATAGCCTCTGCGTCAGGATGATCTCTGGTGCCACTGCCATCTGTGTCCGAGGGACCACTCAGACCAGAAGTTGGAAAATCTTCCCTGGATAAATTTCTACTGTGGGCACCTTGCCTTGATCTGCAGGGCCACCGTGGAAAGCCTTCAGCAAGTGTTGCGTTTTCGTTTCGTTCTGCCTCATTAGATGCCAAAGAAGATGGACTCATGATAACTGCCCTGCAACTTCGACTTCTGGACATACCCAAGTTTATAGAGCTAGATTCAGAGGAAGAAGGAGATTGTTCTATGGGGGCAAGAGTGACAAGGTTGTTAATTGTCCTTTGCAGTTCCTGAATTTTTAGCCGCATCGCTTCATACTCTGCATTAACATGATTCAACTCCTTATCTCCCATCTGTGAGGATGAAGCTGCATCTTCCTGCATGGTTACTGTCCGTGAGGATGAAGGCACATCTTCATGCATGAGAACTTCAGAACCAGGTAAAAACGAATCAAAAGTGTTCTGGTCCATGCTTGATATGCATCTAATTTCCTTGCAGCTAGCTTCAGATTCAGTACTAGATGCTTCTGCACGACATCTTTGTGCAATATCTTCAGATTCTGCATGACATCTTTGTGCAATATCTTCAGATTCTGCGTGACATCTTTGTGCAATATTTTCAGGTTCTGCATGACATCTTTCTGTAAGATCTTCAGGTTCTGTATGAGAAGTTTGTGCAAAATGTTCAGACTCTGCAAGAGATTTTTGTGCAATATCCTCCCAACCCTGGCATGGATCAAGCCCAACAAACTGTGGAGTACTACTGTCCAGCAGAAAGAATTCATCAGAACTCTCAGAAAGCTGTCGGTTGTGCTTGCTGGAATTGGGTAAAGTAGGTCTATCAGTAATATCAGATGATTTGTATGCCTTTACACCCATGTCTAATGACTCCTCCGATCCTGAATTTTCACCTATTCTTGGAGCTCGGCCCTCTCCAACTGATTGTAACAAATTCTGAACCCGAGATTGGGCAAGATCACGTTGACGAGTCAACTCTTTTATCTCTTTATCCATCTGCATAATTTCACATTTAAAAAGATGGCATGTGAAAACAAATCTGAATGAAATAGATGATTCCAGAAAATCCTGGGAAACAAGATCTCCGACCAAAATCCAATAAAGTATAATACAACCGTAAATTCATCCCTCAGGATATAAATCTCTATCAGAAAATATTCTTTGTCTTTTTCTGTACAAATTAGCAAAATTGTGTATATATGAGTCATAGAAGTCTAGTCACCTGTTCAAGCAGAAGTTCTTTCTCTTGCATTGACTTTGATGTTAAGCTCGTCAATGCACCTTCCATTTTTGCTAGTTCTTTCTGCAATTGCTTTACTAAGGCCTTATCTGATGTTACTACATTGACCTTTGCATTCGTACTCACCTCTTTTGCACAACTTGCAAAGAACAGGGTGTTTTTTGATTGCTCAACATGACTTCGTGCAGGGCTCATAGTGCAAATGATGGCTGTCCTGGCATTGCCTCCCAAAGAATTTTGCAGTATGCGTGTTAGTTTAGAGTCTCTGTAAGGTACGTGTCCATTTCTTCCCTTGCTGTATCCATTGATGACATCAAATTGATTAAGGAAACAGAAAGTAGTTAAATAAGGTTAGATAACAAAAGAGAAGTTTCAATACGCTATACAAAGCACCCCAAAGAAAACAAGTTATTAGATATATAGACATGAAGCTGAGTGTACATTTATACAAATAAGCCCTTCTCTGGAGTATATGGAAAAACTATTGAACCTTAATTTGCGAATTACACCTCCCAGGGTCAGTAAACTTCGATTTATGTGGCAACCTTCTTTCAATCTTGCACCAGCTGATAATGCCTGAGAAACACGCTCGCTGCCCGCAAGATCAACAAAATTCTGCACAAAGAGTCTCATTTCTTATTCCTAAAAATACCATTCTATTATATCCTTGTGAAGGAAATTTTCTTCGCTAAGGCAAGTACTTCCATACCACAGTAGCTGCTAGTGTGCTTGAACTTTCAATGCCCAGATATTCTCGAGCAGAACTTTCAATTGTCTGTTGGATCCATTATTCAATAAAAGAAGAAATTACAAACAAGTTCTCATGTCAAATAAGAAAGTAACTGTTTTAGTGAAAAGCATACCAGTCGCAAAATCTGATGAGATCTGGAGCTAGTTTCATTCAGAGAGGTCTCTCCTATCTTCCTTTGAGCTGCAAGAATTAAGTACCACATTTAAGAATATACTTTCCATCTAGTGAAAATAGAACTAACATGAGTTCTATATAATCCTGTGAGACAAAACTAACGCAAATGCCTTTACCTTCGCAGATGGAAAGAAGTTCCTGCAGGTGGTTCTGGTCTCTCAAAATCTCCTCTGAAAGTTTCTCGATAACAGTCCCTTTCTATTGGAGTAGCATTATTAGATAAACTTTTGATCAGTCATTTGAATTATGTTTTATATGAACATGTGTCTGTGTGAGCGCAAACTTGAGCACATGCACGCTGATTATGAAAGGAATACATTATTCACCTCTGGATCGTCTAGGAGCCTAAGTGGACCACTGTCAGAGCTGAGGAGGTCTTTGACAGCTTCATTATAGATCTCCATGGCAGAGAACTTCAACACAAACTCCTTATCACTATGCTGAAACACAACAAAGATTCAAATTATGCCAGGGTCAGAAAAAACAGTCAACTTGATATAAATTGCAATTGAAGATTCTAGATATATCACTTACTTGCTCAATGTAATCATATATATCTGTAATTGCATAATCTGTAATCCCTTTCATAGTGTACGTTTTTCCACTGCTTGTTTGTCCATAGGCAAAAATGGTGGCTGGACATAATATGTATATGTTTCAGTAAAATAAGATTCTTATTACAATCTAAATATCAGAAAACAAGGATTAGAAGATTGCTCACAGTTGATGCCGTTGATGGCTGAAAGAACAACCTCTTTAGCTCCCTCATCATACACCTTCCTAGTGGGACATTCCCATCCAAATACTCTGTCTATCCCCAATACATTGAGCAGAAAAGGACATGAAAACAGCGTTCAGGGTCTTCAAATATTAAGAAAAATCACTTCAAAAAATGCACATGGTACCAAAAGAAAATTTCAATTCCTAACAAGAAGAATATGAAATTTCAATTCTTTACCAAAAGAATAAGCAGAGGGAGACATGGGGCGATCAGGGTGGCTATAGTTGTACATAACGGTGTTATTTTTGACGAACCAATCTGAAACATCGTTCTTGGTCTTTTCCTTTTGATTCAATGGTCTCAACCTAACCGAAACAAGAATTTTCTCTTCCTTCATAGGCTGCTGCTCCAGAGCCATCGCCTCTCAAATTTCCCTTTTTCTGACCCGGAAAAAAAAAACCACAGAAACTTCAAAGTCCTCCAATTTTTCTCTCTCACATGAATATGTGAGAGAGTGCCTACTACAAACGTCAACGCCTTTGAAAACGGGAGCGTTCACTGATGAATTTCTACATCGTTCCCAAGGTGGACCGCCATTCGAATTTCTGTCTGAAATCTCCCAAATGCAGGTTGAATGAATTTTCAAATTATTATTCGAATCGTATCATATATTGCCGTCTTTTCAGCTCCAAAAGGCTTCCATTTCTAACAATCAATGTCCTCTACGAAACAATAAGAGCAATAAAAATATTCGAACTTCAATTTCGAAAGGGTTATAAATCACAGAAAATTCCACAAAACTTTAGAACTCTGCAAATTGTCTCACCTTGTGCAGCTCCCAGTCCAAGTCAAAGACACAATGCCAACTAAGTACAGCAGCAGCAACAACAACGCGGAAATTCAAGGCAAATTAGACAACGAAAACAAATTCTATATCAAAGAAACGGAAGACGGAACGGCCAAAACGTCGGGGATAATTGAGCGGAAACTCAAATTCGAATATCGGAGGAATTTTGGCCGAACCGTAAAACCAGATGGTTCTGGCCTTGTGGAAATGAAGGCCAGAGAGAAGGAAAAGCAACGGCGCAAAACCGTTGCCTCCCTCTCTCTCGCTCTTATTTGGATTACTTCCTACCTCTGGTATACAACCGCCAAAATCTAACAAATATGTCTTAAAAACGAAGTCCAGCTTACTATTTTGACCTTCAACTTGCTGCAATTAACGCCCCCGACAGATTAGAGCTTAGCTGTCACAGACTTTTTGTTGACTGTATATGTTACCGTTAGCCAAGTAAAAATAAATTTAAATAAATAAATAATCCTCATCTTTACTAGACGGGCCTCTTGTTTTGTCTTTATAGCCAGGCTTATACTGTTGGACGACTAAATGGATCACCTAATTGGACTGCGACCGAGCCCGATTCACCACTAATAAAGCTATTTTGGGAGCTTTCTAAAAAATTTCAACTCTAACGATACTTCCTAATTTGGAGAGTCATAAATGTTTTACTTCTTTTTGTCATAAATACTTTACTTCTTTTTAAATTTAATTCCTGATTTGCAATAAAATCTTCATATTCAAATACTAAATATTCCCAAATAATAAACTACAAAAAGTATTCTATGGTTTTTGTGTTTTAAAAGTGTTTGTGTTTTGCAAAATAACTACAAGGAAAATAACTTTTTTAAAAAGGGTGTTTGTGTGCTACTAAATATATATTGTGAAAAGAATCGAAAAAAAAAAATTTGCTTGTGCTTTGCAAAGCACCTATAGCAAACAGAAGAGAAAATACGGTGCATGACGTAGGTAGTGTGCAATAAAAAGGTGATTAAAATATAAAATGCAGAAATAAAAAGATAGAATTAAAGAAATCATTAAATAATTGTTTTAAATAATAATAAAATATTGTAACATTTAATTATAGGGAGTCACTAGAAGCCTTTTCTCTCTCCTCATAGTTATGAGCTTCTAGAGGTCTCTCTATTTTAGAGGTTGGATAAGGAGCATGGTTTGGAGGTGGGTTTTCTCACTTCCTCCTTAAATTTTATCTAAGAAAATGATTTATGGAGTCAATTTTATCTTAGAGCATCCACAATGGGCTCCCTAAACCACCTCCTTAGTTAAAATTTAGGGAGGAATTGAAAAAACCCACCTGCAATCATGCTCTCTATCCAGCTCCTAAAATAGGGAGACATCTAGGAGCTCCTAAATATGAGGAGAGAAAGAACTACTAGCGACTCCCTATAATTAAATGTTGTTTTACTTTAATGTTATTTTAAATATTTATTTAATGCTAGTTAACTATTTTTTATTATTATTTTATATGAAGAGGGAGCATTTATGCTAAGCCAAAAAAAGAAATAAATCATTTATGATTTCCTAAATTAGAGAGCATGGTTGGAGTTGAAATTTTACAAGGTGCTCCTAAAATAGCTTTCTAATGTTATAGCTAAATTTTAACTAAAAAATAAGGAGCATGATTGTGGATGCTCTATGGTCCCTAAACTTTGAACTGATTCGCATTTTAGTCCCTCAATTTCCAAAATCGTTATTGCAGTCCTTCAACTTTATTTTTGTTAGGACAAATGGTCCTGCCGTCACTTTTGTTATATTTTCTGCTAAATGCATGGGCAAAATGGTATTTTTGTATTATTTTTATTTTTCACCATTTGAATATTCCTTTCACCCAAAAAAAAAAACTAAAAACTAAAAACCTTTATTCCTATCCTCGCCATCGGATATTTAAAAGAATATAGCCGCATAGTTATACTCTTTAAATATATTCGGGTATTTAACAAAGTATAACCGTGTATCTATACTCTTTAAATATATTCGAATACATATTGAATGATAGGAAATGACAATTTTAGGCCTGCAATTGAGGCCAACTAGTTATTGTCGACAGACCGTGTTGCAAAATCCCCAAATCCATTCGACCAAATATAAAATTCTTAGCCTTAACTCTTCAAAACGTCGTCGCGTGCCATAGCCGCCATGGCACCTGTGTCAGATGAGTAACAAAAGGGGAAATGCACTACCATGCTCCCAATTTGTCCAAAAGTAGGTATATACTAGCTTCTAAACTATAAAATTTGTGCCTTTCATATCTAACTCGTTTAAAGAATCGTATCTTTTTATTTTTATTTTCCAAGTATACAAGTTCCCCTTGATTTGGTTTGCTTCTTCTTGTTGTCGTTATTTTGGCTATGTTTTATGTGATATAAATTCAATAATTTATTAGAACTATGAAATTAAATAAAGATTATCTAGTAAGACTCCTCACAACAATGACGGAGCCATGAAATTAAAGAAAGAAAATTAAATTTAAAATGTTTGAATTGATTAAATCGATAAGTGAGTTTTCAGATGACCTCTGGGCGTTAAATAAGGCCCCATTATAGAATTAATGCGAATATGACAATATTCTTACCGATCGTGACTCAAATATTGTATTTTCTTATACGACATGATGAGGATTCGAGTTTGATCATTTCTTGACATGAATATGGCACAAGGAGTATCACATATAATAGACAAATTAAGTTAGTCATTAGTGTTAAACATAAATAATTCAAACTTGGTATGAAAATGTCGTTTAATTATAATATCTACCAACGGGGTTTAAACCATTGGAAAATAGTATTGACTTACAAATTAGCGGTTTCAAGTTCAAACCACCATGACAACTTAGTGTTGTATGTAAAAAACATTCATCTCCCTTATATATTTAGTATTATCGTTTGTATTTAATTAATATTTAAAAAAAAATCACTGTACCTTTGTTATTTATAATAAGGGGTATTTTAGAGAAAAGGAAAACTACAAAGTACCCTTTAACATAGCATCCTTAACAATATCGGGAGAGTTAAGATATTATGAGAACTACAATTACATCCATAGATAATATAAGGAGTTAATCTATATGCTACAAAATTGACTTTTCTAAAATCATGACAAAAAATAATCAAGCAACGCTCAAAAATCATCAAACAAACGCTTAAAGTTGTATCATGTAACAATTTATAGTTTCGTTAGTATTATGATCAAATGTGTTTTATTAAGTAATGCATAATTGATTGGGTTGGCTTAGAATAACAAATCTTAAACCCTTTAATTAAAAAAATAAATTATAGCTTTAATTCAAAATATAGGGCCGCTAATAATATTCCAGATTAATTAACCATGGATTGAGTAAGTACCATCGTATAACTAAAAAGATGGCGGTCTAGAACTTGAATAATATTCAATACGTGTACAAAGTGACACGAAGCAAACTCAAAAATAGAACAAATGGCCAGGGCACACTACTCAATCGCCGAGCCAGCTGGACAACAATCTTTCTTCTTTATGTAAAAGCTGGCGTTACCTAAGCCCAAGTGCCAACAAAATACAAATATATATACTTTTAACAAAAAAAGAAATTGTAAAAATAGCCCCACTAGGGCCACGTGGCCCACCACCAACCATCATCATCTTTCATCATTCATTCATGAAGCAAGCAAGGAGTGAGAACGAGTTGAAGAAAAAAAAAAAAATAAATAAATATTTATTTATAAAAAAAAAAAAAAAAAAAAAAAAAAAAAAAAAAAAAAAAAAAAGAGAGAGAGAGAGAAAACAATGGCCGTCTCGTCTCTCTCTCTCTCTCTCTCTCTCTTCTATTTCTCTTTTTCCTGGTTTCACTTTTGGGTTATCCAGCCAGATGGCTCAGATCCAATGAAAACCAACAGGAAAACAGTTGGTACCACCACCCAACCCAAATGAAAGTGAAAATGAAATGAGAACAAGAAGAAGCCCCCCTCATCTTGTTAATCACATAACATCATCATTTATAGTCTCATTAAGGATTCAAACCCTAGATTAATTTATTTTTTTAGCTAAGCCCCCTCCCTTCTACCTTCTCTTTTTGGTCGCTCACTCACTTTCCATTTATACCAATTACCTTTACATTAATTTACACCTGTATCACTTCATCTTCTTCTTCTTCTTCTTCTTCTTCTTCTTCTTCATCTTTTCAAACCCTACAAAATTAAAAGCTGAAATTAAAATTTGGGACAAGGGTATAATGACAACGAGAGGGAGCAGATCAGAGAAGGTCAAGAGGATTTTCCACCAATTCGATGAAAACCATGACGGAGGTCTCAACAGAGATGAAATGGCCGCGCTCGTTGTGGCGGTAAACCCTAGGGTCAAGTTCAGCGACGAGCAGATCAATGCCATTCTCGACGAGGTCTTCCGGACCTACGGTGACTTCATCGACGGCGAGAAGGGCCTCACCTATGAGGGCCTCTTGCGGACCTACGACGACGGTGCCGGTGACGTGGACCGTGACTTCGACGCGCTCGGTTTGGAGCTCACCTTGGACGAGACCAAAGCTTCCATGGCCTCCGAGGCCTCGTCGTCCTCGATAGTCGACGAACGCCTCGTTGAGTCGCAAAAGAAGCAGAGAACGGCGGCCTGGGCGGTGTCACCCAACCACGGGATCGTGTTCGACGACACGTGGAAGATAGTCGACGATTTAGAGATTTTGGTGAAGAGGTTAAAGGCGAAGCAAGCCAAAGATGGGAAATTGAAAGCCGACAATATCGACGCTTTTTCCGATGCCGGGTGGTCTAGAGAATTGGGACCTTCTTCAGAGATTTCGGATAAAAGGGTATTTTGGGAAGAGTCTGGGCACGAGTATGCTGCGTTCGTTAGAGAATTGGGGGTGTTAAGGAGCCGAGCCGACGGAGCAAGGTCACGTGAGCAGGCCTTCGATGGTCACATGGCGATTGGGAGGGTTCTGTATGAGCACCAGCTGTTCAAAGAGGCGTTGGTGAGTTTCAAGAGGGCTTGTGAGTTGCAACCAGTGGATGTGAGGCCACATTTCAGAGCTGGGAACTGCTTGTATGTTCTTGGCAGATACAAAGAGGCTAAAGATGAGTTTTTGTTGGCGCTCGAGGCGGCGGAGGCCGGTGGGAACCAGTGGGCTTATTTGCTTCCACAGATTTATGTGAATCTCGGGATTGCGCTTGAAGGTGAAGGTATGGTTTTAAGTGCTTGCGAGTATTATAGAGAAGCTGCAATTCTTTGTCCAACTCATTTTAGAGCTTTGAAACTCTTGGGTAGTGCTCTTTTTGGGGTTGGGGAATATAGAGCGGCTGTCAAGGCCTTGGAGGAGGCCATTTTTATGAAACCGGACTATGCAGATGCGCATTGTGATTTGGCTTCGGCTTTGCATGCCATGGGTGACGATGATAAGGCAATTGTGATATTTCAGAAAGCCATTGATTTGAAACCTGGTCATGTAGATGCTTTGTACAATTTGGGTGGGCTTTATATGGACGCGGGTAGATTTCCGAGAGCTTCTGAGATGTATACTAGGGTTTTAGCTGTGTGGCCCAACCATTGGCGTGCTCAGCTTAACAAGGCTGTGTCCTTGTTAGGAGCTCGGGAAACTGAGGAAGCTAAGAAGGCTTTGAAGGAAGCATTGAAAATGACCAACAGGGTTGAATTGCATGATGCCATTGCACATTTGAAGCAGCTGCAGAAGAAGAAGGTGAAGGGGAATGGGGGTGCCAATGGGGAGGGTTCGTTTGTCGTTGTGGAACCTACAAAATTTAAGACAGTTGGTGAGAGGACTACATTGAGGCAAGAGTTGGCCAATGCACTTGAGATTAGGGCCTTTCAGAGGATTACCAGGTTGAGTCGTTGTGATGTGGAGTTGCTTAAGAAGGAAATGAATGATGGCGAAGTACCTGTTTCATATTCTGGTACTGGTGTTCCTCAGAGATCCATACGCAAGCCTAACTTAGAAGAAATTCTCCGCAGGTTACTTGATTTCCTAAAACCAGAGACTTTTCAAGGAGCTGTTAAAGCCATAAACGAGAGGATACTCTCCGTCTTTGATGATACGGGCTCAGGCAGAGTGGACTTGGGCATGTTTTTTGCTGTTCTAGCTCCTATTTGCAGTGGCCCGCCAGAAAAGCGCAAACGAGTTGCATTTGATGCGCTCTTGTGGCGTCCTGTGAACGAAGGTGGTGGTGCTCAGATAAGAAAAGCCGACGCTACAAGATATATCAAACTGTTGAGAGCCATATATGTTCCTTCCCATGGGGCTAGTGAGATTCTGGAACTCCATGGAGAAGATCTTTCCATGATGACTTTCACAGAGTTTCTTGTCATGTTTGATGACACAGATTGGGGTTTTGGTATCATGTCCACGTTGTTGAAGCTTGAAACTGGGGACAGGAACCGCCACGGCAACCGTGTCTGCTCGGTCTGCCGCTATCCGATTATTGGGTCCCGTTTTAAGGAGATAAAATCTCATTTCAGTTTGTGTAATCAATGCTACAGCGAGGGAAAGGTGCCTCCTGCCCATAAGCAGGAAGAGTACAAATTCAGGGAATATGGAAGTGAGGCTGAAGCCATGAAAGACAAGTGCAAGTGCTTCACATTGCAATCCCATAGTGACCCATAGCTATAGACTTTATTTTTTTGTGTTCTGTATAATTCCTTCTTCATAATCGTAGTTGTTCAGTGTGAAATATATAGATCATGAATGTGTTCTGTGGGCATTATGCCTTTGTATAATACATTGTTCCCACCGGTTTTTCTGATGTCTCTCTGCCTTATCATCTGTATAACGTTGCTTCTCTTTTCCAACACTCAGATGTTGTATGGTTCGGTACGGTTCACTGCCCTCTCCTCTGTATAGAAGGAGAGGGTTGTGAGGCTCTTTAATTGCGTAATGATCGATATTTGTTCTTGTACTTTGAGTTCTGTTGGAGGTGGCATTTTGTTGAACGATGCTTTTTTTTTTACTTTTTACATGTTGCTGCCCTGTTTCTGATTGTTAACTAATAATATTGATGTAAATGCAGAAACTTTTTACCTGTCGGACTAAAAGGATTGATTATTATATATTGCTGATCATTACTTTGTTCATCTTTATCCATCGTTTCTGTAGGTTTAACCAAGAAGTGAGGTCAACTCCACGAGCCGTGATCTTGGGGACAAATCTCTTAGAAAAAATTCGGTCTGAGAAGACCGGACCTTGTACCAATCAACTTTTCTTTAAATTCACTTAAAAGTCTTGTTGCCATTGATGACGGAATGAAAGGTACATCACATATTTCAAATATGCGGGCAAAAGGGCAATGATGACTTCGAAGACAAATTCCAGAGAAAATCGTGTGCAATATACATTACATACACATACGGTCTTAGTAAAGAAAGGAAATCTATGTAGGAGAGGAGGCCAACTTGTTAGGCTTTCCATTCTGTTTAAAGCACTACATGCATGCAAGAAGCATGGTAAGTCATCCATCGGGTGTGAGAAATAAAGAACCAATTTTGTTCAAACACTACCATACTTTCACATATATTAGGATTTGTTGCTGACGGTTGCCAAATGCATCTTTGAGTTTGCGAGTTAGAAATTCAAAAACCATAACCTGCGCTGCAGCATAGAGTTTTTAGGGGTTGGATTTGCAGCTAGCCTAAAATCACATGGGAACAGTAGCAGGAACAGGAAGCTCAGCAAAGCACATGTTATGCATGATGATCATGTCCGTTATGATGATTATGCCCGCAAGAGCAACTGCGGCACCGTCACCGTCGGCCCCATCATCATCATTTGTTGCTTTCCAACAACTGAAAGAGCAGGTGCAGCAGCAGGGAGCGGACAAACACCACTATGAGGCACGGACGTCGGAAATATTTCTTCAAGACTACGGCATTTGGAATCCAACACCTTATTATGGTAGAGGCGACATGGCTCCTATTCCCCACTGAGAATTATATTCTTTGCACTTACAAAGTACCTTCTATCATTAAGTTTTGTCCAGAATACAAATAAACAAAGTCGTTTCACACTTGAATGTTTATTCGTTACAAAGTATGATTAATTAAAAAAATTCTTTTGTTCCTATGCTGCTATGTCGCACTAAATCATGAATGCATAATTGATGACATTTGTATTCACCTTTTAAATTGAAAGAAATTATTGATATTTCTGTTAATCAAGTCAACCTATCATCTGTAGAGGAAGAAAATAAAACTAAATTGTAGGGGGAAAGGAGCAAAAATAACCAGACAAACAAATACATTACACATCTGACGGTAAAGAACTCAATGCATGTCCTCCTATCTACCATTACGGGCCAAAAACATCAGAACCCAACCTTTCCGAACACAAAATTTTCTCAATCACAACATTGTTGGGATGGAGCGTACACCTCACTTAACATTGTTGGTCGTAGATTACTATATGTGTTAGTACTAGTTTATGCTGCGAAAAGTGCGGGCTCAAGCGATGCCACTGTCTTGACTATTAATCTAGTACTCTGTCTTACCTATAAGAAAATCACTAAACAACCTAATTAATATAAAGCATATTTCTAGAAACAGCCTGATTTGAAGCAATAATAGTGATGCAATTCCAATTATCTAGAGATACAACTTCTTGATCAACACAATCACATAAGATGAATAGAAGAAGGGCCAGATATAGCAGCTACTCTCTGAGCATGCTGTGCTTCACCCTTGTAAAGTTCCTTTATTTCTTTCTTGGTACGGCGTGCTTCACGCCTTTCCTCCTTGACAGCAGCCTGCACGCACAAAACTTCAAATCATCATCAAAGAACCCACAGAACTTACCAACAAAACAACATAAAAAAAGAAAAAAACAAGGCACATTTCCTCAAATTTATCAAATATCAAAACCAGTAGCTTTGAGTTATGCGGATGCAAAGTCATTTACTTCCAGTTTTGCCTTAAAATGGCAGTTTCTGGATTTTAACTATCATAAGGTGCCATGTAAATCTTTCATTAGTTATAAAAGATTGGTAATCTACGCTGGATCAAATGGCATCCTCAAGATAAGCAAAAAGAATAGCAGACCAACGCATGTATACCTTTCGCTCTTTCTTCTCCTCCTTTGACTCCATACCATGTTGCTTCCTTTTATGCTGCTCAGTTTTCAAGGCACCTACATCTTTCACCTTCTCTGTAGCAGGTTTTTTACTACGAGGCAAGAAGTCCACAGGCAGTCTCTCTTTCCCTCGAAGGGTTATCACATGATTGGCAGAACCCAAGGCTCCAGAAACAGTTTCAGAAAGCTTCTTCCTTCTAGCTACTCCTGGAGCTTCGATTTTCCCAGGGTGATTATCAAGATTTGAATATGTAGAAACAATGGTCTCGCAGTCCCACACTTCTGATTCATCACTAGATTCCTCCACAATGACCAAGTCTGCATCTTTATCTTCATTCTCATATTTCTCAGCATACTCGGCACAGCGCCGAATAACCTCACTAGCAGAGTCCACTAGCTCTTTCGTTTTTACTGTCTCATTATCACGCAGCAAATCTGCAGGGGCCTTATAACCGCCGTCCAATTCTAAGTCATCCCTCGCATGGCCATTCAGGGTGGCATGTTTGAGCTTCTCTGCAAGGGTCTCATCTTCTTCGGCTACATAGCCATAATCATCATCATTTTCGTCATCACTGGCATATTCCTGACTCACAAGCTGTTTTTTTTATATTAATAAATATAACAATAACAAAAAGGTAAGAGATAACAGAGATACAAAAGAAGAATTGAAGAAACAAAAATTACATCATGAGACTAAAACTATAAAGTTTACAGAACATAACTAAATATAGCAAGAGAATAACTCACTAAATCAAATTGCTCGTCCAAGAGGCGATGAACTCGTGGCTTTTCAGCCACAGAGTTATCCTTTGCTCCCTCAACGCTATTTGTTCCAACTCCGTTTGTTTCATTTCTCACATTTTTGTTCTCAGATTGCTCAACAATATTTGGCCCATTATCTACACACACGTCCTCCTCCTCCTCCTCCCCCTCCTTTTCTGCGGCAAGGTTAGCCTGAACAACGAAATCTTCTTCCAAGTCCTCAATATCAGAACCAAACCGTGAAAGATCACTATCATCAAGCAATGCAGATACTTCTGGATCAGCCGCTTTCTGAACCCTTACATTAACCGTCTTAGAAGCCACACTGTAAATCACCTTCTCATTCGGAGCCTCATTTTCAGAAATGCGCACTCTTGAAGCATCATATGCCTGAAACCCACAACACACTCTTTTAAGTATTAAAAATTAATAATAATCCGCCACTTGACTTGGTATAGCTGCAAAACGAAACAGATAAAATTTCTATTTTTTTTTTCTCTCTCTTTCTCTTTCATTTTCCTTTTCCTCAACTTTCTCACAAGCTAAACAGAACATAAGCAATCGATACGTCACCAACCTTTACATCATGAGGAAGCTGATCGAGCTTAGCCTTGGAATTGTGATAAACTGTAGAAGTACTCCTAATCTCTCTCATATGTAGCAAGTAGTTGTAACCGTCGTCAGGAAACCCTAGCTCCAGAATCTCCCTCCTAACGTGGTCCGGCAATGGCTGAGGTGCTGATGGAGCCGCCGAGTACCCGGAAACTTGACCATAGTCCTGCCCACCGCCGTCATCCTCAGGTGCATCAGCGAATATCGAATTGGGATCGTCGTCGTATCCGCCGGCACCGGAGGCGTCGTGAGGATTATCTTCAGGGAATAAGGCATCAACGGGGTAGCTGCTGTTGTCAACTCGGATAAAGACTCGGTCGCTGCCGGGCGAGTCATCGTAGTTGGGATCGGACGAGTCTCGGGCGAGTAATTGGAAGGTCGCCGACTTTTTCTTGTCGATGAATTTCTTCTTTCTGCCCATTTTGTTTCTTCGCCGAAGATGTGAAGTGCCCTGAGACTGAAACTGGTGTGATAAAACCCTATCGACGCTTCTGTTCTGTATAAACCCTCAACGGCCTTGGGTCGTGCACAAATGGCCCAAATTCCAAATCACCATTTCTTTGGGCCTAATTTTGAACCGGCCCAAAGGTACAATTAAAAAAAAGCCCCAGACAAAATTATTGATTAATGCCACGTGTCGGTCGCAGGAGTCTCAATCTCCGGGTGTCCCGCGAAAAAAGAAGACCGTTACAGCAAATTCGGTGTCTTGTTGGAGTGTTGAAAAGGTCAGAGGATTTAGGCTCTCAATCTTCCTCCCTTCCCTGAGACCATCAGAGAGAGAGCACAGACAGCAGATTGTTAATATTTTGTTATTAATGTTAAATGTCAGTAGTTAATTAGTTGTTAAGAGGAATAGGCGGGAGAATTAGTTAATGGGATTATAGGATAATCTTTCGTCACTGTCTATAAAGAAAGGAGGGGGTCCTGTTGCCTGTGCGGATAATCTTTCTTTGTGTAATTTCAACACAATTAATTAAATTCTCTGCTATTATTACTATACTGAATGAGCATATATCGGTCGGTTAAATTGAAACCCTCGTTTTGGTCTGCAAATTTGAATCTTGTGCGTTTCCGATGCTCTGCGAGTTTGAAAGTAAAACCGTCAGCAAATATGGAAGCACCGATTCTCACTCCGACGCATAAATACGCAGCGGGAGCTCTGTTCGCGCTGGCGCTTCACCAGTCTCAGATACACCAAGCTCGGCCATCAACTCCTCCTTTACCTTCTCTTGAAAAAGAGACCATCAGCGAAGGTGCGAGCATCGGCAAGACCGTCTCGGTTTCGGACAATTCCGACCTTTGGATCCACGAGAATTCTGGTTTGATTTATCCCGTTTTCCGGTACTTTTTCAATTTAATTACTCAGACTCATCCTTTTGTTTTAATCAATCGTGCATTTTCCTCGGCAGCTAGCTCTGTTTTGTTTGATTGAATTAGGGCCAGTAGCGTTGGGCTTCATGATTTTCTTGGTTGAATTTTCAGGTTTTTAGGAGTGGATGAACAATCCTGGAAGGGGATAAAGGAAACTGCAGGATCTTCGTCACAAGTTAGGCATCATGTAGGAGCGGTGTGTTTTCTTCCTTTTATGAAATTCAGACACATCATTATTCTGGGTTGATTTTATTTACTTTTTGGCTCACCTTTTTTATTATTTTTCTCTCTGGCTGCACCCTTTTTGTGTGTTCCTCTGCTTTATTAATTTTGTTTGTTTTATTTCAGTTGATGACCTTACTATCAGAGGGAACTACTGATGGGCCTTCTTCTGAAAAAACTGACAAGGAATGCGCTTTGGCAAAAACCGTTGATGCCATGGCTCTTAGTGAGGAAGAGTCTCTTGTTCATTCAGCAGAAAACCCTGTGGATTCTGAATATGAAGCTAAATGCCGCGAAAGATATGAAGTTCCTGAGACGAAACCGGTGTCTGAGGTTTCTGCGAAGCCTTATGAGATTATCAAGAGGACAAGTTCTCAGTCATCCTCTGAAGAAAAAGTACCAGATGTATCTGAACCCCTTGAGGAACCTGTGGAAGAGGGAAACCTGATCAGTTACGAGAGGAAAGTAACTGTTCTTTTTGCACTTCTTTCAGCCTGTGTGGCAGATAATACTGAAGATGGCAATAAATGTTCCAAAGTACGGAAGGGTTATGATGCTCGACACCGTGTGGCATTGCGGCTGCTGGCAGGCTTGGGGTTGAGTGGTTAAAAAATGGGCTGTATATATGGATGGATGTGTATATTGAATATTTTTTTTTTTTTTTTTTTTTTTTTTTTTTTTTTTTTTTTTTTTTTTCTCACTCACCTCACGAAGCGTTGTTTTTTTTTTTGTATATGTATATGAGTGCCTTACTTATATCTGCCTTTTGATTTGAATATCTATCTACCCTCTATGCTTCAAAAATAATCAAACTGATAAATAAGTAAAAAGAAGAAGAAAAAAAGAAAATAAAAAACATGTAGAGCCATCTATGAGGAACTTCTATTCTGCAGGAAGTTATGGAGATGATGGTTGCTTGTTCTTATATGGCTTCAATAAAAGAAGTTACTAATGAAGACAAAACAAAAACTTCAGAAATCTCATGGGAGGAAATGAAGCGGGGAGGTATGATTGGTGCAGCTGCTTTAACTGGAGGAACCTTGATGGCTATCACTGGAGGTATCATTTCTGTCAACTTCAAAAGAGCAGATGTCTCTCCTGTGATGCAATTTTATGACAAAACTAGTAGTGTTTGATTTGTTGTTTACTTTCATTTTACCACAGGCCTAGCTGCTCCTGCAATTGCGCAAGGATTGGGTGCTCTAGCTCCTGCATTAGGTGGTATCATCCCTGCAATTGGAGCAAGTGGCTTTGCTGCTGCAGCAACTGCCACAGGGTCTGTTACCGGCTCTCTTGCTGTTGCTGCATCATTTGGAGGTGCAAAAGTGGTTTTTTTCCCTCTAATATTCTGTGTTCAGTTAGACTGGGGACATCATTTCCTAATGAAATAATTGGAAGCAAAACCTTTTCTTGGCTAATAACTAAGAAAGATGAACATGAATACTGGAAAAGGCATGAGGATGTACTGAATTTTGTGCTAAAATCCAAGTTTTAAAGCAAGTGGTTTTTCTCAAAGCACATTAAAAAAAAATCACCATTGTATAGATTCTATCTTTCAAATTTAAAGAGAAAAAAGAGTATGGAGTGATACTCAGCTACTTGTTCTTCGGGAATCTCAGCTGCTGGAGCTGGACTTACGGGGAACAAAATGGCTAGAAGGACCGGCAGCATTGAAGAATTTGAGTTCAGAACAATTGGAAATTATGATCAAGGAGTGAGCTCATTTAGACAATTTAATTAATCCATACTTTCCATTTGGGGTGGGGCAGGGGGGCAGGGGGGAGTGGGGTCTATTAGCATGATGATGTAGTGAGAGATTGAGAATTTATGCTGAGCAGGACCTTTCTCTGTATGAATGAAAATGCTTACAATTTACAGCAAACCTCCTTTTCAGCGGCTAGCAGTGGGAATATTGGTTTCTGGACTTGTTTTTGAGGATGAAGATTTTATAAGGCCTTGGGAAGGTCAAAATGAAAACTTGGAAAGGTAAAAAAATTCAAATTGTATTTCCACTAGTACAATAAAAAATTGATTTCAAATATATATCTACAATACAAAAACACTGCAATTAAAGACTGCCTTACATCATGTACTTCCATAACCTTATGAACTGTCACTTCTTGTGATCGACTATTGGCATATTTATGACTGAGATTATTGCAATCTTCCTTCAATTGATTTGTGATTCTTCACTTGAAAGTTTCTTTCTTTTAAAAGCCTTAGATAGGATCTGAACTATGATGACTGGCTAAGTAATTGATATCAATGTAGTGAATCTATAGGTATGCCCTCTGGTGGGAGTCTAAGAATTTGATTGCATTGAGCACTGCAATCCAAGACTGGCTTACTTCAAGTACTTCCTGAACCTTATAAGTATTGCCACCTATTGTAACTAACTATTTGCATATCTATGATTTCATGACCAACACTATTGCAAACTGTCACAGGAATTGCCTTAGAGTTGATGAAAGAAGGTGCCATGATGACTGTATTAAACACCCTTCTAGCAGCATTTGCTATGCCGGCAACATTAGTTACAGCATCTGATCTTATAGATAGCAAATGGGCAGTTGCAGTGGACAGGTAATCTTTCATTTGTTTGGACAGGACTTTATGTGGATGGATGATGGTTTCGAGTTTCCATTTCACATGTTATTCTTATATTAAGAGGTTCCAAACATGAGAAGCATAGTGGTTGATTGCTAATGTTTGTTTCAGATAAAGGATGTATGCCACCATCTCACTTGGCATCATTTTATTTGGTTTGGACTGCAATAGATTTGATTTTTAGGCTATCTGCTCAGTCAGCTACCCTATTAGTCTTTGCTAGCATGATTATTTCAAATAGTTACCACATAAAAAACTCTGCAGAGGAGAGCAACAAATCCATTCAAGATTTCATTTTCGTTAACCTGCCAACAGTCAACTATGTCATGCATAGTTCATCAGTACATGCAATACAACAAATTGCATCCTGATATACTGAATGAAGTTATTCATTTAAAGTGCCAAATTCTTCCTGGCACTCTCCTCCCCTTATTCTTTTGCTTAGCAAAAGTCTTCGTTGTGGTAATGTTTGATTTGTGACAGTTTTCTTCTCATAACTTGCTCTCGAGGTGGCACTTATTTCATGTACATGAAACTTCTATTTTGAGTGTTCATTACTTGCAGTGGGAAATCTATGAACTTTTAGCATCCCCATTTTCTTGGCCAGATCAGACAAAGCTGGGAAGATGCTTGCTGAAGTGTTGTTGAATGGACTGCAAGGAAACAGGTAGAAGAATCTCACATTATAAAAGACATTTTCCCATCTTGCCCTGAAACTCATATGTATCATTCCCTTAAATCCTCCATGTATGGTCCAGGCCTGTGACGCTCATAGGGTTCTCGCTGGGGGCCAGAGTAGTTTTCAAATGTCTCCAATGCTTGGCTGAAACAGAAGGGGATAATGGTAATCATCACAATGAGTTCATCCTATTGTGGATAAGTTGAGTGGCAGTGTAATTAAAAAGAAAGAAATTGAATTTGGCTTCTTCATTTCTGCAGCTGGTCTTGTAGAAAGGGTTGTTCTGCTTGGAGCACCAATTTCAATTGAAGAAGAAAACTGGACGGATGCTAGAAAGGTAGTTGAACTTAAAAAATATATATAATAATTACTGGTTTACTAAATTCCTATGCAAGTTGTGCTGCTGCAGTAGTATCGTTCTTACAATACCACTAGACCTATTTCCTGTTACCTGTTTTTATTTTTTCCCCAATTATGATTGTTATCCTATGCAAGTTCTTGCTACTGTTTTTACAAGAACCTACTCTGGCTCGCAGATGGTGGCCGGTAGATTTGTGAATGCTTATTCTATAAGCGACTGGACACTGGGAATTGCCTTTCGTGCGAGGTACAGGCCATATTTCCTTTGTTTAGTTTTAGTATTATGTATTTTTGAGGGTGGTATATGACTATAAATCAGATTAATCAGATTGCTACTGATCTTAAAAAGCATGAATATAATTTTGATTGGACTGAGGGTGTTTCCCTCGTACAGCTTACTTTCTCAAGGTTTAGGTGGAATTCAACCTGTTGATGTTCCTGGGATTGAGAATGTAAGTTCCCTAATTAAATTCCCAATCTCTTTTTATATTTGCATTGTGTTAAAGTTGTTTATTTTCCGAATTGGCATTTTCAGGTTGATGTGACTCAACTTGTTGAAGGCCATTCTTCTTATCTTTGGAAGACAAAACAGATCTTGGAGCAGCTTGAACTCGACTCTTACTACCCTGTTTTCAGAACTACACTCAAACCCCAGGAAGATAATAGTTGTGTAAATTAGTAGTGTTTCTCATTATTTCGGAGTTTCTCAAACTAAGAAGCGTAACAAGTGCAAAAAGAGAAAGACAGGCCGAAGCTACTTGAGTTGAGATTATCTTTATTATTAGAATTAATTAATTTAATGACATTGATTTCTATAACGAACGACAGTTGAGTTAGATAGATGCCAAATTAGTTGAAGGAACAGGACTCTTGGACACGAAGCCTCCTTTCCACCAACTCCTCAGACATGATTACATTTTACCATCAATCAATTCGTTGGTTTTATGTCTTCGCCTCAGTGCTCGAGCCCTCCTCCTCAGTAGTGGCCCAGCGAGCAGTCGGTTCCTTCCTCAGTTGAAGTGATCGTTTTGGTCCGAAAAGCTGGACACTTGAGAAAAAAGGGTTCACTTATAGCAAGCAAGGCCTAAATTGTTTCTTGAACCTTTGTTCATCTTTTGTCTTCCAGACGGCACTCTATCCAAAGTGTTTGTGCACTATTATTATTAAAGCATTTTTGGTCTCTTATTTTGGAGCTTAGTGGGACCCAAAATCTGTGTCTTTCATTTGTACTCTTTAATTATGATTAAAATTAGTTAAGATGGAGGAGTTGGAATGGAAGCATGATGATGGCAATTAGTTGTCCTCCTGTACTATATATACATATATGCATCTCAAATATATTGCCAATGCCATAGTATATTTACCACAAATGTGATGTGACCCCACCATAACTTTACGCTTGCTTGGTTGCTTGCTTGCTAGTGTTACATAGGTTGTCCAAAATTCCAGGCTTAAAGGGCAAGCAAAAGACAATAAGTATAGTACTACCGCGCATGGGCAGGAGAGAGCAGTATTATTTGGTGTTAGAGATTTTGATAAGTCAGGGCAACTTAATTAAGTTTTAACTAATACCGAATAAAATTGTATTGGTGGCCTGGTATTATTGCACATTGCTTGACTTGTATGACAAATGAGTACCAATTTAAGCTCAACTCAAACCCAAAGCGATCGACTCAAGAACTAAACAGCTGGTTTGGTCCTAAAGAATATCTCTATAGCCTATACGGCACGCGCTCCTTCTGCCTGCTGTATAGGCGGGCGCCTTGGAGCATGCATGATGTGCAGATGGGGCAGACTATAGCAAGCAATATTAAGCTAATATTGTCCAGGCTGTGGCTGTGTCCGTGGTTGCCAAATTGAAAAATATAGAGAGGTAGGTGGTGGGGACAGAAGTGAGACGTAAGGCATGTCCACTTTCTGTTGCTACCTCTCCTCTTCAAGTTCAAATTAAGAGAGTGGGGGCAACCTCTAGTTGTCAATAGCACGACTCATATATATATATATATATATATATATAGATACACATTCGCATGAGCAGTAATATATACAAGTACGAATTACCGTGCATCGTAGTTGTAGCGACCGTACGTTCTAAACACATGGATACAGTAATGCTAGTGAGAAGTTTATGGGTCATCTTGTTTATTTCGATGGCCATTGTTGGTTTGAAAGCTGATAATAATACTACTACGTCTCAAGGCAATGCTACTTCTTCTTCATCAGCTGTTGCTGAAATTCCTTCCGGGGGAAATGGACAAGTAAGAAACGAGACTGCTCCTTCTTACACTAATCAAGTTGTTATCAACAACAAAAACAAGCATCCAGGAAGAGGAGGAAGCGGTGGTGGCGGAGGTGGTGGAGGCGGAGGTGGAGGAGGCTACTCATGGGGATGGGGAGGAGGTGGTGGCGGTGGTGGAGGTGGAAGAGGAAGAGGAAGAGGAGGAGGTGGTGGTGGTGGTGGAGGTGGTGGAGGTGGCGGGTGGGGGGTGGGGAGGAGGAGGAGGAGGGGCTGGTTGGTGGAAATGGGGTTGTGGTGGTGGTAAAGGAAGAGGAGGAAGAAGTGGATCAAGAAACTATCATCATCCTCATCGTGATCATGATCACGTGTACGGAGGGAAGAGGAGGTTTGATGAGGCTGATTATGCGGTGGGGGAGTTTGCACAGTGCATGCGCAAAGGGCGGTGTAAAGGCATGAGATTAGATTGCCCTCTTCACTGCGGAGGGCCTTGCTACTATGACTGCCAATATATGTGCAAGGCTCACTGCAAACGACGTCGTTCCTGATTCACTCTCGTTAACGTCTACTACGGCGCCCCTATCCATTTGTTTCGGACAGTCACATTAATCCTCCACGATTAAGAGAGACTTGCAAGCAACTGGCATTAGTGCTCTATCTCTCTCTAACTTTCCTTGTCTTTTTTTCCCTTATTGTTTTTCTAGTGTGTTTTTTTCCTTTCGTTCAACCTTGTTTTTGTTGTTGTCCAATGTCTGCTGTATTTGCATGCATATGCATGCTGTAACGACTTCAGCTAATTTGAGGGAAATTTTCATTCAATTTATTGCATTCTTTTATGTCAAGTTAATATACTACCACATTTAATGATTTTCTCACTCCTCTTTTGTTCACTTACAATTCCTTTTATTTTATTTTTGTTATTAAAAATTTAGGGGAAGGGGAAGCTACCCCATCCCATTATAGAGGGGGTCTTAACCCCTTTTTTTGTTTTTACATATTATCCACCAAAAGAAATTGTTGGCAAAAAAAGAGTGGAAAAATCAGCTCCCTTTTGTTTTTTAATATCCTTTTTCTCATAACATATAAGGAAGTATAAGCGAACGATAATGAGTGGGGAAATCAGCTCCTAAATTAAATTGATATTGATGCATATAGATACAGTATGATAATAAGTAATAAACAAATAAAGGCACAATTATTACTGCGTTATGGTTTTGGGGGCAACCAAAAGTTAGAATGGGCCAATGCCAAAGTTGAACTTCTTACTTACTGATGTAGGGCCCAATGGGCCCAAAAGGAGCGTTATGGTATGAAGAAACATAATTTTATTTTCCAAATATTTGTTATAATGAAAAATATAGAAAAAAAAATGAAGTTTCAGTTCAGATTGGAAAAGTTATTACAGCTAAGGTACTTTAAAAAAGACGGATTTATCATAAGTGACACAAAATATAGAAAAGAAATGAAGCGAACAGAAGTTGGAGGTACCGTTTAATTCAAGTTTAAGGAAAAGTGGTAATACTAATATCACCACGACGAAGTCAATTAAGGGAAAATAAATAACAAATAAGTAATTAATAAGCCTTCAAATCCAAGTCTTGAAGAAGAATTTCAAACTTCTGAACCAAATCCACCCGGCTGCTTCAAACTAAGGTCCATTGGTCCGGCAGGCATCAAGCAACCGTCGATGGAAGCAATCAGGAAGCTAAGAGATCAGGTTGCTAAACAGCAGCAGGTACTCTCTCTCTCTCTCTCTCTCTCTTCCATTTCTCTCCGGAAAACGAAAAATGAAAAAACAGAAGAAAACGAAAAAGAAGAACAGTTCCGGTTTGATCGAATTTAAACTCTCTGTTTCCGGAATTTAATCTCCGCATGGGTATTAATATTACGTGGATATGAGATTAGTGGAGCTATCAATGAATTTAGTTCCAGGTAATAATAATAATCTATAATTGTCTGAACTGAATCGAATAGCATTTTACTAATTATGAGCTGTTTGGGGCTGTGGTGGCGGTGGCTGAAATGTTGTTGAATTTCTGAATTATGAACCAAGTGTTGTTTATTACTTCATTTCATTTCTGAATTTAATGTTTTTGGAAAGTAATTTGCTTTTGATTTTCTGTTAATACTGTCAGGCTGTCTTCAAACAATTTTCTGGTGGCATTCATGGGGGTTCGGATAATATTGTGCCAGATGAAACAGAACTCCAACAGCATCAAAAACTTGAGAGACTCTACATATCAACTCGTGCTGCCAAGGTTGCTACTCTTCTCCTCCTTCATTGTTATTATGACATCACAATACCTTAGTTGCCTCTATCTTTTTTTTCTTTAACAGCATTATCAAAAGGAGATTGTCCGTGGCGTGGAAGGTTATATTGTAACTGGTTCAAAGCAAGTTGAAATAGGTGTGTTGTTTGAGATTTTTTTGGGAATTTGGATACAAATTCATGTTAGTTTTATCACTTAGTATGCATAAAACTTTTTCAACAGGTACCAAGTTATCAGAAGATAGCAGGAAATATGGTGCTGAAAAAACTTGCACCAGTGGCAACACATTATCGAGAGCTGCACTGAGTTTTGGAAGAGCTCGTGCCCAAATTGAAAAAGAGTGTGGAATTCTACTGAAAGCCCTTGGCACACAGGTTTAAGTGAAGTTCATACTAAGAATATTAAGTGAAAATCAAATGCATTATATTGAAGGGGGCCGGTTTGGTACGTGAGGAAATTTAAACTGTTGCCATATATTGTGTGCATTTGATTATTTGGAAATAAGTTCACAGAATAAATAGTTTCCATTTCCATATTGTGGTTGAAGAACTGGACTATTATTGTGTTGTGTGCTTATTCTTAGGCATCTTATGACAAACTGGTATCACTATTTTTCTCAACAGGTTTACATAATAACTTTTTCCCATGGTTCTCAATTTGTTTGTCTAGGTTGCAGAGCCTTTAAGAGCAATGGTAGTAGGAGCGCCCTTGGAAGATGCTCGACATCTTGCTCAACGATATGCTAGAATGCGGCAAGAAGCTGAAGCTCAGGTATATGCAGTATCTGCTGTTTCCTTCTAATGTTTACTACATTGAGTTTTTATGTTACATGGTGATCGTATTTATACTGAATGGACTTCTTCTTTTTCTTTTACTGTTGCTTGTTCTACCTACTTCTGTCCAGTTTGAAGCTTTGGTTTTTAATTACTCCTACAACTTTGTCCATGTATACTAACTTGCACCCAGATAGGCTGTAGATGTTTCCAGACGCCAAGCCAAAGTACGCGAATCTGCTGGTAGTGCCGATATTATCATGAAACTAGAAGCTGCTGAAGCCAAGCTTGAGGAACTAAAGTCTAACGTTGCAATATTGGGAAAAGAAGCTGGTGCTGCAATGGCTGCTGTTGAAGGTCAACAACAGAGATTGACTCTTCAGCGGCTTCTTGCAATGGTAAAGCATTTCCTTCCCCTTCCTATTTAAGTATTAAGGCCTTGGCCTGTCCTAGTTAATTGGAAGGAAATTAATTTTGTAAGTTTGTCATTTTTTGTCCCCATTCAAGGTAGAAGCAGAGCGCAACTATCATCAAAACGTTCTTCAGATACTTGATCAACTTGAAGGCGAGGTATGAATTATCCTGGAATAGTCCTTTTAGTGAGGCCATGGGCAAGACGATGTTTTTCCCAATTCAATTGGTTAAATATTATTCTATTGACAATTTGACAAAATTTGTTGCACAGATGTTGTCAGAACACCAGCGAATTGAAGCATCACCTAATCCAGCTACAGAGAACACTATGCCTCCCCCACCATCATATGAAGATCTCAGCAATAACTTTTCTTCTGAAACCTATGATGAATTGACAGACATCAGGGACTATTTCTTAGGAGAGGTATTTTTATGTTAATGTGGTTGATGCTAACTTTTAGTCTGTTGAACTCTTTAGTTTCTACCAATTGTTTCTTTTTCTCACCTACTGCAGGTTATGTACACGTTTCAAGCTGTGACTGATGTGGAGTTAAGTTTGTCCTTCGGGGATTATGTTGTCGTCCGGAAGGTTCTGCCATTCTTCCTGCTTCATTTCAATGCTGTTTTGTTATGTTCTCAATATACCCCATTCATGTCTGGCTTGATTTCTCTCATTGAAGTTAAATGTTGTTGTGGTGGAGCAGGTGGCAAACAACGGTTGGGCTGAAGGTGAATGTAAGGGAAAAGCAGGTTGGTTCCCGTTTGACTATGTAGAAAGGCGGGAGCGTGCTCTTGCTAGCAAGGTGGCTGCAGTCTTTTAAATCTATTGATTGCCTGTTTATTTGGCTTGGCTTGTGTCTGTGTTTCTACACTAGAATTACGTAATTTGTCCAACTTTTTCTATTCATTTTAGGAACCAACGTTAGCTGGTTCCGCCTTGTATATGACCCAAAGTTGTTTCTACTGCTTTATATCTGCCTCACCAATATAAATGTTTCAGTTTTTTTCTAGAGATGCTGCGTTGGTTTTGTATCGAGAAAATAAACAATAACCTGGAATTCTATTCAGTAAGAGAGGCTCTATCCTATTAAGATTTTTCAACGCCATTGACTGGAAGATCAAATTGCCCTGTAAGGATTGGCAACATGGGAATGATATGAAAAAGGCCATCCAGCTTGAGATTAGCATGTGGAAAAAACAAATACGGTCCCCACGGCTGTGAACTTAGCCAGGCTGAAGATCAGATCGCACTAACTTTAGCTCTGACCCAACTAAAAATAAGAAGACACCATCCAGTCGACATTCACTGTAAGGTTTCTCATTTGGGGCGTTGACTCTCCCTGATATTCATTCACACTTCACATCCATACATGATCCATCCACCAAGATTTTAGTTTTGGACTCTACCAGTCAAATTATCCACCAAGGTGGTGGTTGATGTTTGTATTTCAACAACAAATTACGTGCGTTTGCAATGACGTTTTAGAGGCCATATTGTTGCATAAACCTGCACCTAGACGACGGAATACCACATGGTAGTGAGGACCAGTAGTATTTTGACATGTGGAACAACATCATTTGATACTTTGCTCCTCTGTAATGAGAAATTAGTACCACTATAATTTCTCGACCTAGACCAAGTCTGCTAGAAGAAAGAAACCAAAAGAAGTTTCTAGTTTTGTAATGAAAGTGATGGCGCACTTGCCCGTGATACGATACGATACGACTGCAAAGTTGTGCCGCCTTGGAGAGTCCAGACAAAACAAGGGATCATCCCTTTTCCGCCTCTCTGTACTCAATCTTACCCGCCCCCGATCTGACTGTCAACATCTCCATCGTCATTTACCATCTACTCTTGTAGCTGGCTAGTATTTAATGTTGCAATTTTCACATATTTTCAAAGCAAAATTGCACGTAAAATTTCCCCACTTTCCAAAATTTCATACATAATTCCAAGAATTGAATGAAAAAAAATGAAAGGTAAAAGACACGCTGCAGTCGATATTTACAATGATGTTTGCATTCTGCAACAAAGTACAAGGGCAAGAGAAGAAGGGACTGATCCAGCTGAAGTACAAACCCCACACCCCAACTGGGTTGTTGAAGGCTTCAAATGCTTGCTCATACAACAAGTGGGAAAAAAAGGATCCAACTAGGTAAACCGCAAAAAAAGCCAAATAAAAATTCCAGCCGCATGTTGAGATTTACTTCAAAAAGATCTAAGGAACTGTGAGGAACTGTGAGGAACTATGAAAATCAAAAAGGTCTGGACCTCTTGGCCCCAACAGGTGGAGGACTGATCTGAGGAACTGTGAAGCTATCATCCCTCCACGTTCTGTTGTTCGCTTTCATGTTTGTACCATCCTTATTGAACCCAATGAGCCCACCACCCATCTGTGAGTATTGATGCATAGGATTTGATGCTTGAGGAACCCAAATTCCCATATGTTCTGATGAGAAAGAGCTCAAATTGCTTTCAAGATCAGCATCCATAAACGGCAACACCGTCTCATTATCAGCCTGCCATGATAACGCACAATTTTCAGATCCAGGCTAATCAATTAATTTACTTACTATAACATTAACAAAACCCAAATTTGGTAATTTCAAGATTAGTTCAATCAATGCAAACCTTACAGAAACCAAGGGGACCGGAAGAAAAATCAAGTAAGTCCTCAACATGCCAACCCGGAAGCGTCTCTATCAAGTACTCTGATATGCTACTCGTTGAACCACAACCAACCCCGTCATGAGCTACGAATATTCCACCACCTTTATTGCTATTGGCTGTGTTGGTGGTTAAAGTTGAGTTCTTGGACATGGAAGGTGGGTTTGAAATTGCAGGGGAGGAAGTAGAAACAGACTTTTTTATTAAAGGTTGAGGCTTTGGATCAGTAACAGTAGCGTCAGCAGATTTAAGGCTAGTTGTTGCAGTGGGCGGGGATGAAGATGTGTAAACCGTAGATGTAGCAGAGAGCTTGACCCCTGTGAGAAGAAATCTGCTGTGCTTCTGGGTGTGCTCGTTGGCCGCGTGAACCGGAAGGTCGCACTCTCTGCATAGAATCGCTCTGTCCTGCTGACAAAACAAGAAAGCTCTTCTCTCCTGTAGATCAAGAAAAAGAAACCCAAATCAGAAAAACAAAGACAAACCCATCAATCATCGCAGATTAAGCAGTGAATTCACAGATTAAAGGTCTGATCTTTTTTCGGGGTTTATGGGTAAAATATATAAGCAAGCATACCTGACAGATATCGCAGACAGGGAATTGTTTTGATGAGGGGTGAATAAGAGAGAAGCGTTGGTGTTTGGAAGCGAGCTTATTGGCATGGTGGACTCGGTGGTCACAGGTGTCGCAGAGAGCTGCCTCGTCGGCGGTGCAGAACACCGAGGCATCGTCCTTGTTACATACATCACACTGGATCTTCATCAGTTTGAATTCAGATTGCAATACAGGACTGATGAGCTTGCCTAAGAGAAAGGAAAACTAAACTAAATGGGTCTCAGAGAAGAGCGTAAGAGGGGAGATGGGGGCAGGGCAGTGGAGTTGTGTTGAAGGTTGCTTTAGAGAGAGGAGAAGGAAGGAAACAGGGGTAATTATAAGGAGAATAAATCTGCGAGGGAAAACAGTATTGAAGAGTAATAAAATATTGACTGGGAAATCTGGGAAATCTTGGGGAACTATCTATGATCCTCTCTCTCTCTCTCCTCCCTTACTTTTTAATATCACAGGCTGATGCTCAAGTTGGAGGAGGAGGTGGTTCACTGGTTGCTTTAAATATTTTAGGTGGTTTATTATTAAATGTTTTGGTCAGTGAATATTCAGCAAATTTTACAGTTAACCCAAACTAAACTGTTGAAAGTATCTCCATCAATTTGGGGTTCCCCTCTTTACTATTTTTAGATGTGGTGATGGATCAGCTTTGGTTCCCGTCTTTTTAATTTCCAGCTTTGGCAATTGGTCCCCCATTTGCCAAGCCAGGAAAGTGCGCCTCTTTTTCTCTCTCCTAATAAAAATTGGTTGATTATTGTTTATTCAAGTAACTCACTGTTGTCGTTCGTTGGCAGCGCAACTGAAACTGATGAACAAATCTAGGACTTGTTTATCGGAACAAGGCCTCTCCAACCTGGAACTCGCTACCAACCATCCTATATATTTATCCTGTTCTGGGTAAATTTTGGTCATTCATTCGTAGAGGAACAGAGGATAACTTCATATTCATAAATGCTCCTGAAAGTGACCAAACTGCGTTTTTTTCTTGTATGAGGTGACACTGGCATGGCATGGCATGGAATATCTATCTTTGTACGTGGCCTTATAGAAGATATTTCGGGTACACAAAATATCTTTTGCTGTTTGAGAAAAATTAATCCATGGTTTCTTTTGGTTTTGCCTCAGCTCCACTTACAGAACTCAAACCCTAAACTCCACTTATTGTTTGTGATGCTGGAATCTTTTTTATTCTGAAGCACCAATAATAGAGGAAGCAAGCTTGCTCCTTTTTAGTTAATTGATTATTCCTTTGCCTATTATATAATAATATAATGTGATGATGATCATCAATAATATATAATATATTATGCTTTTAGTAAAAGTGGAATTAATATACTATACACGCTTGTACTAGAACGTTAATAATATTGCTGATGATGTAGATTGTTGAGGAGCAATGAGATCTAAGCTAATCTAGAACCCTCTCTTTTTAATTTTAGCGGGAATTAATTAGGGATCATGGGACCTCTTTTCTCTTTCCAATTGGGGATGTGGGACGCTTAAAGTGTGCATTTATCAATTCAAGCACTTCTCGGCTGTTTCGAGGGACTTGGGTTACGGTGGTGATTAATTAGTTTATTATAAAATTAACATATACGGCGAGTGAAAGAGAGAAGGACAATGAACCGGAGATATGAAAGTTTTTGTCATGTGATATGAGGGATTACCTAGCTCTATAACTAGAGCTAGCTCGGTCATGCGATGTTAGCAAAACATCTTATCATGTATCTAGCTGGATGCAACCCTAGGTTAATTAGCAATTTGTAGCAGTACTCGTTGTTCTTTTGGCATCATTTCATTTGTATATAATTTCAGCTTGTTAAAGTTTTGATGACAAGATGCTATATATTATTATTATTATTATTATCATGAGTAGAATATTAGCCATACCTGTGAGTCATCAGTCACCCGGCATCCTGCTATTTTGGATAACGCCTTACATTTGGGTGGAATTTGAAGCTTTATTCATTCAAATAATTATTCTATGACCTATTAGCTTGATTAGAGTTTCGAGTATATTTAATATGCCAAAATAAGAAACGCCTTTGATAATCAGAAAGCCTGTCGTTGAAACTTGAATATAAATTTTTGGAATGCACAGAATGATAACTAATGATCAGTATGATGAACTTGTTTGATTCCTTCCTTCATTATTCAAAATAAAAAAACAGTTAATTTCCTGTTATTTTAAGCCTTTGATGTGAAAAAGGTGGCAAAATGGACTGGAGAGAATCCTTATCTATCTCAATTCTGAATTCCAAAGTGATGCTGTATTTTCATTTGTTTATAATTTTTAATGTCCGGGGATCCTTGAAAGAAGCAAAATTGTTGACCAACATAGTTTTGTGAAAATTACAGCACTTGCCAAATAAGTGGTGCCACAAAAGTTAATGCATGCTTTGTCATGTCTCATGTACACGCACATTAATTACGGTTTATTTTTTTAGTACAAATAATATTTTAAATTATAGGAGAGGAAGATTTCTCACATACACACACTATGATGCTATAGGGTTCGAACCTAAGACCTCTTATATGTAAATCAATGCCTTTTTCCATTGAGCTAGACCCCGTTGGCAATTAGGGTTATTTCTAGTTTGTGCTCAAAGCCTCAAACTCAAACTCAAACTCATTTTTCAAGGGTCAAGGCTATATTGAAAAAGGGTATCGATTGGAAAAGAGTTGTGCTGGTGGATTGATTTCTACTGGGAATAAATAAATAAATTTATCGTCAAAGTTAAGATTGGAGGAAGCAAAAGGCTTAGAGCATTTACAATAGGCTCTTTAAACCACCTATTTAAACAAATTTTATATAGGAATTGGAAAAATACGACTTCAACCATACTCTTTATCCACCTCATAAAATACGGAGATCTTTAGGAGTTCCTAAATTTGAGGAGAGAGAAATGACTCATAGTGGCTACCTATAATTTAATGTTGCTTTATTTTATGCATAGTTTAAAATTTTAATTAATACTAATTATTTTTTTATAGAGATGGACCAATCATATTGAATTAAAAAATAATTATAGTATTTATGACTCCATGAACTAGAGAGTATGATTGGAGTTCAAATTTTATAGAGAGTTCCGAAAATACCTTTTCTGTGTTTTTAGCTAAATTTTAACTAAAAAAATAAGAAGCATGATTGTAGATGCTCTTATATTATATAGCTAATAACGGTCTTCTTTTCGGTTAATAGTTAATATATAGCATTTACCTAAGCATATGGATAATATAATTGTACATTATGATATTTTACATTAAAGAAACAACGTTGTTCTCTTCCAACAAAAAAGAAAAAGAAAAAGAAACAACTTTGTTATGACTCAGATTATAAAAAAATTATATCTGAGAGTTAAATAATCTTGAAGGGAGGACATAATTAAGAAAGGGACTAAAGATAGGGGTTGTCTTGTCGGAATCATACTGTTAATTATATGGTTTATTAATGTTAGATTCGAATAGCTTTCATTTAGACAGGAATTTGGAAAGATAGAAGTGCTGCTGATGCTGGAATTGATATATAACGTGAAGAAGAGGGAGGTCACCCCATCAAGCATAATTTATATATAAAATATCTAAATCACCAGCACCAATTTTAGATATTTTTATAGGCGCAATAAGCTGTACAGATGCGCTCCTGTGAGGCTGTGACCTGTGCAGCTCTGTGCTCTGTGCTCTGTGCTCTGTGCTGTGAGGAGGATATTCTTCTTATTATAAATTTTGTATTAAAAATATAAGGGATGAAGTTGACCTTTGACAGTGAATGTAGGGTAATCACGCGATTGCCAAGATCAAAATGATAAGCATGAAATATTAATATTCATCGTAATCAATCACCATCTTCTTCCTTGTTTTTTCTTATAGGTAGGAAGGAAGGAAAATATGTAATAAGCTTGCTTGCACAATGCACAAGTGGCATTGGCATATTTCAGAGGTTTCTTTCATCTATCTCTCAGCTATTATATTATTGGTTTTGTTTTCCTTCTTCCTCTAAATCCCCCTTCAATCTTATTCTTCAAAACGCAGATATCTGTTCTGTGAAAGGTAAAACAGAGAAATAGACAAAACAAAAAACAGAGCCAACTGGAACTGGACATCCCGCCCCAACTAGAAACCTAAAATTTAGGTCTGTCTGTCTGTCTGCTCCGAGATCTTCCGCATATGAATATATAATTAATGAGGCCAAGTTAAAGTAAATTATTTGCTCAGAATTAGCACACCATCGCCAGGAGGCAAAATGCAATATTGTCCACAACCACTCTGTTTCGCTATTTGCTTGGCATGTGCCCTGACCCATAACCCATCTCAGTCGCCTCAGTGTAATATATATATATATATATATATAATAAATAAAAATTGAGTGAGGGTAGAAAAAAAGGAAAGTTTAAGAGACGAAGTGAAGAGGATGTAAGGATAAAAGAAAAAGGAAAAAAGTGTAAAATATTGAGGAAGGAATAGGGATCATATTCACATGGGCATGGGCATAAGTATAGGCATGGGCGTGGGAGAGGGAAATGAGGGAGGGAGAGAGAGAGAGAGAGAGAGGATATGGGTTTTGACACTTTTAGTTGAGACTTGAGAACTTGATCAGTTCAGAGAAATCAGAAAATATATAAATAAATATACAAGTTTGGTTTCAGAGGTTGTCCTTGTCCACTTGTCCCGTGTATGTGTGGGGGGAACATGCATGCTTTGCTTTATGTACGTTAGCCACAATGCTCTCTACTATTTTCAAAAGTAATTAAAATATAAACATAGGATATATAGGTAGGAATAAGATCACACATGATTCATATCAATCATAGCCTCATAGGAGTTGGAACTTGGAAGGAAAGAATAGGATGCGTAGGATGATAAGTAACGATTTCCCTTAGGAGGAGGAGGAGGACATTGCCTGCCAAGCTAGGGCTAGCTGCCTGCCTGCCTCTTAGCCTCTCTCTAGACAAGAGGCAAGGGCTGCCCTATCTTTTTCGCCTCCACCCGAGGGAGAAGGAGAGGGAGAGGGAGGGCTAATCCTAATATTGGGAACACAGAACTTGCAACCACTCCTAATTCCCCGTTATATCCTTCTTCAGTGAGGATGCTTTTATTTATTTATTTATTTTCAGATGCTTACCCATTTGGTAATCTCAGGCCAACCAACAAAATGGCAACCTAGCTCTCCCTAGCGGGCTTGATTTAATTTCTTTAATTTTGGATATCTTGTGAATCTTGGTTGGTTTCACTTTCATATTTGTTTATCAATCAACTGTCAGAAATTAGGGGTAGAACATATGGCATCAAGTACACTTGCATTGCACGGCATTGGCAGGTGTATAACTTCAAAGACAACAAATTACTTTTCTATATAGTTTACGGTAAATTGAAAAACATGCTCATCTTCTTCCCCAAATTTTAAATTAAATTTTTTTTTTTTTTTTTTTTTTTTTTTTTTTTTTTTTTTTTTTTTTTTTATAAAATGAAATCAAATCCATGTAATTTGATATTCAAATCGGAGACGTGAAAGTACACAATTATCATCCAGTGATTGTAAATGCAGATTTATAGTTGAATAAGATCTTGCCTTTACTCTGACCCCCGAAAAAGAAATGAAAATAAAATAAAATCTTGCCTTTCCATTCCATTATGAAACTTTAAAATCACTCCTGTCACCTGCCAGTCCTTGTGAACACTATATAATATATATCTTCCTAATCGTGGTGCAACTTTTTCTTCTCTTTCGTCATGTATAGTATATGCTGTGCATTCATAATAAGCGAATGCTCGATCATGTAAACTTAAACATGTGAAAACAAATGCCTTCTTAGATTCAGACCACCTTCAACAGTAGTTACATACAACAGAAAAGTGGCTTAACTAGAGAACCCAGAAGCTGCAGGAAAAATTAGCACCTTCTGAATACAATACCGTTCATGACACCTCCATTATCATTCACAATTGGTGCTCTTATGTCTCTACTCCTGCTTTGAGCTAACCTTGGTCACGCTATCCATATACTGCTTCACACGAGTTTGGTTCGTCTCAAATATGAATGGCATTCCCCTAATCTGCAAATTTATCATTTTTGAGGAAATATCATCATGCATTCAGTCAGTAGTAGTACCTAAATATGTGCCAGCTTAACTACAATATAATTCTAGTGTTTTGCTGGAGATTCATATAGTGGGGGAAAACCCCAATTATCTGATATATTTATATTTAGCACTTGCTTGATATGGATATTGTGCCCAAGGCTGCCTAGGATCTTTGAACAATGTATGATGGCCAATTCATGGATCCTGACTATCCTGTCCACTAAAGCTGCTAAATAGATCAAAGTAACAAAAACCATATTTCGGTTCAATCGACATTGAGAATTTTTCAACTGATTTCAGTCGGAAAATCAAACCATGCGCCATCGCAGATCTAGCCAAAGGTTCTTATCATCAATCCAGACCAATACAAAGTTTCTGAACTCAGATCTATATCGTATTGCTTTCATACATCAATTAAGATCTTACTCATACGCAAATGGACTTGTTGGAGATGGTTAAAAAAAAAATTTAATCGAAGTTGGAGATGGTTAAAGATCCCTAGGAATGACACATAATGGATTTGATTAACAAGGCTACAATCACCACTGAGAAACATAATGCTGACAACCCAATCGATTAGAAATAGCAGGGCCCATCAATGACTTAAAATAACATTAACAAAAACTATGTGTTGAGCGTTTTGATTACCAAGCATAAAAATGATGAGTGTAAAAACGAAGTTAGAGGTTTGACTTTCAGCTCCACACACAGCCATGCAGCCACGCACAAACACACACATATTGCATATAAAACAGTAAAGAATTCTGAACCATCAGCAATAAAGCTGCAGAGACCTACGAATTATTTTTAGTAAAAGGAACTGTAAGAACATACCTCAATCAAGCAGCTCGAACTAAGGCTTAGACTCTGTCCAGGGGCTACTTCCTTGCTATTTACTGAGATTGAACACTTCCCAAGATTTTTCAGATAGAAAGATCCGCCTTTGTCCATCTTTATCATTGCCTAAAAAATGCAGAAAAGAACAATTTACACTCACTTTAAGACAAAGAAAAATATATCCCCTTATATGGGTTAGCAAGAAGATGCAAGCAAAAGAAAAGATAGAGCTTACATAAATGGTTTTGATCACATGATAAAAGCAACTATGCAAATCCATGGTCACCAACCAACAAATCAAAATCCAACAGTTAACGTTCAACTCCAGTTCAAATCACGATAAAAAAATTTACATTTTGGAATTCATCCTCACTATTAGATTTTGATGCAAAGGTCGGTGACCGTGCATTTTCATTTTCAACCAATCAGCATTTCCAAATTTCATGGAATGAAAAGGGCAAGTAATTGTATCACTGGTATGGTTAAAATGTTGAGGTGATCAACAATAATCTTACCTGTTGTCGAGAGATTTTATTACCACGTCCTTCTCTTCCCAAGTCAATGTCAACAATCGCATCTTCAGTTGCTCTACCCAATAAAACCTGCAAAGAAGATAACTATGCATTAACAGATTCAACCCATGTCTGGCTTAGAAACCATTAGTTTTCATCTTCTTCCTCTGGTCCATAATATAATACATTGAAACCTCTATTGATTGAAAAAGATAAGTTCAAAACCTTATGATTGAATAAGGGTTGTGAAAGCTTTGAAACTTAATAAAAACAATCATAATCTATTACTTTGGTTCTTTTCCATTTTTTCCGGAAAACTATGCCCATCACTGCAAAATACCTAGACAGAACTCCTGCTTGACAATTTAGGAGAGTCGTTAAGTAATACACAGAACTCTAGCTCCATAATTCATGAATCACTTCCAAATGCAGATATGGGGTGAAAACCCAATACCAACCCCAGATACAGAAAAAGGCAAAAGAACAGCCCTCTTAGCCAACCCCAAGTAGTTGAGTTAGAATTCATAGAGCAAAGAAATACCTCTGGCTTCTTAATATAATGCTTAGAATGACGCCCATACAAAATGGCAAATGCTCCATGAGATGCAATGGCTCTTTGCAAATACGAATAAGCACCCTGCTCCAGCCTTATGATTCTCCTCTTAGTGTCCTCATGCTGATATCTTGAGACTGCACATAGAGAACTTCTTAAAACTTACAAGGCATATGATGAAATCGTTTTGCATATCTTATTTGGATAAAATTTTAGCTGAGCCACCAAGGAACAAAATAGACAGAATAAGATAATACTGAAACAATATGGAAAAAAGGGTAGGGAAAAGGGAAATAGTGAAGCAAACTATATGTATAGCAATAATAATTCCTACATAGTTGAGTAGATATCATATCATCTGTCAGTTAAGCATGCATGTCACATACAATTAAACAAACATCTGAAGAAGCAAGCTTATAAAACACAGAAAATTCCAAACCCTAGAAAAATAAATGGATTCAATCATTAAACTAACACATTAAATTAATGTGTACCAGTTTTTAGAGGATTTGACTGGCAGAAGAGAAGTGCATATAAGTTCTTGTATAAAAAACTTAAGTACTCAGCTGGTCATCAAATGAAAAACAGCCAGACTGAGTATTACCTTCCTCATGAGAATACAAGTCCTGGTCATCTGGATCCAAATCCATATCAAGTATCTGCAGGTGGAACAATAGTCAAGGAAACTGAAAGATAAATTAAGAAATTGAAAGCAAAATAAACACCTATCAACTAGATGATGGGCGTCTAGGACTCACCATTGCCTCTATATCCGAATAACATGGTACATCATCATCACTCTCAAAAAGCCCCAGTTGATTTGACGTCCGTGGGCTTAATTCTGGTTCTGAGACAGCATCATGCTCGGGCATCACTTCTGCATGTAATGCTTCATGATCTCTACTTGTAGCAGTTGGATCAAGCTCCTGTTTACTGACACGAGCATTTGTCCGAGGATAGCTTTTAAAGCTATTATAATCAAGATCTGGCTTCTCCATATGAAGCTCAGTTGAGTTATAGCTGAGGCGCTTTGCCAATATACTTTGTCTAGTCTCTTTCTTCAGAATTCCAGGTACAGGATTTGTATTTGGATTGGCTGAATAAATCTGACCCAGACCTTCACTCACATGACCTGGATTCTTAGAAGCCGCTTCACTGGGGTCAGTCTTGGACAGCTCAAATTTAACCCCAAAATTATCCAGTGGAGGTTTTGGATTCATTTCTTGTAAGCGGTGTGATCCTTTAATCGGAGAAGACCTATGAGGTTCTCCAGGCTTTTTTTTCTCTGTGTGCATAAAGCACGGCCCTGTGTCACTATTTCTTTGATTAACAGGTAAATCATTACTGGATGAAGATATTAGCTTATTCACTTCTTGCAAATCCCATTCTACTTCAGAGAAAGTTGATGACTGAAGAACATGATTTGGTAGAAAAACATCATCATTGCATGGAATTTCCAAGTCCTCGGTGTTTAATGTGCAGCAGATAACTCCATCTTTCAGTTCAGGATATTGATAGTTTGAAGCTGTTGAAGATGATTGCATCAGAGTCTCCGAATGACAAGCCATATGTTCATCAGCATTTTGGGACCCCTTAGTGTCATCTACCACTCCAGGATCCGAACTAGATGGATTCATGGAATACATCACTGGAGTTACAGATGTTTCTGGCTCAGTTATATCAATCGTCTGTTCTTGACGAGCATCATCATTTGGTGAACTCAACAAAAGTGAGCTCAGGCCATCATAGTAAGACTTATCAATCACGTCTTTTCCATCAGCAGTCATGAGCATGAGCTCCTCATTAGTAAAGTTCAAAAGTGAATTGGACAATTCTGCCAAATAACCTTCAGTACTCGCAGGAGCTGCTGCACTCTTGAAATCACCACATGGCATGTCAGCTTTCACCTCCATCCCCAGTTGAACATCATACTCTGATGTTCTTGTGTTGTTAGCATCAATATCATCAGGAAGTTCAAAAGTATCGCTGGTGCATAGATCATTTTCTCCAAGATCAACATCAACATCAACTGGCATAGCTGGTTCTGCACCTGTTCTCCAGATAGGCATCCCAGGAAGTGGAGATGAATACTCCAAGTTGTGAAACGATGCACCATTGTCTGAAACGGATGAATTAAAGGCTTGGTTCCCTTCAAACTTTGTGCACATATTTCCATCGTCACCATTAATTTGATCAAGTGTATACGGAGGTTCCATTCCTAAGTCATCAGCATTGAACAGGCTGCACTCTGGCAATTCCTTCGGCTGATTGAATTCCTCCACCTCAGATCCATTCCTTGAGAAGGGCATATTGTCTCCAAGAATGTGAGGAACTTCTTCATGTATATTATCCTGTTCCATATGAAAATCATTTTCAGCTGGAATCTGGAGTCTTGTATGAAAGGTATCAGCAGTAACTACACCGCCAGTGGCAGTGCCACCATCCATCAGATTTTGAAGAGTATCCATATCTGACCTCTCGAGGCCAATAGGGGTCGGATCTCCAGTCATGCAATTTCCATAAAAAGGCTCATCTTCATTTCCAACATAATTATTATTACTGGGTTGAACAAGAAAATTAAGGCCCATGGAGTTAAATGGCTCATTGCAGATCCTTTTACGCAGAGCATAGTAACTACTGCGTACACTTTCAGCTTTTCTCTTTCCAGATTCACATTTGTTTTCTTTTGAATTTCCTGGTCTATCTACAGGGAGAGTTGGAGTGGAACACTCGAACTCAACCATGCGAGCAGAAGCGTTGGCAGAAACAACCGGATCGTATAGGAGAGAATACCACCGATCTTGCAGTTCATGAATAGTAAATCTTCGAGAAAAATGCACTGCCCCTTTAGCAAGTGACTCCAAAGAAGCACCAGCCTGAAAACAGAGTAAAAGAGTACCAAATCCATTAAAAGTTTGGAGAATAGATATAGTTGCAACGTAATATGACAGAAGTTATAACATAGAAAAATTACTAACTTCCTGAATTTGTCCTTGTATGATGAATTTATTTATGGTCAAAATCAGCGCACTGAAAAATGCCAAATCCTAATTTAATTCTGAAAGGGGCACCAGGGCAATTCCACTCAGACCCGGCACACTTAATAGTCGTGAATTAGGCTAAGATACAGCATAAGTCAGCAGGGAAACCAGTGGTAAGTTGCTAACAATGATTCTAGCACAGGAAAACATTATTTCACCTTCCGTTATGTCTAGCACATTTGTCCAATTTCTTGGTTCTATTCCTTGAAATTTAACTCCATGGCACGGGCTATTAGATATTTGCAAAAGATAAACCTGGAATGCCTTGTTCAAACAATTCATGCTCTAACACTAAAAATCCAAAATTTCATAAAAAATAATAGATACAAACATAATATTACATGAAGAAAAAAATGCCAACGAAATCCAGGTCAATACGCAAGGATAGATTGGAGCAAGAGGATCAAATTTCTCGAAATGGGTCGCAAGAGGGAGCCAATTTAATCAACATAATAAAGAAAAAAATATGAAATTTGTACCTCAACCGCGTTCCTGAGCAAAATATCATCCTCGGGAATCCAAGGAGAGAATGGAGCAAGAGCACTCATGGCTTGACTGCCCATGAACTAGCCTCTCTCTCTCACTGCAGAGTGTGCGTGTCCTCGGTGACGGAGTGAAACATTGAAAAAGCTTGGAGAAAGGGAACGAAGAAAAGAGATGAAAGCGACGAAGAAGGCCTTGGACGCTTGGAGGGGTTTTAGAGGGAAAGAAAAGCCAAAAAAACAAAGGTTTTACAGAGGTTTTGTGAAACGTGGACAGCCAATTCGGTGTCCTCAGCTTCTCTCTCGGGTCGGGTCGGGTGACCGAGATTTCAACGTGGTGGGGTTGGGGGGGTTTAGGGCACGTGCCAACTCCGTCAGCCCTTTTCTCTCTTGTTCGGGAGAGAGAGAGAGAGAGAGAGAGAGAGAGAGAGAGAGCGTATCCGAGTGGTAGAGTATAACTGGACTTGCAGGTTGCCGCGGACTCTTTGCTCCGTACACGGGTTGACCCTTGACCAAAGAGTCCCTCCTCCAAATTATGTGTCCTTTTTTATTTGGAAGTGATGAGAATTCGGGAAGGCATGTGTTAAATTTTTGTTTTTAGTTTGGTGAGAAAAGGCATGTTTTTGGGTACAGGAAATAATAGTGCTCTAATTACCAAATTTGTTCATCAATTTTGGGCATCTAATCTAATAATGTGTTTGGCTGGCTGGTTGAAATTGGAAGTTCCAATGTCCTCTTGCGGTTCTTCCTATTCTTTAATTTTAGTTTAAGAAAAGTTATGATCTAATTTTGGAAGTGAACCAAAAAAATAAAATTATGGACATGATGATTCACACAAGTTAGACCCTCAAATTCCAAGCTTGGAGAATTGAGCCCTCCAGAAATCAAAGACATCTGAATATTTAGAGAAAGAAACGACCTTTGACGAAAAGGCCAGGCCTTTAAAGTCAGAATATCTTCATCAACAACAGCCATTGTTTGTCGAAGCTAAACCAAGCAACTATTTTCATTTTCAATCAACAATACAATACATGGGTAATTAACCGAACTGTTGTTTAAATTCCTGGGGTGATATCAGTCTCAGAGAGAGGTGCCCTGCCTGCCTGCCTGCTTGCCACTCAAAGTCAAAGCAAGGCATAGGTGGTGGTGACATCTGATCCTGCTCCACTGTGAAGGCTAGGATGGCATTGGCTATCCTGCAGCCTTAAGCATATATGCGAGGGCCTCCATTTGATGAGTAGCCAAAAGCAGATTCATAATCCTCTCCTCCATTCTCAACTAATCTATAATGTGGGTCGTCCCTTGCATCCTTAATCAAACCAAAAGTATAAACAAAACAACAACAAAAAGAAGGCTCTTTTATAAACTGAGGTTAAAAACCGAAGAATAATCTATTTGAATCACTAAAAGAGAATATTAAGCTTTAAGGCGCACTGCATACAAATTCACGGAGATTCCTGTTCATTTCTGTTGCACTCCGTAGCTGTAATCAGGTGAGGAGGAGGAAAAAAAAAACAGAGATTCAATCAGTACAACCTTATGAATAAGCTAAAGCTATAGATAGAGCTAGCTCCCGGAAGGAACCCTCTACCACCCACTGAAAGGACAAACACAAATCAATGGACAAAAGGGGTCCAATTACATATACTTGTCAAATAGCGTTACCTTTTTCTTCGTAGTATCAATCTGATTAGAGATCATTCGAATCTGTCCATCGTTGTACAGATGCGCAACGTTAGATTGAGAAAAATACAATGTTTCACAAGTCACATGTAGTGGAGAACAATTAGCAAGAGTCTGCTAGACAGGGTAATGGGGCATCCACAACAAACAGAACAACAACTATGGCTATAGAGGGTACTATATAGCTAGCTAACACTGTTTCCACCCCCTTTGCAGCTGCTAAAACTTCCTGCCTGTTTATGCTTATATGTACTCATGTCTCGTAGCTAGAAATATGAAGTACAAACTGGCAAAATGGATGGCAAAATGGCAAAGAAAAAGAAGCATGTCCACTTACACCTATAACTGCAAGGGGGAAGGCCAAAGTTGATTTGAGAACCTCTCAAACAGTAAGTTAATAATTGTTGGTATTTTCATTCAAACTATATGTATCAGATTGGCAATGGATTTACTTAATCTATAATGATCTAATGAGACAACTGAAACTTTAAAAGTAGAGCTATTCTTTTGGAAAGACAATAAAAATGAATGTTCTACTGAAGGAACTTATTTGTGTACTGTATATTTTGTTGTGTTGTGTTATGAATTAAATCACTCATCCTAAAAAAGTAATAATAAAGAAACAACGACCAGATTACTAAGAGCTAGAGCAATGACAACAACAATCATAATAATTAAAGAACTGGAAACCAAAAGATATACACGTACAACCTTGCGCTTGCGAATAACATCAACAGCGCCTTCCATTTCTTGCTCAACACCACGCAGTTCATCAAAACTCATATCGTTCAAACATTCACCTAGCACCCTTTGCCTATCAACAGACATCACGCGCATTATACTTTAATTTGGAAAAGAATGAATAAAATAAAAAAGCAAGAAAAATAAGGCCTTTATATTATTAATTACCTGATCTGCTTCCGCAGACTCCTATTCACCTCTTTCAGCTTCTTCAAATGCTCTTGCATTGCCTGCACACATAACCACACAATTATATACATATATATATATATATATAGAGAGAGAGAGAGAGAGAGAGAGAGAGAGAGAGAGAGAGAGAGTAATGATGAATGAGAAACCTCATAGTGCGAGCTCCAAATATCGACTCCCTTAGTCTTCTGGAACTGGTCGAAAAATTGCTTTGTTCTAAACACAAATTTATGATATAAGCAAGTGAAAACAAAAAAGCTCATTGTAGACTAGCTAGCTAGTTGAAGAAAAACCTAGCTACTAATATAATAGGGTTGGAGAGATTTGCGTACGTGGTGGAGGGGCTGATGTATTCATGGATTTTTCCGGAACTTGAAACCATGATGAGAGAAACCGTGGCATCACAGAGAACAGTGAGCTCATGGGCCTTCTTGAAGAGCCCGTTCCTTCTCTTGGAATAGGTCACCTGCCTATTGGTCGCGTTCTCTATCCTCTTGATCTGGATCTTACCCCTCGCCATCTCTCTCTCTCTGCTTTGCTTTCAATCTGATCTGAAACTGGAACAATTAGGTTTTATAGAACAAGGCAAGAGGCCCAAATGTATTAAAGAGCAGATTTTGAACTAGAAGAGAAGGCCATTTACCAAAAATGGAAAAGGGTTAGGCTTAAACTTGGACTGGTTCAAACGTGGCAATCTCATTCTGGGTTTGCTAATTGGTTCGCATTTCGATGTGGGGGACCAATCAATATACAAACAATATTGATGGAGATGGAGTATCATACAAACACTTTCCGTCCTTCACCCATCACCATCTTTGAAAGAAAGAAAGAAAGAAATCACGATCTCCCGTTCTGATGTAACATGCTACGGAGTTTCTTTGACGGAATCAGAGCTAGCTAGCTAGCTCAGACTCAGACTCCCAGGCAGGCAGGCAGGCAGGGCTTGCTTTATGAACTCATTGTAAAACGACGATGGAGAAGCGCGCTTTTGTTTATGAAAACCAATGGTCAAAGAGAAGTCATGGTCGATGTAATCAGCTGGTTTAAATATGGAACCTCTGGATTTTTGCTTGCAGGCATAGTATAGTAGGGTCGTAGCTGGATCAAAATAGCTTTGCGTCCATTACGAAATTTGTAGATGTTAACGTTGTTTCAAACCTTCAAAGTCAAGTCATTTCAGGTCTCTCAAACCTCTAATCATATTTGACCCACCCCTAATCTTACCAAGCCTGTCACATAATGGGCCGCGATTATGAAGGCTATGGCCTACCTAGTCGCTTATTGGACTCTGTAGTAGGACTAAGGCCATACACTGAGCCCAAATCCATATTGCTTCTTATTTTCTGATTGGACCCTTGCAACCAACCTCTTGTGTTCAATTCCGGTTCCCTCAATATCGCTTGTATTTGTTGAACTATGACAAATGAGGTTTTCAGTTGAAGACATACATTATATTAGTTTGAGGTAAGATCATGAACGAATGAATTCTCACACTTCTGTATTAGTATATTTGTATGTTGATTAATATCAATACAATTCTATCGTTTTGTTCTTGTCACGCTCATTAGCTGTTCGAAAATTACTATATGTATACAACAAAAATGTACATATGAAAACGGCAGTGCATCATTCATCCTCTTCACTGAGTAACGCAAATGAAAAAGGGTAGAATTTGTAACCAGCGCCCTCATAAAACTTGTTCTGGAACTCCACCCAGTGAAGCCTCAAGGCATGTAAAAATGCACTCAAAGTCTCCATCACTAGAAGCACTCCAACAGTTGCACATATAAAAACTATTATGCCAATGATTAGGATAATGACATTATTGAACCTGCAGTAATTCCCAAGAGACTGATTAATTACTCTGCTTTCTTTTAAGATCTCAAAGTTCAGTAAAATGGCAAAAAGATGAAGTAAAAGAACTTACCCCCAGGCTAGAAGTAGAATCTTGTCGTAAAATACACTGGACAGCTCTGAATGAGCTAAACTGAAGAAAGCAAGACAAGGACAAACGAGATGATCATCATCATAGAATTTATATTCAAATAATCTAAGAAGTATCAACCTTTTTTATTTATTTATGTGCAACTAAGCAAACGCACGCATCGTAGATGCCTAATGAAGTGTGGATACTATTAAATGATTCTAAGTTCTATGTTGTTAGCCACCTACCTGAGTGCCCATAGACGTAGATATGAAGCTGTATTAGACACTGCTCCAAGCACAAACTCTATGGTATGTATGAGTTGGTGTACAAAGACCTCGGTGAATTCAAATTCCTCATGACCATGCAAACTTTGATGGTGGTCCTCTTCAAGAGGGTCATCACCGCCGTGAAGCAGCGCGTAGGATTGACCTTGGTGTCTCTGAGGAAACAGGATATCAATAAAAGGTATAAATAGAGGATTGTAGAACGCATGAAACATATCTTAAGACTATAGTTTCAAGCGAACCTCCTCATGCTGCTTCTTCAACAGATAAGGCTTTGGAAACAGCATCCATGGCACAGCAACAAGAGCCAATAGTAGTAACAAAATCTGTAATTAAACACAAGGCATTCTTAATATTGGTGTCGCACACTATGGTATTGCTTGAGAAAATTTTTGGCCCAATCCAAGGAAATATAACAAAACCTGAAGGAATTTTTGCCCAAAAAAAAGCTGGTTTTCACCCAGATCATCAGTAGGACTCAAGAACATGTATATCATTACATGATACAAATCAGCTTGTGAACCAGTGCACCATTTCACTATAATTAGGAGTGAAAGGTAGCCAAACAGGCTGTTTAAAAATATAATCTGAGGAACAAATTGGTACCTGAAAGAACATGGATAGATGGTCAAAATTAAGAGAGTAACTCATAACACTTAAACATGCGCTCTTCAGAAGTTTGAAAGACTGAACATGCGCTCTTCATATGCAATAATGCAGGATCAAGTTGAGTAATATGGGGCCCGTTTGATAACCATTTCAATTTTAGTTTTTAGTTTTCGTTTTTTGTGCTAAAGTATAGAGGAACAAGAGGGAGAATGGAAGTGAGAATGAGAGTGGATATGGGATTTAGAGGGAAGATGAGAGGGGAGGAGTAACAAACGGGCCCATAGCTTACCAGATATTCAGGTTATCCCCAAAGAATTTTGCATTAAAGTAACTCAATATGATTCCAAGATTCATCTGGGCTACTCCAAGTAGGATTGACATCTTCATCTTCAACGAGTTAAGAAACGGTAACTCGGACCGGGAACCATGCCATTTAGGATCCACACCAAATGGGTAAGTGCCACGGACCTTACTCAAACCCACTGTAGTAGCATCGCTGCAACAAAATAGAAAAACCAAGTGTAATAAACTCAAATGGGATTGACAGACCACAAATATGTTAAGCAACTCAGACTGACTGTGTACCTGCAGGATTGGTCACGGCACCCATAGGCAGATGGCCCAAATAATTCAAATGGGACTGAAAAGAATTCATTATATATCAATCCTGTGTAAATTGAGAACAGCGCCATCATCATAATAACATAACGGCCACCAAATGTCATTTCTACGATGTCCCCAAGTTTCTGTTGTCAACAAATCAAGTTAGTAGAACCATCCGGTAATTACAAGAAGCAAAGAGTCCACAATCTACAGTCGCAAATCCATACGCATTACCTGACTAGAAAACTTCCTCTCCCTGATTATGAAATATAGTGTTGCCAGCAACAAGCAAATACCATGGCCCCAATCTCCAAACATTACAGCAAAAAGGAAAGGGAATGTGACAATGGTGTATACACCAGGATTAGCCTCCTGATACTTGGCAACCCTGTGATGATGGTTCCATTAGACAAATTCTTTGATGAATGATCTCATTTGGGAAATGAATAACCTAGTCACTAATAAAATAAGAAGGGATAGAAATGGTCTTCCTTTCTGTTTCCCGGGGGAGAAGGAAGACAACAAATAAAGCTATATAAAATTACGTTTTACCATTATACACCCATTAAAAGAGGGCAATAATAAATTTCCCAAACCTTCCCTAATAGCCCTCATCCTCCCCACTTTGCAACCCCTAATTTTCTCAGTCCACACCAACTCCCATATAGACCTGATTTCCTACCTCATGATCTTCCTACCAAGCATTGTGCAAGAACTTGTATAGAGACATAACCTGCAAACTGACTCACCCGTATGCATCCACAATTTCTTGAAAAGCAGAAGTGAATTTATTTGTGCGGAAATATGTTGGTGGCGATTCCTTTGTCTGCAAAACCTGGAAAATGGCGCCAACTTGAGAGCTACTATCAAAGGATGCCCTCTGCAACGCATTTTGAATCTGTGAAAAATCAAGCCTGTGTTCGTTAAAAAATTCCCTCAAAGATGCATTACACTTGAAAGTGACTCAAGCCAAGTTTTAGAAATTAATATAATTTTAAACATTTTAACAGGAAACTGTTACAGGATAAGAGAGCAAACCTGGTTTGATGCATATACAGGACACCAACCTTCTGCAACAAGACACATTTTTGTCACATCAATGCTTAACATGTTTAACGTGTGATAAATGGATTTTTCCTTCTTCACCTATCAAGTCATTAAGGAATCAAACTCAGTTACCAAACAAAGAGAAACTCAGTGACTATGACCAAATAAACATATGGATGGGCATGAGAGTATCCATACAAACATGAAGGAAGAAACAGAAGACAGATGCATAAGCTTTTGAAAACAAACCAGAAGGTGCCACAGCTCATGTTGATGGCCAATTGTCTGTAATAAACTGCTCCTGTGCAAGAGTCCAGCATCTATGGTAATCTTCAGCTCTGAAAGTTTTCCAGACACCTAGAATTAAAGTGGTTATAAAATTCAGAATGCACAGTGAGTCAGTGTTTGTAATTAAAGACAGACAGAGTCACAATTAGAAGAAATAGAATATTACTGCAGCTAGTCCACCAATATGATCAAGATAAAGCACCACAAGTAAAATACAAGGCCATTGCAAAATGTTTCTTTCATGTCAGCTACATCTATTGTAACGCATAATTGGGGCTTTCATCTACTGCTTTTTATGTTGCACATGGCCAGAACTTACATCAACACTATCCTCCTGTGATTTTCGGTGTGATGGTTTACTTCTTTAACTCTACAAAGCCTCAAGGAGCTTTTTCTAAGCGACTGCTTTTTTCAGCCTTAATGCTATCATTATGTCTTTATTGATCACAAAATGTTTGGGATTTTAGTGATTGTAAATTCAGGCCGTATATAATCAGCCCTTTAAGGAAAAAACTTGAATACAGTATATACATATAGCATATAACCGAGTGATGATGATTGGTACAGTTGGAGCAATATAAACATTCCTTGTTCCGTAGTTACTAGAGGGCATTATAGCGCCCACACCAGAAGTCTAATCGATACAATTGAAAAAGAAAAAGAAAAGGAAGAAGCCATCTTAGAAATATAAGTTTCTCAAATACCCATGATTCACACAAGAGAAAAGTGTCAATCTAAACATAATCAAGTTGTGGTATCCTAAAGCTGTTGATTCTACGTACAAAGAGTTAACAAGCACTGAAAAGAATACTGCATACCTCTGTAATCATCTGAAACTGTTTTCCCAAGTCATCTGTAAATGGGTAACGGTTCGCCCCAAAAGCTTCACATATTTTTAGAATTTTATTCTTTGCTCTTTCTCCGGAATAGAAGATGATAAATACATTCTTCTCTAATATGTAATATAGTAATTTTATGAAAAAAAAAAAAAAAAAAAAAAAAAAAAATAGGAAATACTGGTAACGGAGTTAACTATCCTGCAGGAAGATAAAGGTACCTAGGCATATATGTGCATAGGTAGCATTCACATACACGGAAAAATATTACAGCATGCAGGAAGGTAAACCATCCTGTGTGCATGTGTACTGCCATAAAAAAGCTAGTACGCATGTAAACTACCATGCATTCTCAAAACACCGAACAAAAGATATATATGAACATTAAAATGGTATGTTACTGATTATTAACCTTATCTCCTGACACAGGATCAACAACAGGGTCATTGACCACAGCTTGCTTCAGAAACACATTACCCCGGGTTGCACGAAACAGAATCCTTTCAAAGGTCATCGATTTTTCTCTAGGAACAAGACCACTAACAAACCCGAGCTTAACATGCTTTGATGGATCTGTTGTCATTTCCTACAGATAAAGCCCTAAGCATCATCGATAGGCAAAGAAAAAAAGAAGTTCATCTGAAAACAAAAAAAATGAAACAGAAAAGTACAAGGCTGCACTTGTTCGAGTAATAATGGACTGTCAATGGATTTTTCAATACTGTGCTGCCTTTCAAATTGTCTCTGCTGAGCTGCAGCACTGCTTTGAGCTGAATTGAAAAACTCGCCAGCCTGAAATGAGTAAACAACGCAAGTTCACTTTATGGATCACATGAAGGAAAGCAATGCCATGATAACTGATCTGATGAGGGGGAAAGAGAGATCACAATCTTAAGTAGAGCAGACTTGCGCTTAGAAGTATACAAGACAGACAATAGGAAAGGATAGAAAAGAATAGAGTTGAGGCATCAAATTTCCCAATAATGCAACCAATGCTTCCATAAAACTGACTGCAATAGCAGTAAAACAAAGCCATACCTTCTGCAGAACAAGTTTATATTCTAATAATTCACTGTAAGTGCGTTGTAAATGTTCATTGTTTGCATTAATTTCTAGTAGCTCGGCTTCAAGTTCACCGAGTTTGACCTGGAAACATCCATGCACAAACACACACCCCATAGAGGGAAGAAAATGATTCAATATAGACCATAGAAAGGGCAAAAGATCAAGATCTCAAGTCAACTCCTGAAAAAACTACCTCCAAGTTATCGAGATCAATATCATTGCCTGTTGTAGACCTTGTTGAGGGCGACAAGCCAGCCTTCTTCATTTGCTCCTTGAAGAAACGTAGCCTGCGAGCCATTTCCCCACACCGTTTGATCTGCATGAAATCATTTAAATTTCAAATTCTAACAGAATATTTCAAAATAGACCAAATTATTTTTCCAATTACTTGAAAAACCACAGAAACCATGGCAATGATAAGTTAATTCAAAAGTAGGAAATGATCCATGAATGCACCTGAGTGGCATATGTTCGCTGGAATGGGCTCTTCTCCGCATTGAGCTGAAAAATAACAGAGTTTCCAAAAAAGAACAGACAATAAGGAAAAGAAAAAAAAACGAAATGCAAACCAACACTGGAAAACGAGAGCAGACTCTGACATCTTTGAATTGGAAAAGGCCAAGGTCGCCGAGGTAGGAGATGGCGTGGCGAGACGATTCCATAGGGATGATGAGTTGCGCCAATTGCATTGGCTCCGACCGCAGCAGATCCATCGTTGGACAACACTCTCCCGCCATTTTCCCGGCAAAGATCAAAATCTGATTGCAGATGCACAAATTGCTTCTTCAAACGTCGCACTTTTTTCTTTCTCTTGTATTCTGAGTCGGGCGTGTATCAGAGACGCCTACCGCTACCGTTGCCGCTATGCGTATACTATAAAGCCAGTAGTTTTCCTTCTTTTTCTTTTTTTGAACTTTTATTTTCTGTCGCGGCGTCGTTTTAACGCTAACGTGGGCTGATAGGCGCAGGGGAGTTGAAAAGATGAAATACTATTGCGTAATGAATTTTCCATTCTCGGGTTTTGACCTTCGGATGTCCCATACGCGCGCAATTGAAACGCAGCGTTGAAGGAAAGACGATCGCGTTGTTCGAATGTAATTGTCAACGTCCCGATCACGTTGTTCACCTCCCAGCTGCCGCTCCGGGATGCAGAAACGTTTTTATAATTTTATTACGTTTCGTTGATTGACTTGGACTCCTGGACTTGGAGTGGACACATTAAGTTGGGCTACGAATTTTAATGGGCCCACTTCCAATCAATGCCGACCAAAAACCCGGCAAAAACCTCTTCCAATTGGAATTCAAACAATAGAATCCAGGCCCACTACAATTGACTATATCTGTCTTTAATTTGTTGTGGTGTTTCCAACAAATATTGAAAGAAAACAAAAAAGCTTTCTCACTTTCATACCACCCTATTAAAATTTAAAATTTTAAAAAAAAATTTATACTTTTATAGTACAATTAGAAAAATAAGAAAAAAAATCTTATAAGTCAACCCATTCACCAATATTTTAAAAATCACTTTTTAAATTTAAGCAAAATTAGAACAAAAAGAGTTTTGAAAAATACATTAGGAGCTAATTGAGTAACTTTATGAATGGCATTGGCATAACCTAGAAGGCTAAGTGATTTATGAACATGATGGATTTATAGAGCATAAGAGCTTATGAGCAGAGGTACTTTCTAGAGAAGCAATCCCAAACGAGTCATTACTTGTTTTTTTCGTGATTTTTTGGGTAATTTGAACATGAAACTTGTTTCAACAATGTTAGAACAAAGAATGAATTGGCAATGAGTGTTTGGTTTGGTGGATATAAAAAACAACTTCATTACATATATATATATATATATGTATGAATGACTTGAGACAAATTTGAGCCCAGCATGGATTTGCAGAGACATTAAATAAGTATCCTGCAAAATGATAGTTGTGCCTTGAAGTCAGGGGATTGGGAACATATATAGACAAGGCTGAAGGCAATCACAAGGATTAGCACCACACATACAGACTGATACTGCAACAGAAACCCTAGCTGCTGCTGATACTGCTATATGTAGCAGAGACGCGGGGATACGTTTGGACCACGCTGTAGCTCTTGGTGGTAACAAGAAAGGCCAAGGACTGGCGAAGAAAGAGATAAACAGTAAATTCGCATGCGCATGGCCGCAACCTAGCTGTAAAGACTCCGCTAGCCCTGGAGAACCTATTGTATCAGCAATAAACCAAACTTTTAATCCACTTGGTCATATCATATTCATATGTGGGGATTTTTCCAGTTTTTCTTTTTTAATAAGAATGGATGAACGACGTCATCACACAGCTACATCTTACAACTCGAAATCATGCCCATTTCTTGTCTCAAACAAAGTCACCCTAGCTTGCTTTCACTATTTTCTAAAGCCCTTTTGGCCTTTTGGCCTTTCATAAACTTGTTTATGTGTCACTCTCTACTTTACGTACGTTAATCTGTATTATATCCCCTCCTCCGTATCATTATTATTGATAATGTGCCCACATATATATATATATAGAGAGAGAGAGAGAGAGACATGGTTTTTTCTATTTAGAGGACGAAGATAAATTTTGAGTTGTCTACTCCGTGTCGTATTTCTATGATTGAAACCATCAATTATATATGTTTGTTATTTGAGAGATGATTTTGTATAAAAAAAAATTATCAAAATACAATGCATAGTATTAATAGACTCTACAAGGATGTAACTTAAATAAGCCAATATATAGTAATTATTATCCAATATATCCATCCTGCATATACGGTACCCCACCCACCTTCCCCTTTGTTAAACACGAATTTGTCTCTTTCTCTCCCCCCATGGCCACCAGCTCATGACTCGTGAACTTTATATATTATGCACAAAGCCAGAAAACAAGGATGATTTGATTGCTTATAATTGTCCAACCAATTCACCTCCATCTTCTATACGATACCACCAAGTTCACAACTCACAAGCTTAGCAGTGCAGGACATTAAAGTCAGAGATACAGAAAGACACCCGGAGATTTGGATTAAGTCCTTCAACCTCTACAGCTAACTTGCTACAGTCTACTGAGAAACTGTTTCCTTCTTCATTAATTGTTTATTGATGCGTCAACGTTAGTTTTTTAATACAATTAATTTGGATCATCAGACAGAGACACAGAGTTCCAAAACGATCTCGAGTTTTGGCCCAACCCACCCCTTCCAGGCTGCAGCATAATATTCATTACTTCAAACCTTGCTCATGAGTCATGATCGATCGATCCCAATTGGAAACTTAAATATAAAAGCTCCATAAATATTGCACTTTTTTGTTCTAGGGCTAGGGCTAGGGCTAGGGTAACCGTACATATTAATTACAAAGGCATTAATTCTTCAGTCTTAAAGATTTAGCTTCCCATATTCAAACTTGTTTGAATGCCACCACATTCCACGTTAAACAAAACAAGCATGCCGCAACTTTTGCAAACTAGATTTTATCAGTAGAGGCCAGCCAGCCAACAACCTTTTTGTTAAAAAAAGTGAAAATTATTATTAAGAATTAGAATCTTGACGTACGAGATGTGAGAGGTCAAATCAGATAGTCTGGCTGCCTGCCTAGGTCCCATACTCCAAGTTAACAATCTGAACAAACCTCCTTTTTCCTTCACACGGTTGTTTGACTGTCATCGTTTGAATATCGTTTCAACACACACATATATATATATATATATATATATATATATATTTGTTGCATTGCATACACATACAGCCTTAGATCGACATTCATGCAAGCATCATTCTTTTTCCTCGTTTTGCTGTGCTTTCGTTGAAACATATGATTATTTCACTCATATGTTTGACATGAAGAAACACACTGCTAGATACACACTATACTAAATGTTGAATCATCCAATATATTTTAGTCTAAAAAGTTTCTTTATTTCCCCCTTTGAAATGAATGCACCTAAAATGTCTATTAAACTTTAAGGTAAATTACTCAAATGGTCATCAAACTTATACCTGATTAACATTTTGGTCCATCAACTAAATTATTCGTTCAAATGGTCCATCAACTCTACATTATTCGCTCAAGTGGTCCTACCGTCTAATTTTTCATTAGATTTAACCTAATTTTATGGTAAATAATGACCAATTTGTCCTCATATTTAACGGAAATATTGACAGAATGTAACGATATGACCAATGGAGCGAATAATATAGAGTTGATGGACCATTTGAACGAATAATTTAATTGAGATACCAAAATGTAAATCTAGTATAAGTTTGAGAACCATTTAAGTATTTTACCCTAAAGTTTTCGGCAATGAGTACATGCACATAATATGTATTCATTTGTTAACTCATATCGTATCATATGCTTTCTATATATGCGTACTGATCCTTTCAGCACCACACAAAGTTCTTCCATTTTGAATTCATTATCCAATTTACAATTCTGTATTTTATGTAAATCAAGCATACCACCAGTACGTCTCCCTATCCAAGTTTCTTAAATATTGACTATGCATCTTTGTCCAGCCTAACATCTAGATCTATCTCACCGATCGTACTAATTACGCGTGCTTATATCACTGGTTTGTAATATCAAAAAGCTAATTCTATATCCTGCATGCGATTAATTAGAAGTAACCAAGTTTCTAAATACACCCAATCATGAACAAATAACTCATGCATATATAGCAAAATACGTACAGAATTGAAGATGAGAGTGTACTGTGTACGTATGAGAAGAGTGTGGGGGTGTTTGAATCGAGCGGTGGAGATGAGAATGCACATGTTAAGGGGTCAGAGATACTACAAAACTAGGCAAGTTTTGGGTAACCTTTGCGTTTCTTTCCTAAGTACCAAATGTAGCAGCCTAGGGAAGCGCCATTAAGATCCTATGTATCATGCATGTTATTTGTACCTCACCCTATATCTCATTATATAGTTATAGCCTGCATATATATATATAACACATCACATGCACTTACTTTCAGACTCTCAGTTGCATTCAACTTCATCGCCCCCCGCAATTAAGCTAGCTACCATAGAAGTCACATCTACGAATGTCTATTCAAGGGACTAAATTTTGCAGTTTTGCAGGTAAGTAGTTGGCATAAATGCCTTTACAATTATCCATTTCCGTAGCTTAACTAATTAAATCTGTGCTCATATCAGAGAGAGAGAGAGAGAGCTTCTTCTCCTTTTGGAGTGTAGTACTGGAATGCCTACCTGCCAATTGGTAATGCATGCGATCCAAAAGCTTATTTGCAACCAAATCTGGACCACCCCATGCCCTCTCCTTTCTCTCTTTCTTTTTATTTTATTCTACTCATTTTTCTCTTTCTTGACAGAATATTTTTTGAAATAAAGAAGATTTAAAAGATAGTTTGGTTAACCAAACACGAAACCTAGTTCGTCCCATTTTCATCCGGCAAGAGAACGGATAAACGGGAAAAAGCGGCTTCGAGTTCACCACCACTCAGAAAGCGCATTCAATATCAACCCAGATATCAAAACAACACTCATCTATATATATATATATACTACAAGAGAAAATAGTATAAACTAGTCAACCAAATTATAAACATAACATAAACAAACAATTTCTGTGCGCACATATCCAAATGCATGCGGCACAAACCAACCACACCACCAAAACCAAACAAAATTAATGGTTTAATTCAATTCTAATTTAGATTAATCATTAATGGGGTCATCATCAGAGTAATAAACAACGAAAATCAGAATTGAAATTCGAACAAAACCAAACATCCCCACAAGATATATCGATCGTCCTCATCAATCATAATCATCCTCTCCTCCTCCACTTCCTAGGCATTCTTCTTCTACTTGAGTGCATGATGTTAAATTAAACGAAACTTGAAACCGCAACAATTAAGAACAATTAATATCAGCTGCTAGACTGGGGGGGGGGCCTTTTTTTTTAAAAAAATTTCTAAGACCTCGGGGGTGGGAAGATTTGCGTACCAGCCATGAAAGCATTGAGTGGAGTTGGGAAGAGTGACGGGTCGAGCAATGTGGTAGATGGGTTTCCGCCGTGGCTGGTGGTGCCGGCAGTGGCTGCGACTGTAACCAGATTATGTTGCTGATGATGTGGATGGGCTCCTCCGCCTTCTTGATGATCATGACGGCCGCCTGAGGAGCTTTCTCCTCCTCCTCCAGTACTAGAACTTGGGTAATATTGACCATCGGGGCCTTGATCGTAGAGAAGTCCCTTGAAGACATGGCCTCCGATGTTGACAGCCGTTTGATAGGCGTACTGGTCATCTGCATCGTCCATTGCACTTACTCTTACACAACGGAACACCGCTGGTGAACTCACTTCTGATGGAAATTGTGCCAGTTCCAACCCTAGTATATGTACTCCACCACAACAGAGAAAATTAAATAAATAAGTTTTCTTAAGTAATATGTATTTGAGTGTTAAAAGAAATAAAGAAGAAAGAAAATTCATGGGACATTATTATTTTCGTCAGTTTTACTAAGAAACAGTGAAAGAATAAGAATGAAAAGAAGAAAAGCAGAAGAGTGGAGTGGGTGACTGTGGACTATGGAGTTAGCTCGCTAGGTGGACTTTCCCACACGCAAACGATCCATATGGAGATTTGATGGCAACTCCACCTAGCGAGAGTCCAGATTTAATTTCCTCAAGATCCATCTTGCTGTTACCTTGTTTAGGCAACAGACGAGTTTGTTGAACTTTCTTCATGGAGCAAAATTAATTACAGTCCTCTTCAGAAAAGAAAAAAAATACTCTCAAGTTTAATTAATTTATAAATAAAAGCGAAAGCTTTAAGCTTGGGTGAATGGTGATGGTGTAATTTTGTTATATATTTGTTTGTATTGTAAACTACAAGTTTACCTGACGTGTTGGATGGCAAACGAACGCAGGCAAGAGAGCCCGCCCCCCCTTGACTCTCTCTCTGCCTTTTGGGATTGTCTCCTCGAAACTGTAGCTGCTGTTGCTGCTGTTCTTGTTGTTGTTGATTTTGTTGCAGACCAGAGAATTGTTCTTGCCTCTCTCGGCGTTTGGCAGCAGGAACCCAAGTGCTCTTGACGTGGGTTTGGCACTGAAACCCTCGGCTCTTGCAGCAAGTTCTGCACCTCATGTGAGGGCAGTCTTTCTTGGCTTGGTTCCCGCAGTCTTGGCAATTCATGCCGCTGCTGCTCGACCCTCCTAACCCTCCCCCACCACCTTGCCTCATCACCGCGAGTCTCAATCCTGAAGACAGATCATCCGCAGGGACGACGTCGTTGTGGTTGTGGTTGTGGTTGTGGTTGTGGTCGTTGTCGTCGTTGTGTAAGTGTCTTCGGCTGTAACTAGGATCCACTCCAAACGAGTAGTAGTTCAAATTCTGGTGTGGGTGATGATACTGGGAAGGCCATATCTCGAAGCCCTTGTTGTAGATCTCGGCCTGTCCCTCGTTTGATGATCTGTACAAATACAGGTTTCCTCCTCCTCCTCCTTCCACTCTTTCTTGATCTCCTCCTCCTCCTCCTCGGCCCTCTTGTTTGTTGCTGCTTGTTGGAGCTTGATCTCTTCCGCCTAAGCAAAACAAGCCAGCCATTTCTGTGATGACCTCAATTTTGGGTACAAATCCATATCATCAAAATCCTGAGGAGCTTTGGTACTGTAGGGATATTAATTAAGCAGGGTTTGAGCCAGCTTTGCTTTTTGACCTCATTCTCTTAGCTCTGTGACTCTCTGAGTGTGTGTGAATCTATGTGTGATCCTGTTACGGGGTTTTGGCAGCTTTTTGAGGGGCAATTGTTGGGAATATTTTAGGGTAAGAATATTAGACAAAAGAACTAGAGGAAGGGTTGGGTTGGGTAGAGTGAGCAACTGGAGGGGTTTTTGAATTGAATTCTACTTCTCTGTGGTAGTTCGAAGCAATAATAATGGCACGGAATTAGAGCCCTGCAACGCCGCCATGGAAACTGCACCCACTCTGCTCTTACTGCTCCTCACTTAACTTAACCCCTCTCCCTCCCTTCCCTCCTTCCCTCCTCATTTATGACAACTACTGCGCCAACTTGACAACTCTCTCTCTCTCTCTCTCTCTCTCTCTCATATGCAAGTTTTCTGTGTATGAGTGAGAGAGAAACTGACTGTGAGCGACTGAAAGATCGACTGATGAGTGAGGGGAACCAACAAAAAAAAGATCTGTCACTCGCCAATTCTTCTCTCGGAGTCTTCTTCCAGTTTCAATGAACCTCATCGATCCACCATCGTCGTTTCACCACCCAACGGTCATCATTCCTCCACGTGTCACTCCATCAGCTTTTGCTTATTCGTCATTGCACCGGAAAACCCGCTTACCACTTTTTCTGACCAATCCCTATAATTAAGATTTTTTTATTTTTACCCATTTTCAATTTCTCACAAAAAAAGAAAAAAAAAAGAACATCGCGTACTCATCCTCCCATGCTCCTTCAAAACCCTCCATCACCAACGTATATGTGCACGCCACGTGTGTACTTTTAATGACATATTTAAATTTATATAAATAGATGGATTGTTTGTAAGAGGAAGAGGAGCGCCCGTGACATTATCCAAGGAATTTCCCATAAAACCAAAAAGAAAGAAGGGAATAAATAAAAACATTTTGTGAGGTAACGTAATTTCGAAGTTTACGAAATTCTAGGGAAAGCCTTGCCTGTATTAGTTTTCTCATCGTCGGATGCCTCGTATTCCCCTCAAAATTCTTCGCGTAATCATTTTATGATTGACTAATCGATGCGAAATTGGGTTTTTTAGTAATTGCAATAAGGTCAACATCTTTTGATGGGTATATTTAACAGAATTAGGCTCCAAGGGCTGTTCCTATGCGCTGTAGGGCATGCACCCAGATCTATGTTGGATATATGCCAGCAGGCTCCAAAATCAAGTTTTTCAAACTCATCTCGTTACTTGTACATTTGTCAATACTGTTCGTAACAGTAATAAACTCTTTTTACCCAAGGTGATATTCATTTTGGGTAGACACAGATTATACGGCACACATTTTATATGCTAAACGTTGTTAACATGTGATTTGACTGCCGCTTAATCCCAAAAATTCATAATTGATTAGATTACATGAATGGGATGGGATGGGATTAAACCATTGTCTAAATTCATGCACCCTTTTCTCTTCTCTTTTTTTTTCTTTTTTTTTTATAAAAAAATGTTGCTGTCACTGGTTTTCAATCCTACTGTTTTCGTGCGCATGACTTTTTGGGTAGTAGCGCAACAGTTCGTATTGGAATAGTGCTTTTTGCACAAAAATATATGTACAGATGAGACACAAAAGGGTAAGACAAGAAAAATAGAAGAAGAAGAAACAACAAGACACAAAGGTAATATAAAGAGGTCATTTTTAAGCTTTCTTTAGGAACGAATACAATACATTCTATTCTATACTTTTTGGTCCCTCGATTGAAGGGTATGTTTTACTCTTTCTTTTTATTATTTAATGAAATTTAATAAAGTTTTTATGAAATTTAGTGGTGAAAAAAATAGGCCAAAAATATTTGACCCCTGAATAATATGGATATTTAAGATTGAAATGAAGAAATCATGGGTTGCCTGCCAATTAGCATGAGGTCCATGACTGGAGATAATTAAGCAGCATAAAGCATTTGGCCAAAAGCTGGGTTTGTAAGAGAAAATGCCTTTTCATCAAAGTAAATCAAGTGAAGCCCCCGAATTAGTGCCCACTAACTAATTATTGGATTTCAATTGGTATTATATAAAAAAGTACGGACTCCGGCAGCCTAGTCGTAGTCGCGCCGTACACTGATCTTGAGTGAGGCCTTGATTAAACAAAGAAAAGCTTCCATGTAATTAGTATTACTACTTTGAAAAAGATTAATTATGCTTTGGTAGTCAAAAAAAATCCCCGAAAATAGGGTAAAAAGTTAGACTAGGGAGCCTTTGCTTTATTCCAATGAAAAATTTGTACCCCAGTTGGTGTCCTATTACCATGGAGTGTATTAATCTAACATCATTTAGACTATTGGTAGATTTTTGTGTGGAGAAAGTTAAATTGTGCATGTAGCTTTGAAATCAAATCAATTGGGCCACCTAGGTGTTGATGTGGAAATGGGACATTTGGACGAGGAAGAGAGAGTAATCAACCATCCAAATAAATAAAGAAAAAGGTTTGAGAAGAATTCCCGGAAAAAGAAATTTTTTTGAATTGATGGAGAGAGAAAAGGGAGGGATGGAGGGGGTTTTAATTAGAGATGTGAATTGATGTGTGGAAGTCCCAATTATTGTGTCTCAGTAGGTCTTTCACTCTCGAGCCCAGTGCTTTCTTCTTCAAGTTGACTCTTCTTCTTTATCTTCTTCGTCTTCTTTCATTTCCTTTTTCTCACTCCTCCTCTCGATGAGCCGGATGTCAAAAGCTCAGTTTTTACAAACAACGGCCATGCTCTAGTTTCCCTCAGCCCCCCCCATCCATGCTTCTTAACATCATAGATTAGATAGGCCATACCCAATCCCCACGTGGAAAGACCTTTTTTTTATTTTGCGTACTATATAATTTCTTTACATTCATTTACCTAATTACGTAAATGTAAATAGTAGGAACTTGCCTGCCGAATACGTAATTACGTGAATAGTAAAGGTGGGGCCAGTAAGAGTAGATGTAGAGGTGGTCCCCTCCGTATATTGTTGTAACTTGTAGGGTAGGGGTGGGTCCAAGTTGAAGTTGGGGTGGGGTCTCAGTGTCAAGTGCATGTGCCCACTGCCCGACATCATGAGAATTTAGTTTTTTAGGTTGAATTTATAGACGCTAGGTTTGCCTTTATAAAGCAGAGATTATTGGTATATTGGCCGATAATAATATGCCATTATGTCTCACGAAAGGTTACACACCCACATTATATCCTCTCCCTCTCTTTGCCAAAGGCTCACTCACTCACTCAGCCTAAAGCAAAACAACACACGAAAGGAAATAATGCAAAAAGACATACACGAATTAAAAGAATAAAAAGAAGGAAAGGAACCAACAGGATGAAAAGGGGAGAAGTGCCTCTGCCTCCTCGGCTTTTGATAAAAACGAAAAGGAACATTCTTTAATTAAAAAGTTTGAATTATTTCATATAATTATAGGATAATGTATTTCTCAATTTTAAGAAAAACTGTGCTTATAATTCAAGTGATAAAGAGCAAATGCCGGTGCACCCGGAGTCCCTCTTTTTTGCTATCACTTACATATTTTTAGGGTGTTGTTAAAGGAACCATAAAATTAACTAAGTACTCCCTAATTTTAAAATCAAAATGTAAAATGAACTAGGAAAAACTGCGCTACAAAGAACTTATAACTTAAGTGATTAAGAGCAGCTAGTGGTGCACCTGAGCTCTCTCACCACCACTATTGCTTACATAAAAATAAAATAATAATAATAATAATAATAATAAAATCGGTTCAAACTAACCCAGCAGAAAGGGGACTTGGGCCTAAAGTCTAAAGAGAATGCATATGAAAGAACTAGGCCTGGTAAAAAGGCTTTAGACGGAAACTCAGCGAACGAATCTGGGGAACAGAGGCCCACAACAGTAACAACAGGGAACAGGCCATCTCTTTAACCAGGTTAACCGAAGGGAGTTGGTCTAACCCAATTTAGCAGGCTGGCCCAAGGAGAGAAGTGGCGCATAAGAGATTAGTTTTAATACAAATTTATAAATAAACCTAATCCTAGACATGTATTTATAAAAAAACCCAAGCACGATTTAAACATAGAAACACACCTAAAATCAACAATTGTATATTTTTTGGGTGTGTTTATAAATGGATTTTGAGTGTGTGTATTAATGGGTTTTGGGTGTGTTTGTAAAGTGTTTTGGGTGTTGAGTTTTTTTATAATTTCAGCCCCCATTTTAGGTGTTTTAGTGAAACTCCCTAGTTTTAAAGGATACGATTAATTATAAACAAATTCATGACATAAATTGAACCACCAAAGCGTAGCATTTAAATAGCACATAAATTATTATACAACTTCAACATCAGGCAACCATAACATGAACTTATTAACCCCATGATCTATATTATCTAGGAGATCAGATCAGATCAGATCAGAGTATATTTACAAAAGCCCCCATATATTGTCTAGTGATTGGATGTATGCAGAGACGCAACAGTGGAGACCAAGGAATCCACCCCACAAGGATTATGACCTCTGCAGATCTTGTAATAGCCCTCCTCTCCCCAACTCTGTCCCCATGAGTTCTTCAAGATCCAGTAAGGCTTCTCCTTAAATCGGATCGGAGCAAAACCAGAAGAACCATACCCCACCAGAAGCACTCCATGATCGATACGCTTTCCGCAGATGTAAGGGCATGAAACTCCCTTTACGTATGTTTGCATAAACATGGCATTGATCCCAACTGCACCCACCATGCGAAACAAATTCAAGATTCATTGTCATTGTCATTGTCTCCAGCTACATTGTTTAATTCTACTAAAATGGTACAAGTAAAGGATCAAAAAGAGAGTAGAATCCAGTTCTAGGAATGCTAGGCTAAAGTACCTGCAAGTGGGCCATGGTGCACCAAATTTGCAGCAATTTGATCTTCGTCTGTGGAAATAACGCTGAAGTTAGATACAGCAGCAACAACTTTGCTCTTGTCAAATTTGCAGGTATCATCAGTCCCAGTGTAAGGATAGTCCTTCTCTCGCTCTAGTCCACCAGCCTTGAGTGTGTACTCGAATGCATTGTTCATCAGCCCACCATTACACCCCGAGTCGCATGAACCAAATTCTTCTGGATCACACTGCAAAAGGTACAGGCTTTAATATAAGAGAATGCCATGGTGATAGTGAAATCGCCGTCGTCCCTAATCCCTGTGTTGAGATAAGGATTAAGGAAGCAACCCAACTTCCCAAATTAACACACACTGACACTTGCAGAGCCTTATCTAAATCTGTGACTTTCCTATCCCTAATCCTTATGTTGAAAAAAGGATTAAGGTAGAAAGCCGGCTGCCCAAATTAACAAACATTGACACTGCCTCTACCACTAGTACATGTCAAAGTCAGTTTTTTTCTGCACCATGAGTGTTTACCAAACAGCATACTGTCTCAAACAACAAATAGTTCTCTTAGTTTACGGTATCTACAATAAAAATCAAATATTCAAATGCATGTCATATTGGAAAAGTAAATGGAAGAACAAAAACTAGAGAATTTATTCCAACACACCAGAAATCGTTAGAGACACTGCAATACAGTCAAATTCATACACTGAATGAAGCAACTAGCTTTCAGGGTTTGTTAAACTCAATTAGGAAAAGTTTCATACTTTTAAGTATAGCAAAGATCAACAGATTATTCATTCTCTTAGCAAGGTAATTAATGGTAAAAATGTAAAATAGTAGAACCTCATGGTCGCAGTCCACAAGCTGCTGCTCACTCAGACTCAAGAGCTCCCCTGTTTCCAAATAATGAGCTCCTTCCAATGCTCCCGTCGCACTAAATGCCCAGCACGACCCACAAGACCCCTAATTTCACCGTCCACCCCACGAAAACAAAGTTAACAATCAATAAACATACCAAAAACCAAAATATATATATATATATATTTACCTGGTCCTTCACCGGTGTGACAGCACCTTTGTCGCGCCAATCGAAGTCGGTGGGAAGATCATTGGTAGGAAGGATGGGAGCCTTGTTAGCGTCTGATGGCAGCCGGAGACGCTTTAGTCCGAGAAAATTCCGGCGAAACTCCGACGGAGTGAGATCGGAGAACTTTGTGACACCGTGGACGGCAGTGGGGTCGAGCCCCTGGTGGCGCTTGGCTCGGCGCAGGTTCGCCTTAAAGACGCCGAACCTGTAGTCGTGCTCCTCTTGAGTGGCGTAGGTCCTTCCGAACGTAGCTTTGAAGCTGGAGAAGTGGCGCTCGGCGTGGAGGAGTAGATTGTCGTTGGCTTCCGGTACGACTTGTTGGATCAGAGGGTCAGCGTCGTTAGGAGTTACGGTGGACGCGAGCGCAGAGGTCAGGAGAGAAAGGAAGAGGAGGAGGGAGACGAGAGTGGTGGAACGATCCATTGCTAGTGTGTGTGAATGTGAGGAGCGTTGAGAAGCATTGAAATGAAGGGATTTTATTGGATTTTTCAGAGATATCGGATATTTTTGGGATTGGGTGTGCTTCCCAGAAGATTGTAACTTTGTAAATACGTGGTTTGTTTTGGTTCGTATGTTTGTCTCCAAGTTGAGCAACAAACCAAATACGAGAAAGAGATGGGTTGGTTCCCTCTGCTACATACGACTTTTTGGTACATGGTGATGGCTTCTACTCCATTATGCTGCTTGTCATCTTGCGTCCCTCCATACAAATGTCCCCTTCCTTAATTTAATTCATTTTGTTTAATTTGAATTATGAAATTAGGCCAGAGATGCTCAAAAAACTGGAGCCAACACTTATTTTTATTTTTTACAAGTGATATTCTAAACTACTTTAAAGTATGGAAAGAGAAACAAACTCGAGTGTAATAGAACAAACATACTCCCTATGTCAACCGACTTAACCCACATTTGTAAAATCCAACGTATTAAAGGCATGTCATATTGGGTTGTCATACTACATTCAAGTATTGGGCTGTGCAACTGGTGAACTTAAATCCGAATGGGGCAAATCGGCCCAATTCGTGTTAGGTAGTGTTCGGGGTAGCCCAACTTAATTTTGGGCCTACGTGGGTAGCCCAACTTTGAGCATACAAAAGAACCAACAAAGGAAAAGGCGGGACAGGTTCCGAGTCTTCTGACCCAAGAGTGCAAGGTAATTACCAGACGCCTACACAAACGCGGTGTTTTTCGTAATTCTATAATTACTTTTACCGCCTGCTTTCAGGGGGTATAGATCAGGCGTACACAAGCCTGCGGTAACCCAGAGATTTATTGGTTGCAATCGGGTAAAAGTCAAATAACCGACGATATTCTTCTCTTTCAACTAATAGTTCGACGACACGTACAAAGTTTGCGTGATTTAAAGGCTGCTGTGCTTTGGGGTTAATTAGTTAAGGCAGAGGCGCAAAGGCAAAGAGAAGAGAGCGTCTCCCTTTCTTACAAATTTTGACTTGCGGTTAGCTTTGGGGGTCTCTGGTCAGCCAGAAACCGCAACAATCCCTAAGATTTTGGGAGGTTTTGAGAAGTGAGGCAAGTGGGACGATGGAGGAGGAGCGTGGTAATGGTAGTAGTAGTAGCAGGAACTTGGACACAGGGAAGGCCGAGAGCCCGGTGTGGCTGATGAAGTGCCCGGTGGTCGTAGCCAAGTCATGGAACTCTCACAATCCCTCTGATCCCCACCCTCTCTCCAAAGTCGTCCTCTCTCTCGATCCCCTCCACGCCGACGACCCCTCTTCCCTCGAGGTTCTTATTACTTTTTTTTGCAATTCGATCGCTTTTCTGAGTATACTTGGTGTGCTTTCGGAGTTCATGTTATGAATTTGTTAATTAGTGCTAGAATTTTGAACATTTAGCTTCAGCTCAATTACCTTGCAGCTTAAGCTTGATTGCTACTTATTCTTTGGTAAACCCTAATTTCTGTAGTGCTCGACGACTGATTGCTTGTGTTTTTGTGTTCATAGTCTCATTCTTACAACTTGATTGATTGGGGTTTTGTAGCTCATATTGATTTCAAAACCGAATGCTTCTTCCTTTCTATTCTCCATTGATTGTTTGCTTATGCTCTCTAATTTTGCAATCAGTTCAAAATGGAGATGGCTGGCAGCAGTGGGGCTGCGAATTTGCCTAAAAGTTATTCCTTGAATATGTTTAAAGACTTCGTTCCCATGTGCGTTTTCTCCGAGACAAATCAAGGTGAGGATCAGGAATTACATCTTCTGGCACTCATCCTATTTATACTTTTTCTTTCGTAAATACCTAATGTAATTCTTCTTTTTTGGTTTTAATAATGCACTTTCAAGGTAATGTTTCAACTTTGTGTTGATTGCAAACATTTCTTCTCTTTCATGCTGGTGTTTGTGATTTCATGATATGTCGTCATGATTTTAGCACTGATGGCGCTGTGCCTAGTCTAAGTAGCGAGATTTCTTATATTTGACCATGGCACATTAAACAAATATGGAAAAAAAATTCGGTTTTGGGCTGTTGAAATTGATTGGTCGAAGACATATGATGTATCTCTGTTGTAGATTACGAACATGTATGTGTGGGTATCCAACTACTTAGGCTATCCTGTACAACGTTATTGCCTAATTGCTCTATCTATTATCTAGCGCCATTTTGTCTATCAAATCCTATGTTATCACTGTGCCTTTATCTTTCCTCCTCAACCATTTTACTAGCCTTTATCTCATAGTTGTAGAACATTTTACTTCTTCACCCTTTTATTGTAGTAAAAAAATCGTCTTCATTTTAGGCAAGGTTTCTATGGAAGGGAAAGTAGAGCATAAGTTTGACATGAAGCCCCATGGTTCAAACATTGAGGAGTATGGAAAATTGTGTCGTGAAAGGACAAACAAGTCAATGATCAAGAATAGGCAAATACAGGTAGCCATTATCTGCCATACGTTTCTGAGATAACAGCTCTTGTTGTATATGAATAATTGATTTTATTTGTCTCTCTTGCTGCTTTAATTCATTTTAAAGGTGATTGACAATGACCGAGGAATACATATGAGGCCCATGCCTGGTATGATTGGCTTGATTTCATCCACTTCCAAGGTATCAACTTCCTTCCTATTCATTCTTTGCACAAACTAATATCAAAAGAAGGAATAAGTTCTTGAATTATCTATGGCAGGATAAGAAGAAAACTCAACCGGTTAAACAATCAGACATGAAAAGGACTAGAAGAGACCGTGGGGAACTGGAGGATATCGTGTTCAAGTTATTTGAAAGACAACCAAATTGGACTTTGAAGCAGCTTGTGCAAGAAACCGATCAGCCTGCTGTATGTCTCTTAGCTGTTTGCTTATGCTTAGCTAAATGCTATACTCAGATTTTGCAACTTCGTAATAATTTTTGCAATTTAGAATTAGTTCGTTTTATGAATAGCTCAAATCTTTAAATAAATGTCTTTGCATTGGGTTAGAAACTTATTTCATATTGTGTTTACTGAACAGTGGCTACATTTTTTAAATGTTCTCTTCATGTGCAGCAATTCTTGAAAGAGATACTGAATGAGCTCTGCGTGTACAATAAAAGAGGAACTAACCAGGGTACTTATGAGCTTAAGCCGGAGTACAAGAAATCTGTTGAGGATACTGCTGAATAAGTTTTTCTCTCTGCCTAGTTTAGCACCCTCCAATTTTTCTTCGGAGAACAGGTAGTTCAAGATTTATCAGCAAGAAGAAAGGGTAGCCTGTCGGTGTGGGGGCGACAGAGTAACACTATCAACAAGAACTGTAACATGGGAGGCAATAGTTTACTTTTTATTTTCCTATATTTTTTTTACAGCCCGAAAGGTGCAGTTATAAACTTATAATGTTTGTTTGATCTGACAAGAGACGGTTAAATGCTTCCATAAACAGATAAACTTACTAGGCAAACGTGTGATTTGAAATTAGCTTGTACATTAAAACATTCACCAAGGATTTTAATTGAAAAATTTGAGAACAGTTTTGATACTTACTGGACGGGTGCACATCACTTCGAATATCCATTACCGATTTAAAATTTCAAAATAAATGCATAGAGCTTGTAGTTCAAGTCGTTAATTAACGAGGTTTTGGTTTCGAATTATCCTCCCCGTATAGATACATCATTACAATTTACATACCCGAGATGAATGCCTCTCCCCAAGCCAGTGTGGGGTTTCTCCTCCTCCTCATCCAGTTTTTGAGGACCTCTCTCATCTTCCTTTCTTCGGACACGTAAGGCCAACTTGAGGATGGGCCCAGACTAATTGAACATTGGGGCCTGAGATTTTGGTCCAAATTCGATCAGCCATTCTTTAACAGGCGACTACCCGCTAATAAACTGGGCTAGTCAATGGGTATGCTTTTCTACATTGATACCGCAACATTTGGTTAATTTTTCATTCTGATATAAAATTAACCCGAAAGAGACAGATGATCGAACCCTAATTTCAATGCAAAACTCAGTGGAAGACTTGAATTATTGGGAGGCCTTGGAATGCGACCTGTATCTCAATCAAGCAAGCAAATGAAGACGATCGAGGATCACTTTTGCATTGTCTTTCTTTCTTTGGACCTTTTTTTCGCTTTCAATAAATGAATAATGAGTTTGTATGAATATGGAATGCGAAACCTAACTATTTGAAAATTAAAGCAGCGGCCGCCACTAGACCAACATGTAGATTTGCTATTCAAAATTTTATGATGCCCACGCTATACTATACCTTTTTTTTCTCGAATATCATCATTCCGTGCTAGCTGCACGTTATTATTTCTACGCACAAATGCATATACAGATATTATTCATCATGTCAAGTCAAACAAATCGTAAGAATCTTTCACATATATATGTATGCAGGTCGGTTTCCCAATCCATGTTTATTATTTTAATTAATTTATTTACTAGTGTGTGTAATTTGTGTGCGCGAGATAATAGAAACCCTAATCCAGTATTTCATGCATGGGTTACGGCGTGATTAGACTAGTGGGAGTCTTAACAGCAAGGGAAGATTTCTTGGTAATTGACATTTATAAAGACGTGACAAAATAAATGAACCCCACAGTGTGCGAGTGGATGTTTCAATATAAATTGCATGAAGATACACATTATTTAATTAATTATGCCTAGCTAGAATTAATGACGTCGATCGAGGCCTTGTCAATTCTCAAGCACCAAAGGCCACTGATTTCAGCGTGTACAGGAGCAAGAAATTGACCAACCAGGAATCTTGTTTGTCACCTTTGGAAGATTTTAAGAGAAAACTTCAGCACCACAAAAGTAAGATTCCAATACTGTCTGTCTATCTATCTATCTTCTCATTCTCAAACAACATGATCAACTGAGCCAGCCAGCGATCGAGGCATCAACTTGTTCGTGGAAATGCACTAGTTAGTTAGTGGGTTGGGTTGGGATAACCCAGCTTTGGGACCCTTCCTTTCTCATTAATGGTGCAATTCATGAAAGCGAAGGCTAATGGGAACTCGGTCACTCCCATGAACGTGGATGCCAAAAGTGGCAAACCAATTCATGGAGAGAGAGATATATATGTATTGAGGCATTTATTAAGGTAAAGTTAAACCAACCACCATTCCTCAATCCCCCCCCAAAAAAAAAAAAAAAAAAAAAAAAAAAAAAAAAAAAAAAAAAAGTCAAAAAAACAAAAAAGGAGAGAGCCAACTTGACTTTGATGGACAGCGATTAATTAGTATGTTATGGATGTTTTGACACGCAATATTAATTCATGATAATCTACATGATCATGTCTAATCATGCAGTAAGTTTCTCAAAATAAATATCCGTGTTAATTAGCTCCATCCATCCAGCCCTAGCTAGCCCTTTACAATGTTTGCACACAGTGCAATTAGCGGTGGGTGGAATCACTTTTGTGCCAAAAGAAAAGAGCCAAACAAAAGCAATAAAGAATCAGTACTAGTGGGTTTATCTGGTACAAGATATGAAAAAGAAACCAACCAAGAACCAACCCACATAAAGCTTCAGAGATCTTTCCAAACGAGGGATTAATCGGTTTGCCTTTATCTCTCATTCCAATTTTAATTTACCAAACATGCACACACAGTTTTCCTCTTCTTATTGTCGTATTCTACTGATTCGTTTTGGAAGATTGTATATGATCATTCCAAGAACCACAATGGCCCCCCCTCCCCAATAATTTAATAACCTCAACTTGCATCTTCATAGCTATACATATAGAAATCAGAGAGAGAGGGACAAATTATAAATTAGTTATCCAGAAGAACAATTGAAGAAAGAATCAAACCCGGAATTTCAGCATCTCACTGGGACAGTCGCCCACAGCAAGTCATATCCTAGTTCAAATCATCATCACCTTATAAATTATACATGCATTAGTTTGATATCAATTGGATCAGAGGCTTTTAAATATAAGTGGGTCTAGTTTTAGTTGAGCGGCGGTTCAAATATAATATCTGTCTGGCAATATTTTAGATGCCAAACATGTGTTTTATGCGCATTTTTTAAACCGACAATGAATGAAAGTTGAGACAATAGCATAAGACTAAAAGAGAAAGCATGAAACACGTCCAACCATGACCACAGCATTACCCCAAGCCCAAAGCTTTTAAAACTTGTTGGTTCAGAGGCCTTGAACGTGGCTTGAAATGTTTCATTTTAATTACTTTGCCAAGTGATCCTCTTTGTAATGGTGCATTCAAGCAATGACCCACATCTATCACAGAGAGAGAGAGAGTATAACCCTAGCTTGCTAACACTGAACGCGACGTAAGATAAGAATTGCGTGATTGGCCTAGCATTGTCCATTTTGACTAGATGGCAAAGGTACCTATGGGAGGAAAAAAAAAAGAAAAAAAAGAGACATGAGAAGATTCATTCATATTGTCTTGAAAGTGCTAAACATTACTTTGAATTGTTTAAAGTCACTCTTTTGCATTCGACCAGTTGGTTATTGCTGCCTCCTAAATTTTTCCAACATCTTAATCATGGGGTTTTCCCTTGATTTATGTGATCAAATGGGTTAATCAACGTTAATTGCATCTGAAGAACATCATTAGTAGTGGTAATAATGCGAATTAATTCGAATGATCTGCTGCCGTACAATATGCATATGGCTGTCTAGAGGATGCACGGTATATATAAACACCCTAGCTGTCAACGTGCCACGTGTTCTAGATGCACATGTAATGTTGGTGTCACCACCATGTACGCAAATTCATCCAATCCATATACGTAAAGCTCGAATTCATCTTATATATGTTATATAATAGAATATACAGAAGCCCAGAAAGAAAAGCTCCCCTGCCCAAAAGTAAACAGATGGTAACATTATACACAGCCTTAACATAAAGGAAATACAAATAAAATGAAAAGGAGAGCACTGTTTTCCGCAGCAATAATTACTGGATCCACTCACACAAATTCAATATTATTCGGCCTTCAAAAATAGCAGCTCCAAAGCAAAAGATTCGTAGCCATAGGAAAAAAAATTAGCATTGTTTTGGTATTCCCGTTCAATAAATGTTATATCACGTGGAAATATTATTATGTGTGTCAGATTGTCAGTGTTATTCACCAAATGCTATCACCGTTTCATGGAAATCTTTATCTAGCCATAGGGTATATATATGCATCCAGCATATCCTTGATACTCACATTCTTTTTCCATATTAAGGCAGAATCATATAGTGTAAAACGAAAGTCCACTACATACTTATGTACTACTTGCCCTACCCAACATTTTCGAATCTCTCGTTTTAGGCTCAAACTTTGCTTAATTTGCATCGCATAAATTGAAAGAAAAGAAAAGGTTGATCGTGTTGTGTTTAGTTTATAAAGGAAAAAGATAAAGAGAAAAAAGAACAGAAAAAGAGTATATTTTAATGAGTCAAAGACGGAGAGAGGGAGTCGACCAAACACTGGGTAGGAAGATTCTCTCGTGCAAACAAAATCTAATTTCAGCTGTCAGTCATGTAATTATGCAACTGCAAAGAGAATGGAATTGAGCAAATGCAATTAGCATCACAACTGGCTTGGTCAGGGTGGTGTCCGACCGGTTAGTGCAGGCCGGGTCAGAACCCCGTCCTTCTCTTCCGAACCTTAACGATCAAGAGATTATATACATATATATATATATAATATATATTGTTACTTACTGGGGCAGGCCTAGGCCTTGTTCTTCTTTTGAAATAGAAGAGAATGATGGTGGTCTCAATTGAGGGGAGGCAGCCTGTCTCTTAAAGCGAGGAGGCTTCATATCAATGAGGATATATCACTATTGATCCAGCCAACTTTGGGAGTGGCCAGTCACCAGTCGGAATAATATTTACTCGCTCGCTCAGTGTCAGTGGAAAGAAAGAAACACTTTGATATATTTTTATTTTATAAAACAAAAGATATTTAATAAAGACGCTTTAATTCTCTACTTCATGATTAATTAACGAAAGACCACCATTAGTTTTTCTTGGTTTAGTTTATATTCGAAAAGAAGGATCAAGGAGCTAGAAAAGATGGATTCTTCCTGTTGGCTATTACTTTTCTCTTTTTGAAAAATGTACACTGCCTGCCATATATATGGATATGGTCCTGCATCTCTATCAAAGTGGCGTATATTTTTTTCTTACCTTTCTCCTCATCAAATCTCAATTCTCAACCGAGGGTGGACCACCCTCGTCCAAAACAAGGCTTTTATCCATCCCATGATCTTAAATCTTAACCACCATTTCAACCGAGGGTGTTCTCTCTCTCATTCTCTGAAAATGAGAAGACTATACTCGTTAGGTACGTAATGCAACTTGAGATCATCATCACATCAAGGATATCCTTAGTGCCAACAAAGGTTTGATACCTGTACGGCGGATATAAATTAATCGTGTAGGCAAGTTTCATGCTCTAGGGAACAGTAAAACTATTAACTAATACAGATAAAATACACACAAATAAATTACACAGTTGATATAAAACTATACACGTGTGTGTGCAGAGTAGAATATTTAGTTAAAGGGTGGTGGGGAATGGGGGGATGTGGTGGTGGTGGTGGGGTTGCAGGTTTTCAAGGGGGATGAGAACGCATGGCATATGGGCATATGAGGCTCCCACATCCCCTCGTGCGCGCTATCTATCATGAATCATATATGGATCCTCATCCATGGCGGCTCTTTCCCCTACCTCTTAATACCTAATACCGCTACCTCTTAATTATCATCATTAATAGCGTGCTGCCAAAACAGAAGAAGCTGTTAAATAAATAATTTCATTTCATTTTTCATATACATGTAGCTTACTGGTGGTAGTGCGATCGATTGGGGACTTGTCTTGTCAGCCAAGCCCCAAGGGAGAGAGAGAGAGAGAGAGAGAGAGAGAGAGAGAGCAGAATATTATGTTATGTGATGTGGGAGACAACCAAAAACATTTCAAGCTTAACAATAGTTGACATAACGTCTTTTTAGGGCCCTCCTGGGACCCCCACTCCCCTTTCCTCTCACTCTCGAACACTCTCTCTTGAGTCTTGACTCTGTTGACCTCCCTTCCCTCTCTATATTTATATCTCTAACTTCATCCCTAACTCTCCACCACTTCTCTTCTTCTTAATTACTTCTCTTACTTTGTAACAACACCAGCTATCACTAATTTGCTAGCTTGATCAGCTAGCTTAGGTGAGATCGTATTTCAATGGCTGATGCAGTAGGTTCAGCCTCTGCGAAGAGAATGTGTTGTTCGGTGCCTGAGAGACTCCAACTGCATGGGGCCATGCTGGCCTTGCAGTTTGGCTATGCTGGTTTCCATGTTGTCTCTAGAGCTGCCCTCAACATGGGCATTAGCAAGCTTGTCTTCCCTGTTTACAGGAACATCATCGCTCTGCTTATGCTCCTTCCCTTTGCCTATTTTCTAGAGAAGTACGTATATATATCCTCACTACTCATAACCTACGTACCTACCATTAATTAATTCTTCTCTAGCAATAGTTCATATGAATTAACATGTTTTACTTCTTATTATTAATATCAGGAAGGACAGGCCTGCAATTACACTAAACTTTCTCGTTCAGTTCTTCCTCCTGGCGCTTATTGGGTATGACTGAAAAAAAGAGTTGCACATTAATTTGATGAAAATTCCAAGACTTGTATATTGTGATATTTGATCTCTTTTTATTTCAAACTAATTATATATCTTTTTCCCCACAGAATAACAGCAAACCAAGGATTCTACTTGCTGGGGTTGGACAACACATCTCCAACCTTTGCTTCTGCCATCCAAAACTCCGTCCCAGCCATCACCTTCCTCATGGCAGCCGTACTCAGGTAAGCTTTAACTCAATTTCCCTCTTGCATGTATGAACAATACAAGTTAATTAATGTTTCAATTCTTAATACGTTCTTAAGATTAACTAGTAAGTATGGCCCTATATAATTACACATTGCAGGATTGAGCACGTGAGGATAAACCGAAAAGACGGTATCGCAAAGGTGATCGGAACAATTTTCTGCGTGGCCGGAGCCTCCGTAATCACTCTGTACAAGGGTCCCACCATATACAGCCCAACTCCCCCACTGCAGATGATGAGATTGATGGGCAATGCTACCTCCATAGTATCATCATCATCATCATCCTCATCATCTTCATCAGCAATAATGTCAACACTTGGTGATGCAAATGGCAAGAGCTGGACTCTGGGTTGCCTGTACCTGATCGGGCATTGCCTGTCGTGGTCCGGCTGGCTCGTCTTCCAAGCCCCGGTTCTGAAGAAGTACCCAGCTCGGCTCTCTGTGACCTCCTACACCCTCTTCTTTGGTCTCATACAGTTCATCGTAATCGCTGCCATTTTTGAGAGAGACGGTCAGGCTTGGATCTTTCACAACGGAGGAGAAGTCTTCAGCATCGTATACGCGGTCAGTAACTTATTAGATTAAAAATAAAAGTGTGACACATTAATTATTTCTTAAAATGACGAGCATGCCCCAGTTCTGCTGAGGTGGGAGCCAGTAAAAAAATGAGAGTGGGTCAAATTATTAGGAACAAGTGTTATTCTTTGGCTCGAGATTTAGGCAATAGTTTCCTGGTTAGTGAACAAAAGGCTTGCCAAAGTTAAAGTGTGTCAAAGTCAGCAGAAATAAAAGGAGGCGGCAATACTTGTTCATGTGCGAACAAGTGTCTAGGCTGGCTGGCTAATACTCAAGTATGCATTGCAAATGCAAAAATGCAATAATGCAGGGTGGTGGTGGTGGTGGTGGGGGGTATTGAAAGTGAAATATGAAACTCTTTCTTTCTTTCTTTCTTTCTTCTTTTTTTCTTTCTTTGTTTTGATTAATTAATATTTTTGTGGTTAAATGAATTAATTATGAAATATGATGAAAAATGCAGGGAGTGGTTGCTTCAGGGATCGCATTCGCTGTACAGATATGGTGCATAGACAGAGGGGGCCCTGTCTTTGTTGCTGTATATCAACCTGTTCAGACCCTCGTTGTCGCTATAATGGCCTCCGTTGCTTTAGGCGAAGAATTCTACTTGGGCGGGTACTTATACATACATACATACATACTTGATCATAAGTATAAAGAAAATTTCAAGACATATGACATTTTGGCCTCATCTTTGTTGTCGTGGAATTAATATGTATATTTACATGTAGTAATTAATAATAACAAGGGCGATGTATATTTGACAGGATAATTGGGGCGGTGCTGATCATAGTGGGACTGTACCTAGTGCTGTGGGGTAAAAGCGAAGAAAGAAAGTTTGGTCAAATAGCTCAAGCAAACAGCAGGGCTGGAATTCTGTCCACTCAGGAGCACGCAAACAACAGGAAAAGCCAAGCCAAGACGTCCCTCACTCAGCCACTCATCCCTCCATCAACCGAAAATGTTTGAGATTCCTATTTCCTAACTTTTGACGACAGCCTTGGCCCCTTGGCCTTCAAGATCAGAAGAAGAAGAAGAAAAAAGTACTGCTTTTTCAGTTATATATATCAGAAAGCTTTGTGTGTGTATGAAGGTGTTCCTTTTTTCGTTTTTCTTTAATTTTTTCACTTTTACTCAATCGCTTTCTTAGTAGGGGAGGGAGGAAAAATCAAAGAGAGAGAGAGAGAGAGATCTCATAGGGGGGTGGATATCATGATGATCATTGTCTGCTATCAACTATGTGGGCCTCAGAGCCTCAAATCCCATATGCTTTATATGTTAATTTATGGTTTGATTTACGAAACATTATTGCCTACATTGTCTTTCTTACTAATTCATGCACTTAATTACGATCCCAGCAAGGAAACATAGCACTAATTGACCCAACGCCTCACGTCTATATATAATCACAAGAAGAAAAATCCGATATTGGTTAGGGGTAGGTAGGTGATCTAATTATTGTTTATGATTCTATCATGTTACTAGTGTGGTGACAAAATTACTGGTAAGTTTTAAGAATAATGATAGGGACATCAAATTTGAGTCCCAAATCATGGGGCACATGCTACGTCATAAATATTTAGTAAACTAATTCCATCTTTAAATAATTAAACTTATCGTAAGTTGTACCATTGTTGGCTCTGATCATCATCATCTTGGAAACAAGCATCAGAATTTGAGACTTTTATCATCATCATCCTCTTGGAAACAAGGATTTGATTTTGAGACTTTTGAAACGAAGACCTGGCTCAATTTTGACTCCATGAAGCTGATTGAGGACAGGGGAAATGAATGATGAGAAGAGAAGTCTGATGAGTTCAACCACATAAACCGATTGAATGAAAGAGAAGGCTAAATTAGCTATTTATATATATTTCAGTTTTGACTCCGTTAGCTTTGTGTATATGTTGTGCATCATCATCAATATAGAATCTTATGTGTGTGCATCGGATCCTACACCAAGAGGGTTTGAAGAAAGAGTCTCCACTGAAACCGATTAAATTACAATTTAGTAAGAACAAGCCTCGCTCATGGTGGTATGACGGCAAGTTTAATTCTTTAGGGTCAGCTGCAGGGCTTTTGATTAATTAGGTTTTTAAATTTTTTTTCCTAAAATAAATTAACTAAATTATAATCCAAGTTGGAATTGATTAATTAAATATTTATTATATATAGCACGAGCCACATTATTTGGGACTTAAATTTAGTGCACAAAATTGGTGTCCCTAACATTGCCCGAAGATTTATATGTATAATTATCAAATCCCAACATTATATCATTAAAGTGTTAAGTAAAAGGCTCCACAATAGTAACAAAATTACCTTTTCTCTGGAGAGCGTGCATTTCTTTTATGATTGTAAGATGCTTTTCCTTTTAATGATATGTGTGAATGGCATCCATTCTTTCAATTTTTCCCCCTTGACCATCCTGTACTACTTTAATTTAGTCTTCAAAGAGATATTTTCGCCATCCACAAAAACAATGAACAAATGAATCTCTATATTGAAAAAGGCATGATAAAAATAATTAATGAACAAATGCGCACACTTTGGAATTGTATTAATTCATGAAATTAATTAAAGGTTTCACTAATTGACACATCAACTGTCGTCCCCATCTGTCACACTGGTGCTTGGACCATGCCTACCTTTATAACGCCGAGCCACCCACAAATACACCAAGAAATTAACTCCATTGATGGCTGTCAATATCCAATAAAAGTAATCAAGCTTGCTCATGTTCAAGTCGTGCCTCAACCACCCTTGTTCTTCTCCACCAGTCGCACTGTCTATGATCTTAACAAGGGCAGTGCTTAACCAACTCCCGATCCCAATCTCACTCAAAAACATTGCACTGCTTATGCTTCTCGTACCATCCGTGGCTTCATCGTAGAAAAACTCCAACTGTCCCACGTACGTAAAAACCTCAGCGGTGCCGATGAGAAAGAACTGAGGAAGCAACCAAAACACACTCATCTTGCTCAACGGGTTTAAGTGGTCTCGGCGTTTCTTCTCAACCAAGGCAGCTGAGCCCAGGGCAAAGATTGAGACAAAGAGCCCGACCCCCATTCTTTGTAGCGATGTGAGGCCACGTGGGTGGCCCGTGCGTCTCCGGATGGTCGGAACCATCCATTTTTCGTAGATGGGGACGAGGATGAGGGCGTTGATTGCGGCGAATACGGGGACGGAACCTGCGGGGATTTCAAAGTTGGGGCCGAGGTGGCGGTTGGTTTTGTTGGCTTGGCTGACGAAGAAGGTGGAGAGTTGAGAGAATGAGATGGAGAGGGCTATGGTTGATGTCCATACGGGGAGGACTCTTATGAAGCATTTGAATTCTTCTACTTGGGTCACTGTGCATAGCATCCAACGACTCTTTGGGCTGCCCTCTGGGTCTGTCACCACCGCTGCTTTGTCCAAAAACCTTCACCAAAAGAAACACCTTTATTTCAAGCTTTGGACAAAACAAAGAACTTCATATAATATGCATATTGCTATATAAACGAGGCAGAAATAATTATATATAGACTTACCTATATTGTGTAGAGTGAGGTAGCTTTCGGGCACCCAAGATATCAGACTGGTTGGTCTTAACCTCATACAGATCAGCTTCACGAACCACCTCAACCCCATTAAAATGGTTCCTCGCTGAGGCCACAGCCACCTGAATAAACCTAGTGAAAGGGCTGCCCATGGGCTTTTGATAACGATAATATGGAACACCAGCGGCTAAGATGGCAATGGAGCAGATCATGGCCATCGTTGGAATTCCAAATCCCCAAGTCCACCCTTTGTTATCTTGTACGTAAACCAACACCGTAATTCCCAACAGCGCACCTATGTTTATGGCAAAGAAGAACCAGTTAAAGAAGGCGTATTTGGTTTGGACTTCTCTTGAATCAGCCTCGTCGAATTGATCAGCTCCGAAGGATGAGACGCACGGCTTGATGCCGCCTGTTCCGAGGGCTATGAGGCCGAGTGCGCCGTAGAGGAAGGCAGTTTGGCCGTCGGTTGCCTTGTTGCATGGCCGGGTCGTGCATGGCGGTGGACGTAGGCTGTCTATGGAGGCGGATAGTGTCAACAAGACCATTCCCTATATGTAATAATACGTATGCAAAGCAAAGTCATAAAAAAACAAACAACATCATTCATATGGGCTTTGTCTAGATAACAAGCAGTCCACTTTAGATATCCAAGAAGGCTTGTGGGCCCAATGATCCAAAATCAAAGTGGCGTTACAAATGACAATGCATACCACGGCGTAGACACATGAGAAAATGATGATGGTTTTGAAGCGGCCCAAGTAAGCATCAGCTAAAAAGGCTCCAACAAGTGTGAGAACATAGGCAGCTCCAATCCAATCTGTGACATGGGTGGCTGCACGTGGTAGCGATTGCCGCATCTCAAACACCAAGTAAGCCACCATGTTCACCGCAACGGCGAAAAATGCCAGCCTCTCAGCTACCTCATTCACTGCATGCATTCCATTAATCAGGCAACATAAAGATATGATACATACATACAATTAATGAACATAAATTTGCAATGTTATCATAGTGCGTAATTACCTATGATAAATGGAGAGGCCTTCCATCCTCCAGTTTTTTTCTTGTCTGCAACTTTTCCATGGAAGTCCACACGTCCATTGCTTACCAAACTAGTGGATAGGCTCTCTTCCTACATGTTGATATATCAGTTAGTTAGAGAAAAGAAAACTCTACTCATATCATATGTTGCTCTTGCTAGCTAGTTTGGCTTTGGATCAAGATTGTGAATTACCTTCTCCAAGACTTGGTCAAAATCTTCAAATTTTTCCATGGAGGGCTGAATGAAGGACTTGTCATATGGATCGCCTGCAGCTGATTTAGGTTGCTCCATTGAGACTATGCTATTTGCAAAAGGAGCTGGCTAGGAGATTTATTCAAGCTAACTACGTGCGGGAACCAATTTAAATAAGCTCGCGGCTGTCATTGCAAAAGAAGACTTTGACCTACCTTCATGACTTGGCCCTTCTTACAGTAAGGTTGTGCTGTTTTTAAGTGTTTGTCGGGAGCGGCACTGAAAAATTTTAAATTAAAAATATCTCCGAGTTGGGAGATTGAGCAAAGTGTTGCATAATAAGGCAAGTTGTTGGAGGAGGTTACAATGTTGCTAATATTGTGTACACAACCTAAAAGGCGACGAAAGGGAGGGAGATGCAGGAACTAGTCTCACTGCAGTGCCGCCTAAGCACTTGTTCAAGCGAAATGGACAAAGACTAGATTAGATTGTGTCCTCCATATGGCACATTACATAACATTAACACACTCCTCAATTCCCCAAACTTGAGAATGATGAAAAAACCAAAGTGCATAAGAAGGAACCAACCCAATTCCCCTAATCACCGAGTCTGAGTGTGTGAAGAAATTATATTGGGGGAAATTTATAAATGACCAATAAATTTCTTTCAACACAATTTTCATCAATATTAATGAGATAGATTTTATATAGTAAATAAATAAATTGTTTTTTTTCACTTTACACTTTAGGGTAGGTTTTTCTTTTGTAGCTAGTGTGAGTTTTTTTAGTAGTGAATCCATCATCTTATCTACCTAATTACGCTTAAAATCCGGTTTACCCATAATGAGTTTACCCTGTTATGTGCGCATTCTATATATTATGGAATAATAGATAATATACCTAATATAAATTTATAGGATATTATAATTTATCTATCTTTTTTTTTGGGTAGGATACCTATCCTTTCGTGGATATATACAAGATATTATTATTATTAGGAAAATGCTAGAGGCACCAACTTTGGGCACCAACTTGGGCACCAACTCTCTAATAGAGCGTGGGACCCAGTGTATTGGCGGGCTCCACCTCTATTAGAGAGTTGGTGCCCAAGTTGGTGCCCAAAGTTGGTGCCTCTAGCACCACCCTTATTATTATTCTTCTTTCTTTAGTATCAAGGTAGGTAAATCATTGTTCTTTTTTAAGGAAACATAATCTCTAAAATTGAGAAAATAAATTCCATTCAATGTTAAAAAGAACCATAATTATTGATAGACTATAAATTATGGACTGTAAATTAGGAAACAAGCGTAACATTCGTTCAAAAAATCTTAAAGCGTATATGGCATAGATTGCAATTTAGGTGTATATTATTAGGATAAATATTATCTTACATTGTAACATATTTTAAATTGGAATTTTTGTTGGAAGTAAAAAAAAGGTTCAATTGCAAATATGGGTTTAGCCAAGTTCGCGCAGATGAGCTTCCCACTTTGCGCCGGAGTTCGAATCCCCCTCCCTGTATTTTAGTTTAGTATAAAGTAGATTATCGCTTACATAAAATATAAATAAATTTATGTCTACAATATAATAGTTGCATTACATGGACATTTCCCTTAAGAACCCAAGATTTTATTATAAAGTTTGATACCATATGCCCAAAAACTTGAGATTTTTGGTGATAGAAATTTCATGTGATTTGGATATGCAACTGGCAGCCCAAAATCATGAGTTGCCTTAGCCTATGCCTAAAAACTTATGTGAAGTCGTTAGCCACGGCCCATTTGATGGAAACCAACTAACTCGCAAACAGCAATCATAGAGTCCAGAGAGGAGGTGCATATTCGATTCCAACAAGTGAATATGCCATGAATCATTACGTAATGTTGTGTTGACAAAGAATTTTCTGATTGGAAGTACAAATGGCAGGCACTTGTGCTTTTGACTGACGGTTGGCCACTCTGGCCTACGTGTCCACAACACCAGTCAATCAATCTGCAATCCGTACACTCACTCCTCCTCCTCTTCCTGACTTGAGTTACAGTGTTTCTGATTACAGCCGGTTGCAACTTGCAATTGAGCAGGACAGGACTGCTGGTACTTGTATAAAATAAAAAGAGCAGATTGTAACGAAAAATGGGCAATAGTTTTTAATTTTGTAGCTGGAACAATGAGGAAGGTAACAGGGAGATTGAACAGTGCTGGGCTTGTGGGTATGTTACTGGTTGTCCTGGAGGTCTGTGAGGGTGGGATAACAAGTAGTTATGTTAGAAATGATGACTTGTCCCTTGATATGCCTTTAGACAGTGATGTGTTCCAAGTGCCTCCCGGATATAATGCCCCTCAGCAGGTGTTTCTATAAACCATTCTTTTAAATACTGATTCAAAAACTCTTACGAATTGTTCAAGATTGCATGATTTGATTTCTGGGTTATGGTTTTTCTGATTTCTAAGTGTTATGATTTGTTCAAGGTTCATATAACACAAGGAGATCATGAGGGGAGGGGTGTGATTGTCTCTTGGGTCACTCCAGATGAACCTGGTTCAAGTACAGTGCTTTACTGGGCAGAAAATAATACCAACCTCAAAAACCAAGCTCAAGGCACTATTCTCACTTACCACTACTTCAATTACACTTCTGGTTACATTCATCACTGCACCATTCGCAATTTGGAGGTAAGTAAAGTACCTGCCACTAGGCACTAGTCCCCCTCCCCCATATCATTCTTTAGTTTTTGAATTGGATTGAAGGTAGAGAGTTTAAATTGAATCGCCGCTGCAGTTTGACACCAAATACTACTATGAAGTTGGGATTGGTAATACCACGCGGCGGTTTTGGTTCACAACCCCTCCTGGCGTTGGTCCTGATGTTGCTTATACTTTTGGCCTCATAGGTATTTCAAATTTCATCCATCTAAGTTTTCTTATTAGTTCCATTTTTGGTTGAAAGGTTGCTCTCCCGGCAGGCTGTACGCTTTGATATATAATGTACCATTGTATTGATACCAGATAAACACAATTTTATACAAAGCTGTTATGCTTGTGTTTTCTATCTTGTTCTCACTCTGGTGTGCATTTTGAGCAGGGGATCTTGGTCAGACTCACGATTCAAATCGAACACTTACCCATTATGAATTGAACCCAACAAAAGGGCAGACGGTATTGTTTGTTGGGGACCTCTCTTATGCAGATGATTATCCGTTTCATGACAATAACAGGTGGGATACATGGGGGAGGTTCACAGAGAGAAATGCTGCTTATCAACCCTGGATATGGACTGCAGGAAACCACGAAATCGATTTTGTTCCTGAACTTGTGTGTTTCTTTTTCTCATTTGGTTCTTGAACTTATAATTTGAAAGAAAATGTGTAATTGCAATGTTATTGCAGGGTGAAAGCAAACCCTTCAAACCCTACACAAACCGGTATTTTGTTCCATACGAAGCTTCACATAGTACATCTCCTCTCTGGTACTCCATCAAGAGAGCTTCAGCATATATCATAGTCTTGTCCTCTTACTCCGCATATGGTATAAGAATGCTTGCTTCTCACTTCTATGTCATGTTTTTGTTTGTGAGTATAAATTGTACTTTAATTTCCAGGGAAATATACTCCTCAATACAAGTGGCTTGAAAAGGAGCTGCCAAAAGTGAACAGAACTGAGACACCATGGCTTATTGTTCTTATGCATTCTCCACTATATAATAGTTATGCACATCATTATATGGAAGGAGAATCCATGAGAGTGATGTACGAGCAATGGTTTGTCAAGTACAAAGTAGACATAATCTTTGCTGGTCATGTTCATGCCTATGAAAGATCTGTAAGTGCAGATTCTCCTTATTACAATGGCACGCAGTGCTTTCAACTGACTGAAAAAAAAAATTGGATTTCTCAATAGTGCAACTCTAAAATCAAATATGTTCGCATTGCAGGAGCGGATATCAAATATTGCATACAACATTGTGAATGGACTGTGCAGCCCTATAAGTGACGAATCAGCCCCAGTTTACATAACCATTGGAGATGGAGGAAATCTAGAAGGATTGGTTACTGAGTAAGTATGAATGTTGCTAATTTGGAGGGAGCAGTCTTTTTTCTTATTAATAAAAATTTCTGAAAAATGTACTGGTTTTTCGTTTGTCTGCAGAATGACAGAACCGCAGCCAAGCTACTCAGCTTTCCGGGAAGCTAGCTTTGGTCATGGGATTTTCGACATAAAAAACAGAAGTCATGCATTTTTTAGTTGGCATCGGAATCAAGATGGGTATGCAGTAGAAGCTGATTCTCTATGGTTGAAAAACAGATACTGGAAATCTCCGGAAGAGCAGCTCCTAGCCGCAATATAATGTTATTTGATATGTAAAAGAGGTTTCATGTTATCATTGTAGAATGAATGAAATCTTGCAAAGTTTGCTGTTGTCATTCTCATGCAATTCCAAAGATGAAGCAATTAGCTGCTCTGTTGTGTTTTATGTTGTCTGACACCACTTCCTTCAAAGTAGGGTAAAGGATAAAATTACGGCTCATCCATCAACTCCCCAATTGCAATAAGTGCAGAAAAGTTTTGAGTCTTTGGTGATTGATGCCCTTTTTCAAAGCAGGCCCCGATTTGAACAGAGAGAGAGAGAGAGAGAGAGAGAGAGAGATGAATTAATGTGACTTGTGTCTCAGCTCAGCAGTGATATGGATAAGTTCAAACTCAAAGCTTCAAGAGGAGAGGACAACCACCGCTGTGGCAAGGGAAATAAATCCTAATAATGAAAGATTAGGAGACTTTGGAATTAAAAGTTGGAAGCAAACTAGGAAAGGAAACTTGGAATTCCAATAAGACGACGAATATATCCAATGCTAAACTTAGGTGAGGAGGAGCTCTGTTAGCTCCAACGTCATGCCTAGGCTGGCACAAGTCTCATTCAAACAAGAAGATATCGAAAGAGAATTCATTCACATAATATATCACGATACCTCCATACTTGTATATTTGTATTTGTTCATAATCATATCATACACAAGGACAATAGGGCTTGCAAGGCGCAACCTCGAGTGATCATTTATACCTGCAGATACATACAGCCCTAAAATATATATATATTTTTTCAAAATAAAAAAAAGACAAGAGAAAAGAAGATAAAAACCATATTGATTTATGATATACCAGCACACTTACAATGACAACGACAAGCGCAGAAAAACCCATGCGACGCCGCGGCCCTTTAGATACACCTCTCTCTCTCTCTCTCTCTCTCTCTCTCCCTATATATATATATATATATATATATTTATATTTGTGCTATATATATTTATATATATACCCTTACCTCTTACACTACGTACGTATATATATATATATATATATATATATAGTATGGATGTACATACAAGTACTGAGGTTCTAATTTGTAGCTTCACATTTACACGCACCATGGAGATGGCTGCAATGGTTCCCAACCACTTCCATCGACGAAGTTGCTGGAAAAAATGCCATGATCTTCTATCACCGGAAAATCAAGGGACATGGCTGCCTCCGCCCATATCGAGTCATCGAACATCGGAAAGTTTCCGCTTACGTTGCCCCAGAAAATTCCAGAATCCATTCCTTCATTGCCACTCACATTCTCCTCCACTTTCATCTTGCTGTGCTCTGCCTCTGGCTTAGGCTCAGGGTAAGTACCATGGGGCTGATGAGCTTTCACATTCGGATAATGATCGCGAAGTACTGGAACTGCGACATCGTTGAGAGGAGCAGCATAATCGTTTGATAAACCGGCACTGGAAGTACCTGATGGATTCTGATGCAGAAGGGTTAGTTGGGCAGATGGGTTTGGCGTCTGTGGAAGCATGTGGGTGTTGGCAGAGGAAGGGACTTGATGGTGATGGTGACAGTGAGAGACTAATTGATCAGGCAAATTGAGCTTGGCCTCGGAACCGTAGAGTTTGCGAGCAGCAGCATCATAAGCCAAAGCAGCTTCATGGGAGGTGTCAAAAGTGCCAAGCCAGAGACGAGCACCTCGGTTGGGCTCACGGATTTCAGCCACCCATTTCCCCCAAGTCCTCTGCCTCACACCTTTGTAAGTGCACATGGCATTCTCAGGGCCTCCTTTCCCTCTCATGCACCCCTTTCTTGAACTGGCCTGTGCAGGCCTCTTCACTTGCTTTCTTTCCCCAACCTTAACGCTGCTCATCTCTGACTTCAACATTGTGGTTGATCAACTCTGGGATTTAAAGAGGAAGGGATTGTGTTTGTGTTTCCGAGCTCTCTCTCTCTCTCTCTCTTTTCTTCTTCTTTTTCTTCTGTTTTTGCTTTTGGTGCGTGTGATAAGCCATAAGTGAAAAGGGTGGCGGTATTTATACGACAAGGAAGGAAGGAAGGAGTTATGAGACATAACCTGAAACGTGGCTTTTGGTTGAATACTTGGCATGGCGAACAGGACATGTCGTGTCCATGGCCAGCCTCACTGTTTAACCCTCTTATACAACACTTGGCCTACCTCTTTGTCTGCTTACTAGCTCAGGTGGCAATCGGGCAGGTATATTTTACTTTTTTTTTATAAAAAGGATAAAAAGTCTCCTGTTTTTCTGATTTTTTTTTTGGGGTGAAAAAATTCGAAAGGAAAATGTTTGGTTGGATGAAGGGTTAAGGAAGTAGAGACAGAGAGGGAGGGGGATTCAGATAATGGCTCATTTACTATCGGAGGCGGTGTTGAAACGGTTGGAGATAAGAACCTACGTTATTTCCGAAACCCAGGGTAGCCTTTAGCAGCACAGGGAGACGAATTGAGACATGGTCTTCTACCAAATCCCACGTACGCAGTGTGTGTCACAATTGATTGATTCAATGGATGGATCATAAGAATTTGGATCCATGTAGGACCCGCCACTCTTACGAGTTTCCCGAAAAGGATAGAAGTTCACGTACACAGATCAGAATGAATCTTCCGGACTGATTCCCATTTCCCACTGCTCCTGCTCTTGTCGTTATATTTGCAGTAAATAAATCATTGCACACACATGCTCTCTTGTAGTTATCCGATCTTTTTCGGATGCTAAAATCACAACGGCAGGAAAAAAAATATTAATCATCGTAATTGTGACCAAAAATAAAATCCTAGGATTCTTGGTACGAACCGTACCAACGAACCCCGACATGCTGAAACACAGAAACAGACAAAAGAATGTTATGAATCCATCATTCTATATATAGATACACCTATATATAGTATACACCTACCAACAGGTTCTTGTTAACAATAAAATTTCACTTAATATACTAGAATCTCATTCATGAATTAAAAAGCTGAAGAAAATTTCATTCGTGACTTCGTTATCGTATATGCTGCTGCTAGAATTTATCTATACATATTTGGCATATGTACAAGTTACAAATCAAAATTTTTCTAACCTGTCTAATCCAGAAAACCTCATGCATAATAATTTTGTAGGTGTTTCTGTTTCACACCAAAAACCTCATGTTCTCGCACTCAAATCCAATGCTTAATTCGCACCTCGGCACTTTCTCAGACCAGCCCTTATCTCCTTCAACATCTCGTCGACTCTGATGCCTTTCCTGCAAAAACCAACATAGTTGAAACTTTATTTAAGTGCTGCTCTTGTTACTTCATATATAGAACCAAGCAGGAGTATAGTGAGGAATATACATTTGCAGTAAATAATCTGTACGAAAAATAAAGAAGAATGCTAAAATGTAGTTCCAACTGAAAAGCTGTGTGAGGCATGCATATTCAACATTGTGCAAAATAGTTCTCTACTTATGTTTTCGGTCACAGAAACAATTACCCATGAAGAATTTTTAAAAAATCCAGGAATTTGTTTCGTAAAACTTGAAAATTTAAATAGTTTTTATTGTGGAACCCAAAAATTCTATAAATATTTTACATGTAGGAGATTCATAAAAAACAAATTCTTCTCTCCCTCAAGGCTTTGACTGAAACCCAAAAGGATGGGGAGCCGTTTAGAAGGGTGTAGAGAAACCTGAATGAGGATATCGGCTACTATGTGGATAAGGATAACATAGCAAACAATCATGTTAACTTTATTTTACCTCCAAATGGAAGTTACTAATTCTTTACCCCCAAAAAAAAAATGGAAGTACTAATTAAATCATTGATAATATGCCGTCATTAAAAAAAAATTCCCAAATAAATAGCTTTCACTTTTTTTTCTTCAATGAGAATGGGAAGTCCTTTTCTTTAGTTTCAAAACATTAGCAAATGAGCATTTTTCGTGCGCACAGGGAAAAATATAGGAGGCTGTCAAATACCAATAACAAATAACACCGGTGGAGAAAAAGATAGCATTCGAAAAACAGAAGATAAAGTTTTAGGGATAGAACTTACAAAACACTGACTCCTACAATGGCGAGGGGTCGTGGATAGTCCTCAATATCTTTATCCTTCTTGTCTTTAGTAAGAACTCTTGGAGAACTCCCATCTGCATTCCCACCTTCAGAGGACAGCTGTTGAACTGCACCTGTACTGCTCGTTTCTGGCTCAGAAGATGGCCTATCAACACCAAGTTTCATTATTTCTTCCGTCAAAGATGGAAGCCTGTCTTTTGCCTGAAATTCGGATATATATTTCAATCAAACATGAGATTTAGAGATGACGTTATTTCACTGAACAAGATATTAGAGACCAGCAGAGAACAGAGATTGGAACCAGGATGCATTTTGCACAGTAGAAAAGATTAAAAAACCAAATGACACAAACCTCGGGAAGGTCAATTTTATTCAACACCACAATGTATGGTCGTTCAAGGTAATCAGGATTATACATTCGCAATTCCTGCAAATATGAGGCCGGTAGTTAGCATCAGGTTAAATACTGATATGCGGAGGGAAGGGGGAAAAAAGAAGGAAAAGTCGAGCACATGGTAAACACTCCCACTAATTCAAATCTTCTCCATATCAAAACAACAGAGGCTAACCAGTAATCACAAGGGAAAAAAACTAACTACCATTAAAGAATCATCATTCATAGGGTAACGGCACAATAATGACATTTAACAAGAAGCAACTAGAATGACAGTTTGATATCAGTAATTACACACTAACTTATCAATAAAAAATACAGCACATGAGTAACGGGACACATACTTCTTTGACGGTTCTGTAGTCATTTACAGGATTCTCAGCTGCGGCATCAACAACATGGACCAATAGCCGGGTCCTCCTCAGATGCCTCAAGAAATTGCGACCAAGGCCCTAAAGGATGACCAGAGTTTGAATTAAGACAATTGGAGCTTTAGCATAAGTGAGTAAACAAGATAGAAAAACATTACCTTCCCAAGATGAGCCCCTTCAATAAGACCAGGCAAATCTGCCAATGTTGCTTCAGAAGAATACATCTGTGGCCCTAAACTTGGGTCACCATCAAGGCGTCCAAGGTTCGGCATTAAGGTTGTGAAAGGATAATCCGCAATATCAGGTCTTGCAAGTGTAGTGGCTGACAAAAGGGTTGATTTTCCAGCATTTGGAAGGCCCTACAACAAAGGCAGGCGCATATTAGCAATCTAAAGACCGTACTAATACCTTTACTAAGTAGCCTTGCTCTATAATTTCTTTATTCTCCACCCATGAAAGGCCAAATATAATCTATAACAAAAAAGAAAAACTTAACAAGGAATACGTATTTACATTTACTCAATTAAAATTTTTAATGGAGTTAGAAGGGTTTTCCTCTTCGATTCTATTCCAAATTAACTTGATCAAAAGATTTATTACTCCATTTCATTGTACAAACAACAGGTGAGGTATTGTCTATTTTTTGGAAATCTAGGTACAAAGAGTCAGTTACCAGCAGTTTCATTAACACATCACAATGTGATCATTGAACTTTTAAAAGCAGAACTTCAAAATAAAAAGGAACCCCAGGGAGAGAACAGGAAAACAATACTTACAACCAAACCAACATCAGCAACAACTCGCAGAATCAACTCCAGACTAACCTCCTCTCCTGGTTGACCAACAGCTAAAACCTGCAATCATCTGATAATGGCTTACAAACTGTTTTAAAATAAGAAATACACATATGACTAAAATAGTCTGGTTATTGGATAAGTTATATTTTTCTACTGCTTGAACAGGCCCACAAAGTGAATGAGAGATAGAGAGGTAAGATGTTAGTCAAGAAAGGCAATCCACGAGTAATACTTGAGCAGCTTAATGTATAAACATCACATTTGCCTGAAATTTTCAATAAATTTGAGTGCGCACATGTCTCAATGGAGATATTTACCATATAATGCATATCAAAACACTATCATGTCTCAGTCGAGATATATTCACAACCACATTACCTTATCACTATCATCTCTCATCACATTTGTGGTCAAAGCCATCAACTTTTTCCTGCTATGCTCTGGCATTTCTACCAAGCTAATCTGCCACAAAATCCAAGAAAAATGTAAATGTAAAAGGCAAATTGAAAATACTATTTACACAACAGTTTACTGAATAAAGAATAATCTAATGTAGATTGGGACTATCTTCCCAATTGCCAAAAGTTCTGAGTCTCTGGAGAAAAATAAACAAACAACTGTTTTTTTTTCTTCCTGAAGTTTTCACTCCGTTTAAGGCATGTTGGCTCACCCCTCCTTGTCCACCCCTTGCTACAAGGACTTCATCACCTGGCCGTGCTAAATCAGCCAACAATGTCCCTCGTTTACGCTTCACTACCGTACCTAAGGGGCGGATACAGAGATAAGGTTCATGGAAGATAAACAAACTGATAATATGAAACTATTAAAACAGAAAATCTCTCATGAAAATCCCAATTCTTTACATTCACTGAAAAACAATGCACAAACCTGGAGGCACTGGAATACGCAAAGTTGGGGCAGAAAGTCCATCATGCAATTGTGCAGTCAAAACACCCATTGCAGCCACATTCCCACCGCGTTTTGCATTGTACCTATTTTTCGTGTGAAATTCCAGTAACGAATCTTTACCCTCATCAGCATAGATTACAACATCACCTCCATGGCCACCCACAGGAAGAATAAGGGACCCACCAAAATCCCGTTTAAACAAGCTTTTTCTCCTCAGCTTCTCTTTCTCGTGTTTTCCTTGAGGCTTACTAGCTCTCTGGTTTGGCATGTTGAGGACTGCGCCATGTCCGCCATCTCCTGAGCGAACTGTGATGATGACCTGATCAAAGTACTTGTGAGGTTCCTTGATTAAAGTATTGGGTTTTTGAGCAGGAGATTCTTTGGCTCTGGTACTAAGTCGGCAGCTTATTGCGTAGTATCTGATATTATTCAAATTTTGCGAGACCTGGCCACACCTGTACGTAACAAACCATGGGAATTACGAACAGGAACAAGTTGAAGAAAGGCGCGAGAGAGAGAGAATGGAGTGATCTCAAAGAGTTTCCTATTTTCATATACTAGCGTAGTAAAATCAAAGCATAAGAAAGTTTCTGCTGGTTGCATAAAATGCTGCATTTAATTTTGGAGAATTGGGGAAGAAAAAGATTTTTCAAAGTTTTCGTTGTATTTTTATTAGCAATATTCTACATGTAAAGATGCTCTAATATTTAGAAATTACCTTTCAGGTAAAACGGTGCCGTAGAACGAGGACTTGTGGCGGAAAAGATAGGAAGTTGATGGTGGCGGGGAGATTAGAGACACCATATCCGAATAAAGAGAAACAGCAAGAGAGAGAGTGAGTCAGTGAGGAAGGCGAGCGAGACAAACAGTAACAGAGCAACAGACAAAGACGACAGGGATATTTTTTGCAAGTCTGGCGGGACTGACTTTCTAATTTAAGCCCATTTTCTTTGGGTCGGTGGTGATGTGCGTCATTTGAAAGCCCAAATCTTACTTGACGGAAAAAGTCCGCGTAAGTTTTAAGGCCGTGTCCATATCCACAACCGACTTAACTTATTTTTTATTTAAAATTTATGCAAACCGACTTGATGTTTCTTCAAATATATTTTTTTCTTAATTAATTCAACTTGATTTTTCCAAACCAGGGCCCTTTTTTTTTCTTTTTTCTTTTTTTATATTTAAATAAAAATAAAAATACAAAGGAGAGGAGGGGGTTTTATACGAACACACTACTAAGGTATGAGGGTTCAAACCGGGGCCCTTCCAATGAAGGTGATTCTCCTCAGTCATAAGTGTTGGGTCTTCTAATTTTAATATAATTTTCCTATTTTTATGGTAAAATATGAAAATAAAAATTATCGTCACCAAGTACTCACATTAACTGGGAAAGAATTGCATCATGTGGATTAACTTGGGATCAATTTGAAGCCAAAATCAACACTAGTTGACCCAAGGAAGAGCTAACTGGATATAAAACGTGTGAAAGAAACTTTACAACAGTCTGATCAAAATCTGACATTATACTATATCGTAGATTACACGAGTTTGAAGTCTCAAAATAAGCACGATAGCATATGCAAGCCTTGCATCAGATCAACTTCAAATACCCAACCTAGACAAAAACAATTGGCGCAGAGCTAGTACCCCTTTGACGACTACTTTCTATACAAGAAATAATGTATTACACCAACTCCACATGTAGTGTAGCATACAAGATCGAGCACCAAACTTGCCAAACTGCAAGATATGAGAACAGCCAGTGATACTCCAAGAGTTTCATCCATTAGCTTCTAATAAAATCCTTCAAAGAAAATGTTGGAGGCCCATTCTGCAAAACCAAATCAACATCGAGTGAGGAAATAACACAATCTTGCTATGCATTACACAATTCACCTGTCCTAGCCGCTAGGAAGTCGTTCACCATTAAAAGGACAGAAAAGGCATAATCTACAGGTATAACACACACACACACAATTCACCTGTCCTAGCCGCTAAGAAAAGGGCATGTGCCTATCCTGAATAATGAATGAATCTAATAGGGCACGTGCCTATCCTGAATAATCTCTCTCTCTTTTTATCTTTCTGCACAACAGTAGGCCTTATAGTTGAGGAATCTCTTAACCTGTTACTAAGGAAAAGATACCAAGATGTAATTTCAATCAATACTTATAGATGTGTAAGCTTATCCCAATTACCCTCTTTTCATAACAATAAAATCTCAATTTCCCTTCACTTTGCAATGTAGTATGTAGGTTACGAAAGAGAGCAGTACCCCCCCTTTAACAAGGATAAATTTATTTTATAAAGATAAAAAAAACTGAAATTCTGCAAAGCCAACTGAGGTCAGATGGTTAAAATTGGCTTCATTTTTCTCAACAACTGCAGCCTCAAGAATCAAGCAGAAAAATAAAGATTAACTAACTGCATATTACCTTGGCATTTTCTTCACTTATGCATTGTCTAACTACTGTTGTCTGTTGTATTAGCCTTTCCATTGCAGTATAATGGGGCAGGTTTGAATGTTCTGACAATTACCATGAAACACAATTAAAAAACAGTACATTATTGATTGTTTTAAAACAATCCAGGGAAATAAGCATATGATATTTGCAATGAACAGATATCTCTCTACAGCAGTATTGAAACACATATGGCACACAGAAGCAAGAAGGAATTTGGGTAACACACCAAGAACTGCTCGGTTCAAACTATCTGCAACTTGCTGCCGATAGTCCAAGCTAAGCAAATGAAACATAGGGGACTTCTCTGGTTCTTCATAGGCAAGCAAAGCCATAAAGTCCTACAGAAATACCAAAGTTCAGTCTCACAGTGACATACATACACACATACAAACTGTGCATATATTTATATAAGGAATACTTGAGAGAGTTGCAGCATACTTCAAGCTTTGAGACGTATTTTTCCACCTTCCCAAAGGGGGTCAACTGGTTCTGGGCAAATTCCAAAGCTTCTGTGCTGCCAAATAAATAAAGAATTAAAAAGCAAGAAAGGCATAATACAAGCTTTCTAGATGTATCCCTGTAATTTTGCTCACCATTTCTTAGAGCAAACAAGTTCAACAAAGTGAAGGCTCAGAAGGTCAAAATGCAATTCTTTATTTTTCTCCAGTAAGTCAGGTGCCAGCTGTTCCGTCAGTTCAATCGCCTTGAGAGCATTCCCCTCCACTGCACAGTGAAAAATTCCTGCGGACAAAGCATAAAATTAGCATCATCATCACCAAACACTCCAATATTCATCTCCAACAACAATATGCGAGCAAACTTGTCATTGCTTTGCTGCAAACCTACTTTTTCTTTTCTCCATATCCTCAAGACAGTCAGCAGGCTGCTTCATCCCCGTCGAAGCAACAAATGACTCCACACTTTCTTTATAGCAATTATGCACAAGGTATGATAGAACAATATTGTGGATGTCATTGTCATTGATAGCCTGTCAATTACAAAAATAAAACCCAAAATCGCCATAATAAATACAAATGTTATGCACAATGGAAAACTAAATTAATAGAATCAACCAACGAATATTTTCTGATAGAATTCTCTTCTTCATCCATTCAAGTGCCCCAATAGACATATGCAATAAGCCCTAATATGGTATGGATGAGTCAATGACCAAAATCAATGCAATTGAACAGTAATTAGGTGTAAATTGTATAATCTTCGTGACTGGAAGTGAAATAAGATTACGGAAATTGCAATAATTTGATAAACGCAAAAACAAAAAACGAAAAATAGAAACTCACAACGTGATTGTAGTGACGAGGATCGACGTCCATGATTCGCCGCCTTTGGTAGAGTGAGAGGTTGAGGAAGAGAGGGAGGGAGGGGTGTGGCTTCGTGCTCAGAGCAGGGGGTTTCGTTTCTGACACGATGAACGACGGTTTTATGTATCGGGTGGCATTCAGAATCCGAGTCTGTTCGAGACACCTGAGAGTGATTGCATCTTTATCTGTAATGTCTCCAACACTAAACCGCTACTGCCTCTTAGGTTATTGCACACGTGCCTTCGAGGGAAAAATATCATTGCATATTAAAACGAAAGTCTGAATTCCTTTTGCTACAAAATAATCAAAATGAGGAGAATTGATCGTTAGGTTAAATGCTCACTACCACTTTTAAGTTGCAAAATAGAGGCATCATGTAGTAACAACTTGCAATGACAATTTGTGTGTGTGTGTGTGTGAGAGAGAGAGAGAGAGAGAGAGAGTTGATTAGTAGGAAGAACAAAAATTGGTAAATATTGTCTAATGTTTAATGTTAGGCAACATTATAATATTAACTTTCAATTGCTAATTCATAATGTTATACATAATATGACGATGCATATTAATTATAAATAAATAAATAAATTTAGTAGTGGATATGTAGGGAAATAAGTGAAATAATAATTCGTATATTGTGTATTGTTAATGTTTTATTGATCATGTGAAAAGGGAGATTTGAACTTATCAATTTTTCAAATATTAAGAAGAAAATCACAGCTATAATAATATGGTTAATATTTAGTGAGCTATTTCAAATTCACACGGTTCTTTATTATGGAGATGACACATTTTACCATGGTTAACATTTAAATGGCATAAGACGGAAAATTAATATTGCAAAGAAGAAAATTAAAAATAATAAAAATTGGAGTCGACATAGCCTAATTTATTTGTTCTAATGAGAGTACTTGAACATATGTTATAAGAGCATCACTAGTGAGGGATGTATTTTTGAGGGTATAAAGCAACTTTTACATCTTCTTTACACTTTCGGAGAGTGTAAATGCATTTTTTGCTCTAATGGAAAAAAATGTAATTCCAATTATATATTTGATTTGTTTGTGATAAATTTTTTTTGTTTTTTTTTCTTCAGTTTTAATTTTTTTTAAATTAATTTTGTGTGTGTTAAGTTTATTTTATTTTTCCAAACAAATGGACCTACAAAAATTTAATTTTGGGGAACATATGATTTTACCTACAAACTAACATAAAGATATGGCTTATTATCACAAAACATCGCTAAGGTTTACAAAACTATTATATTGCATCCTTAATGTTTTTTTTGTGTCATTCGTAGTCTTCAAGGTTAGTGTGTGGGATCACAAATGGTCCCTGCTGCTAGATTCCGTCAAAAACTCCGTTAGTTTGCTGACGTGGTATATATATATATATATATATATATCACAAAACATCATTGAGGTTCGCCCACCTATCACAAATTGTGCAAAACTTTTTAATTTTTTTAAATTTAAAAATCATAAAATTTTGGTTTTCTTTTAAAAATTTTATGAATGTTAAATTATTTAAAAATACATATTATATTTTAAATACATGTGACACTGTATTATTGTATATGTGGGCTCCATATATCTGCCACATCAACAAACTAATGGAGTTTTAAAAAATAATTTAAAATTGAAAAGCAACTAAAGGTTTAGGGTTCATAAATTGTCATCAAGATTAAAATCCTTATATAAATGGATTTTTCATTTATAAATAATTTTAAAAAGAAAACTAAAATTTTATGAATTTTAAATTAAAAAATTAAAAAAGTTCGTAGGGACCATTTGTGATAGGTGTGTGAACCTCAGGGATGTTTTGTGATATATATATATATATATGCCACGTCAGCAAACTAATGAAGTTTTTGACGGAACCTAATAACAGAAACTATTTGTGATCGCACATACTAACCTTGAGGACCACAAGTGACAAAAAAAAATAAAATTAAAGATGAAATTTGATAGTTTCGTAAATCTTAAGGACGTTTTGTGATAATAAGCCAAAAGATATATATGTAAAAAATTATAATTGATTTTAAACATTTGCAGGTAATTTTTTTTTCTAATATTTCATACCATAAGAAGTGGAATGAAAATTGCATGAAATATGAGCCTTTCATTTTGAATTCCAATCCATCTCAGCCGTTCATCATAGAGCTATTGGGGATTGTAGCACACCACTTGGTGTGCTGACGTCAAGCAGAGCCCTCCCCATCTACTGGTGGACTCAAAAAAATTTCAATGGATGTGCAATTTTTAAAGTCTTTAGCTTTAAAAAAAAAAATGAGTGGGCTATAATTTATATAGTATATCAATTAATGTGAAAATCAATATTGAATCATCAATCAATTAATCTAACGAAAATCAATATCAAATTATCAATTAAACAAATAAATAATAATTGATCATACCTCGAGTCTTGTGCCACACAACCTCTTCTTAATTGAATTTGCTATTCATACGAATACAGAGATAGCCAAATCAGAAATAATAATAAAAATAATAATAAACATATTATAAAGAAATAACAAAAAAGAAAAAAGAAAAAAGAAAAAATAGGGAGCATGATTGAAGAGCATCTACAATCTCTATATTTTTTTAGTTAAAATTTAGCTAAAAACATATAAAAGCTATTTTAGGAGCTCTCTATAAAATTTTAAGTCTAATCATATTCTCTAGTTTAGGGAGTCATAAATGCTATAACTCTTATTTAATTGGTTCATCTCTATAAATAAAAAATAAAAATAAAAATAAAATAACTAACATTAATTAAAGATTTAAAATACTCATAAAATAAGCAGCATTAAATTATAGAGAGCCACTAGGAGTCCTGTCTCTCTATTTTCATTTTAGCATGATTGACGTTGTATTTTTCCAATTCCTCTCTAAAATTTGTCTAAAAATATGATTTAATAAGCCCATTATAAATGCTCATTACTGTAACTCAAGTATCATCTTATTAATCCAACTATATTTCTATTTTTCGGGTCGAAAAGTCTAACTACGTTACTATCGGTATCCAGAGTTCCCAGCCCAGGTATAAATTGGGTAGAGGAAATGGGAAAAACAACCTTACTTCTACCATACAATGTCCAACTTTAACTGGCAGACCCTTCAAGAAATTTCGTCCAATCAGACAGATCCATATGGTCCTCCATATTTCTAGCTACCCAATACAACGAACAACCCCTAAAAATCCCAGACCAGCAGCCTCTCACAGAAATGAACCCCTCGTCGCTTTCTGTCTTTCTTCTAACTCTTGTCCTTGTCTCCCATACTTGCCTCTCTTCGTCTTCTTCACAAACCACCTCTGAACTCTTTGAAGTTTGGTGCAGAAAGTATGGCAAGTCATACTCTTCAGCACAAGAAAAGCTCTACAGGCTCAGTGTGTTTGAGGACAATCTTGTCTTTGTTACCCAACATAACGATATGGGCAATTCTTCTTATACCCTTTCTCTCAATGACTTTTCTGATCTCACTCACCATGAGTTCAAGTCCTCTCGTTTAGGCTTCTCACCCACCTTTCTCAGTCTTAAGCGTAAATCAGATAGGAAACCCAGCGTAGTTCGTGATCTTCCTTCTTCATTAGATTGGAGGAAGAAAGGGGCAGTCACTAATGTGAAAGATCAAGGGAGTTGTGGTATGTTGGTCTTTGTTCTGATATCGAAATTGTTTAATCTTTCTCAGTCTTAATTTGTAGAATTATCAAATTGGATTTTGTCTTCTAGTAAATTACTAGCTTTAATATATGTAGTAGGAATTTTGGAGCAGGCATCATCAATAGTTTTAGTTTTTCTTTTCTTGTTTCTTGTTGATTTAAGTTTTGCTGAATTTTGGTTTGGAAATGAGATGGGGTTTTGCCTGAGAGCCTTTTACAATTTTTGCTGAATCATTGGCTCGTTGAACAACTCATTTCAGCTATGTTAGTACCAAAGAAATGAGAAATTAAGGCAAATTCGTGAGCAATGGAGTAAACTTTGATTGCCTTCTTTGATCTACCGTGGCTTGGCTGATTGCATCAAGTCATTTTAAATTTCTTTACTGTAAGAAGTATCATGGAAATTGGAATGAACCTTGTCATGCGGCCTTTAATCTTGTACCATGTTCATGTGCTTGTGCATTCTTAATGGAGGGGTTTGCTGGTGTGATTATGGAGTTAAATATGCTTGCATCAATTCATCCATTCTGATTTCCATTTCTTAAAATATGGTCGTTTCATTCGATTTTTTCACATTATGGTTTGTTTGCTTTGGCATCTGCTAAACTCTTGATGCTCATAATCAGTTGGTTCAGTTAGCTAACGTGCAAAACGTTAGACGATGAAAATATGTATCAGTTTCTTGTAAGTTGTAAATGTCTTCTTGAGTCATTGCACTCATGTTATATTAGGAGGCATTAGTTGAATTTAGTCTCTTGATGCCAAATTTGAGAGTAATTCTTGTTGTTATAGGTGCCTGTTGGGCCTTCTCAACTACTGGTGCCATCGAAGGTATCAACAAGATTGTCACAGGATCGCTCATCAGCCTCTCTGAACAAGAGTTGGTTGATTGTGACAGAGTTTATCCAAACAACGGCTGCAATGGCGGACTTATGGACGATGCATTTCGATTTGTCATAGATAACAATGGGATTGACACTGAGGAAGATTACCCATATAAAGGTTGGGATGACACCTGCATTAAGAAAAAGGTATTTACTTCTTTCTCTTCCCCCGGCCTCCATCTCCTTTTCTCAATCCCAACCCATCCTTGGAGCAGAGATGTTTTCTATAGTGCCGGGTTTGGATTGAATTCCAATCGTTGCTTGAACCTATGTGTTTATATGAGACTATTGATCCTCTGTTTTCTTAGATTGCTCTAATATAAGTTTGCATTGTCAGCTAAAGAGGAATGCTGTGACCATAGATGATTATACTGATGTGCCCTCAAATGATGAGGAACAGCTACTACAAGCTGTGGCAAGTCAACCAGTGAGTGTAGGTATATCGGGCAGTGACATGGCATTTCAGCTGTACTCAAAGGTTTGCCTCAATTGTCAACTACAGTGGCATTAGATTGAACAGTGATCATCATTAGTTGCGTTTGATTAATATCTTTACTTGTGTTATAGGGGATTTTCAATGGCCCTTGCTCGACTTCTTTGGATCATGCTGTGTTAATCGTAGGTTATGGTTCCGAAAATGGAGTGGACTATTGGATTGTAAAGAATTCATGGGGGACAAATTGGGGGATGAATGGCTACATGCACATGCTGCGTGATCATAGCAATCCCAAGGGGATCTGTGGCATCAACACGTTGGCTTCATATCCAATAAAGACAGGGGAAAACCCTCCTCTTCCCCCGCCTTCTCCGCCGCCAGGGCCGACTCGGTGCAATATCTTTACACACTGTGCAGCAGGGGAAACCTGCTGTTGTGCCAAGAGGGTTGTGGGAATATGCTTTTCTTGGAGATGCTGCGAGTTGGACTCTGCTGTTTGTTGCAAGGATCAGCGTCACTGTTGTCCCCGTGATTATCCCATCTGTGATACAGAAAGGACGCTGTGCCTCCAGGTTTGTATCAAATACGAATCTTTCTTTATCAAACATAAGAATAGTAGAATGCTGAAAACTAAGTCACTGTCGTTGCGTGTTAAGTCACTCCACCACATATCAAACCAATAGATTTAGTCCCTAGGTCTTTTCTTGGCACAAAGCATCTTGTACAAACTTTGTTACTTACCACTAGTTATGTTATTGGCTTTTGATATAATTGAATTTTTGAGAAATTACTTTTGTGTAGAATTTGATTATTTTCAATATTGCAGAGTAATGAGCAGCTATCAACGCAGCCGCATGCTACTGGGAATTTAACATCGAAAGCGCTTGAGAGTAGAGGCAGTTTGAGGAAGTCAAGCCGCGGGTGGGGCTCCATGATTCGGGGTTGGATCCTATGAAAGTAAAGTTCTCTATAGTGGTAATGATGCTGAGCCATATTTCTTTGCCAGAGGATAAGATTCTGTATATAACGTGAAAACAAATGCGTCCTGTTACTCACAAATACCCATTCATTTGATGATTATGTAATATCTTCTCAATACATACTGATTTTTGCAACAACAATGGACTGTGTGATCAATTCTTGCCATTTCGTCAAATAAAATCAGATGGAAATCCTTCAGTTCTGCTGGGTTTTCTGAGTTCCTAATTGCTGATGAGATGAGATGACAGAGAAGAAAAGTACAGGAGATCACCACACAAGAATCCCATTATAAAGTTTCCAAGTATGTGCAAATTCAACTTATAATTAAGAATATATCTAAAAAATCTAGAAATTAAGAAAGAGCAAAATTGAAAATTTTACAAGTTGCTTGCTTTGCTATGGCAAGTTGGGGCATTTTTAATACCTCAAGACGCACTCCTCTCCCGCACAACAATCACAAATTCTGCGAATTTTTCACGTCGACGGGAAGACGTCTTTGACGGCCGAAGCCGCCGTCAAGTAATTAAGCGTGTTCCTCAGAGTCTCCTTCTCCCTCTTCAACCTCGCCGCCGTGTCCTCCAATTCCAGCAAGGCCTGCTGCTCTCTCGGCGCCCCTTCGAACGTGCTCCCGACGAAGAACGAAAACGGTGTCGGAAACAGGTTCCTCCTCAGGTCCTGCACATCCTTCTCCGGCTTCCCTCCCAACCGGTTCGACAACCGAATCACGTCCTTCATGTACGACTCCACCTCGTTCGCCAATGCCTCCAGGTCTTCTTCGCCGTCGTTCGACGGGCGGTCTTCGAGCCACTTCACCTCCGCCACCAGGTAGGGTTTGGTGCGCACGAGGTCGGTGACTCGGAAACGCTCTTGGCCTTTGCAGATGAGGAAGAAGCGGTCGTCCACGAGGCGCTCGTGCTTGACGATCTCGCCGACGCAGCCGACGTCGGCGGTGCCCGAAACGGCATCGCTGTAGATGACGCCGAAGCGGAGATCGGTCTGGAGGAGAGAGTGCATCATCATACGGTACCGGAACTCGAAGATCTGTAGGGGCAAGATTGCGCCGGGGAAGAGCACCAGAGGCAGAGGAAAGAGCGGGAGCTCGACGACGTCGTCTGACTTGGGCTGATTGGTGGGGTGCCTCTCAGAGAAGGACGAGGCCGAGCATTTCAGAGAACCCGGTCTTTGACGGCGGTGGTGGTGGCTGCGGCGAAGACGGGGAGAGAGGAAATTAGGGTTAGGGTTTAAGGGGGAGGGGATGGGATTGGGATTGAAGGTGGGTTTATGGTGTAGAGAAGAAGAAGATGAGGGAATGAGCTGGGGAAGAGCCATTTCCGCGGTATTTGGAAGAAGAAGAAGAAGAGAGAGAGCGAAGTAGCTATGTTGCCATGGACGTTTGTTCTTTGTGGAGCAAGAGAGTGCGACTGTGACTAGTGTTAGTGTTTTTACCGAAACGTTTCTCCCTCTAAAACTCGATAAATCTATATCTGATTTTTGTCAATCCAAAAACAAATAAAATATAATATAAAAGGAAAATCTGGTGGTTTTGAGTAGGCGAGAGGGAGATGTGGATAATATGGAGAGAGAAAGTAAGGCAGGTAGAGGTGGTCAGTAGCCAGGGGCTAAATCATTAGCGTATTATTAGCCTTTTTGTACTCGCTCCCGCGTCTATGAGAGGTGTGTGTTTTTTAAATTTTATAATTATAATTTATTTTAGAATTAAAAATAATAATGGGTAGTTGTGTTCTATAAAAATAGAATCAATAATCTAATTTTTCTTTTATTTTTAATTTCTTTAATATGAAAAAGTATGAATATATTATTCTTATTTAATTAATAATTTCAATTCTTAATATTTACATTAATTAAGGGCATTTTCTGGTATTTTGAATGTTGCCTTTTGCTAACTCATATATATAGATAGATTGGTAGATGGGAAAGAAGGATGGACTTTTTTTTTCTTTTTTTTTTCTTTTGTTCTGAAGAAGGAAGGACTTGAAATGAGAATGTTTGGATTGGTTTTAGATTTTCCCACGTGGAAGTTGGGCCTGGTTCTCGTGGTGCCTATTGTTTGATGTATCATTTTCATCCAAACACAAAAAATCTTCACCCCAATTTTCGTTTCTTTGTCCTCAGCTGTGCAACTGCAACGTCGTTTGCTCAATTTAATTGCCGTTTAAAGAATGGGCCCAACTCAATCGCCATGTTAATAAAGGCAGGCACATAAAATGTGCCCACTGTGAGAGGTCCAGTACATTTCATAAAGCCTGATGCAATTGTACGTTAATGGGCCGTAACTTGGCCCCCCCCCCCCCCCCTCTCTCTTTCTTTGTCTCTGTGCGTGTATGGAAGAGACTACAATGAGGAGTTTAAAATAAGGAGGTTAATCTCACCATCAAAATATTTTAAATGTTTAAGTTTCATGATTTCTTTATATATATTGATGGTAAGATTGACCTCCTCAAATTACCTTTTCACTTTAAACTTCCCATCATAGAAAAACCCATTGTCCTCGTTGACTGCTATAGAGGTCCTGGTTGACTAAGTAGAAAAATGTTTGCACGTATGATATTATCGTAATTATCAATATTCCAAAAAAATAGGAGTAATTATCAATTCATTAAATTGACACTAGAACTAAATTCAAAGTGAAAGACTAAAGAGAATTTTCCTTTTGACAAGTAAAGGATCACATTTTAATTTTAATTGGCTTCCATTGTACAAAAGGAAGGCACGTAACATTTGACCAAATTCTATTTTATTTTACTTTTTTGGACTTTATGGCATATTTATTAATCATAAATTAGGATTAGAATCAAGAATTGAATTCCAATTGGATAATTTGAGGAAAATTCAATTCATGATTTTGAAGGAATTCAATTCCTAGGTGGAAGGTGATTTTCTAATTTCTAGAGAACTAAGCCATTAAGAATTCATCTTTTTTACCCATTATATCCTCACACAATTTTTAAAATTCCAAATTGGCCATATACTTTAACCAAACAATGAGAACATTTTAATAATTAGCACCACTCATACCCAAATTATATATGATATAATAAACAACTTCAATATTTTGATAAATATAAAAAATAAACAATTTCAATAAAAATATGAAATCTAATTTTTCTCAACTCAACTCCTCTTTAATTCAATTCGGATTAGAAAAGTAAAGATGCCATTAATTTATTTGAAAGCGGTGAGTCCCAGGCTCCCAGCTACACCGCGTGAAATGTTCTCTTTGGCCCTTTGTCCAGGTTCATTTGGACCTTTTCCCAATAAACGACAAAATCTATGAACGTCACTGACATATGGGCATGCGTCACGTCACGTCATATGGATGAACGCCACGTTTGCCAATAAGAGCCTCAGCCACCCGATGGCAATGGCAGTTGCGCAATAAACATTAAAACGTTGACCTCTTGGTTAAGGTCGGCCGTGGGCTCTATATATACGCTGCGGCTGAGCCCATTACATTCATCGCAAAAAAAAATCAACCTGTAATAACCTAGCTTGCTTGAGAATATCACAATCCTTTGAGAGAGAGAAAGAGAGAAAGAGAGAAAGCAAAGAGAAAATGGCGGAGGAAAATCAAGTCATCGGCTGCCACACTACTCAGGCCTGGGAAGAGCAGCTCCATAAGGGAAACGAGAGCAAGAAACTGGTATTTCAAATCTCCAATCACACTTGTATATCTTTTTCTTTGCTTACAAAAAATTCAATCTTAGTCTCCAGGAAGATTGACTGGCTTTCATTCTGAGTTCTGTGATGATATATTGCGTTTGTATTCTAAGATCAGCTTTCATTCTGAGTTCTTGAATGGGGATTTTTTATTTTCTAGTTCACCATTTGAATTTGTTTGTGCCTAGAAATTTAGTTCAAAATTTTAAAATCAAGAGCAAAAATTGGGTGTATTGCAGCCCTTACATTTCAAAATAGAAAGAATTTTGTCCGACTCTAGATAGGGGCTTTGTAATTTACAAATGGCTTAAAAACCTAGGTGTACGGTTGTGTCCTCCGCTCCTTTTAACATTTTGGTTGTCCAAGTGGTTTTATGCTATGATTAACTAATTAAATACATTAATTTGGTGTCTGAATTTAATAGGTGGTGGTGGATTTCACGGCTACGTGGTGTGGACCGTGCCGGATGATCGCCCCAATCTTGGCGGAGTTGGCTAAGAAGACCCCAGAAGTGACGTTCCTTAAGGTGGACGTGGATGAACTGAGGACTGTTTCCGAGGAGTGGGGTGTGGAGGCAATGCCTACCTTCCTCTTCCTCAAGGAAGGCAAGATAGTGGACAAGGTTGTGGGTGCCAAGAAAGACGAGTTACAGATCAAAGTTGCCAAGCATGCCACCGCTGACTCCGCCACCTCTGCTTCTGCCACCGCTGCTACTGCTACTGCTACCGCCTCTGCTTAACTTCTATCATTCTCTGTGGAGACTATGAAACTCCTACTGTTTTACTAGTTGTTTATAACTTTTATGGATTTCTAAATTTTCTATGAAGACATCTGAATTGAATGCTTTATGTATATGGCTACTTGTTCCCATATGGCCTCATGCCAATTATCTATGAATGCTTTTTATTACAGTGCCATTGTTCTTTGGGATGGAAATTTCATGAGCCAATTGAAAACAATAAGATTTTGCATTAAGTATATTTTGGAATCACAGTCAAAACCGGAGCCAATCTAATCAAACCTCGAGGCAAAAGCACTTGCCTTTACTTAACAAACTATGCTTTTAAAAGCTTACTTGAGGCAAAAGCACTTGCCTTTTAACAAAATAACTATACACAAACACAAAGTGAATCCAAAGACTATTCTGATAGATAGAGATTGGCCAGTTCAATGTAGAATCTTCATCTGTAAGTATGCCTCCCTTTGTCTTTGATTCTTTGCTTCATAGCTTTGCACGATGTGCCTCCTTTTACAGCGTATTCATCTCCTCGAATCGGGTTGGTTGGTAGTAATTCCTGTTGAACAAACAGCTTCAACTGATAGCCGCTTGAGTACATTCGGGCATGGATCTGTCCCAAATATGCTATTCGATACAGTAACTAAGCAACTCTCACGGCCGATACAATTCTGCAAAACAAGTTAAGAGATATTAATAAATCTTTATTTATCATAAGAATATGCATCTGTGAGTTCACTATACAAGTACAAGAGGTGAAAAGATTGTAGTTGGGGAAATGCCTTCTCTACAATGGCATGAGAGTTGGTCGCATGACACGTTCCTTGCTGGAAACTCCCGCAAGTACCAGTAGGAGTTCCAAAACTTGCAAACTTAATGCTCGAGATAGACTGCCCTGGCACACACTGCAGATGAACCTGGGCCTGGTGAAGCGTTTTCGATTCTTCATGGCTGTCAATATCGAATTTTTCAGCGTTTGGGTGGTGTTCTTGTAAATCAGCACAAACACCTGCCACTGATCTCTTCACCAGGGTTATCTTTGATGGATCCCCACCGAGTTCCTCAAACATTACCATCAGATTTTTTGTTGGCTTTAACCAGGACCGAGGAACATGGTACCTGAAAAAGATTATCAAAATAATGCTTGATGACCACAAGGAATTTCATCTTGCAGCAATTTTAGAGGTTTTAGTAGCTTATAAGGTAATACCATCGTTGAGTTGGTTGGCCACAGCCAAGTTGACACTTTGTCGGCCGGAATGTCCCAATGTAGCTGCACAAACTGCAGTCACCATTGGCATAAGCCATCCAGTATCTGCCTATGCTCTGACCGTTGATCCATACTTGACCCTTGCCCATGCTACGCATGTCCAAAGCCAATGGCTCATCTCCTCCAGGTGCATTAAAATAAGCCTGCACAATCCAAGCTAACATTCAGTTTAGCTTGTAAAGCCTAAGACTTCACTAGTTCTTATCACTTAATAGCCAATAAGTTGTTCCTCCTCTGTCTCCTCGTCTTTCTTCTCTCTCTCACCATCTTGAAATCCTTACCTTATACCATTTCAACGTCTGTTTGGTTTGGGTAGCTAGCGATCCTCGGATCCAATCAACCGATGACCCTCCATTTGGAGAGACCAAATCCATTGCTTCTCCTTTAAGGCCAACCTGTTTGGAAGATTTTCCTATGAGATTAAAATCACGGAAAAAAAAAAGGAAGAAGAAAAAAAGAGATGGAGATAATAGTAAGTGGCCAAAATGGATAAATGTAGATGGGGTGGTTGTCTGACCTTGTTGAACCACTTCTGCATTGTTAAGTCTTTCCTTCCCTGGCCAAGACCGTCCAGAAAAACTGGACCCAGGATTCCTGTTTTCCATGACTCATAGTGCAACCCAACATTCTTCAACACCAAAACAAAAAGATAATCAGTAACTGAATTAACTAATGTGATTCATCATTTAGTGTATGTGATCAATTGTACACGGGTTAACTGCTCATGTGCATTCAGAGTCAATGAGCCATGGGCAGGGCACTAACCGGTAATCCAACAGCTATGCTGAGTAGTGCAATTTTATTTATTCCGGCACGGAGGTGGACTGGTTTAGCAAATGTGAATTGCCTTTGCTCCCTAGTTCCGAAGGCTGACCCTGTAATAAATTAATAATGTTTTTGATTCAAGTCAAAGAGATATGGGAAAAATTGAAGCCTCCATCAAATAGAAGAATAAATTCCTGCTCACTAGATGTGGGAGAACAAAATATTTTACAACATACCTGAAAACTGTCCGTTGACGAAAACATGGAGGGCATGACCTGCTGACTGCACAGTGAGAGTAGGCTTTTTCCCTCCATGGAGCTCTGATGAACTGATGTCAACACTGAATAACATTCATACTGAAAATGTCAAAGTATGGCCATAGATGTATTTTGAAAGGAAAAAAACCAATTAAAGTACAACTGATCACTACAGCAAATGTTCTAGAAAAGCTTTTACTTCCAGTGAAGAAAGTAATTTGACAATTGTTTTTATTATAGGTTGGATTTTCAAAAATTGATTTCTTGACGGGTCTTTATATTTCCTTGGTTGATCAGATATCAATTTAACTGACTAAGAGATGATTATTCAAAGATAACACTGTGCATCTGCTCACTTGGTCATGTACCACAGATAGTCACTAGTATCTCTAGTGACATTTATCTGCTCTAGAAGTCCACCAGCTGCGATGCTTGATCTCTCATGTAGAGAAGAAACATCTTCATCATAAGTCTGCCATGAAAACAACCGACTATTCGTTGGGATCATCTGCACCCGTGAAGTTTGAACTCCCACCTTGATGACAGGACGACAGTTGCATCAGTAACTTGAGCGAGAGAGATTCAGAAGAGTATGGAACTGAGAATCTTAGTTGCCAATTTCTATTACCAAAAAAAGAAAGAGACTGCAATATGGGCCCCTTCATCTTTGCTTACCTTTGCAGTGTTAAATACTACATTTCTGCAATCAGGAAGGATGCTAATTGACCAAGCAGGCAAATCATAGTGCATGTTATTAAAAGTCACCCTTGTTCCTGTTGAATGGAAGTTTGAGAGAAACGCTGCACATCTTCTTGGTCCTGAATTGAATACATAAGCCTGGAAGATAACCAAGATATGTACTTCTTTTTCAATAAGGTTAATCTTTCAGGAAATTGTGCCACTGACAGAAGAAAGTATCACATTGAAGAAGCCAAACCTGCTGATAGGTTCCTAATGAAGTAACAGTAGGATCTGAAGAAACTAAAGCATGTTCACAAAGCTTGATCGCCTTATGGAGCTCCTTCAGATGACCATATTTAGGTTGTCTGATCAAACCTGGCAACAGTTAGTTAGTTAGTTCCGAGTAAGAGCTTAAGATCGAAACTGAAATGCCATGTGTGCCAACAAATTCATAACCTTTCATAATGGAATTGAACTAAAGGTTTTACCATATTCATCAATGGGAGCATCATAGTCATAACTGGTTGTAATGAATGGGCCTCCAGCAGTGCGTCCAAAGTTGGTTCCTCCATGATACTGTCACAAACCATAAACAGTGAAACTCAAAATTTGGGCTGGCACAATTTAGTTTTCAAAACTTGAGCTGATTAACAAGCAAACCAACCATGTAGTAGTTAATATATGAGCCACCCTTCTGTATGAAGCGAGCAACTGAAAATGCCAAATCTTGAACAGGTCGATGGTGAATTGTGCCGCCAAACTCTGTAAACCTGATCATGTTTGTTGGGTTGACAGATATTAGAAGAATAAATTCGAATAGAGTCAGTCAACGTCCGAATATTGGTAAGCTAAAGATCCACTTACCAGCCGCTCCAAGCCTCGGTCCACATGGTAGGTTTGTAAGGTTTGTTGGGAGAGAAGCCATCGCAGTAAAAACCATTACATGCATTTATCTGTCACCAAGATATAAGTAGATGAAACTCAGTGTTTCAAATGCTGAAGCCTAAAAAGAAATGCGAGAATGGAAGCAAGAATTTGTAACTAAATGTCAATATTGATATTCAAGAAAGGGTTCTAGTTCTAGGTATCGGAGTGTCATGGGATCAGCAGAGTAGATTTGGTATGTGAAAAGTGAAAAGAACAAGATAGCTAACCATAGGGTCTGGGGCATCATCTTCCTTGCACATCACCCATGGAACTCCTGTATCCAATGCAACAGCCATTTTGGCAGCCCAATTAATGTAGGCATGACCAGCAGCTCCAAGTGCCTTGCGCTCTGGCCCATACTCATTCTCAATCTGCACAATACAAAACATAAAAAAGAATTCATGAATTATTTATCCTAGAAGAATTCACTGAACTCAAGTAGTTACAAGGCCATGCATCAAGAATCAGTACCTGGGAAAGGATGATGGGACCACCTTGTGATGCAAACAGCTTTTCATTTTTCATCATCTGGACAATTTTCTGGGTGAACCCTTGCATTGCCATCTTCCCCCGAGAAAAAAACAGAGAGAGGAGAAGTTTATCCACATTAGCTCTAATTTGACCACATTCTAACAAAATCTGAAGGTTTTCAGTAGAGAATTTCAGGAAGAAATACCTTGAATGGCCCATTATCTGTTCTGAAGCTGATACCAGGGACATATTTCAGCCAAACCGGAAATCCTCTGTACAAATGAGAGTCGAATTAAGCACTCAACTTAAAGTTAGGAAATATATGCAACTAACCCAAAAAAGAAAATAATAATAAATTTCTGATATGTAGCATTTACTCCACAATGCACAGACAGAATTCAGATATAATAACTCTAACAAAAACAAAATAAATTAGATAATTAGAAGATGTACGGTACCCAAAATTCCACTCTGCACAAACATAAGGTCCAATGCGCAGATGAAGGTAGAGCCCTGCTTTCTGTACTGTCTTTATGAACCGAACGAGATCGTATCTCCCCTCAAAATTGTACTGAAGATCAAAATTAAAAGTAGACGGAATGAAGCTAACGTTTCAAAATTGAAGTGACAGC